TTTTTTTTGCTTCGGAAAATCCCCCACTCTAGATTAATCCTGTAATCAATGTATTTTGAGTTTATTTTGTCATCATTATCATCATTATTATCTCTGTGTTCTGTGTTATCTTTATTACACTCAGCATCTTCAGATTCTAGGGTGTCCGTCGGTCTAGTCTGGGGTGGTCTTTACCTTAAAGACTAACCTCCAGACCGGTGGAAGCATGTACAAAAGACCGACCCAAGATGGTCGGGTCCTACTTTTAAAATTCCGCACTTGGTCTGGGTACACTGCATGAAAGACCAAAGACCACCAGTCTCTACCTCAAACCCAACGGACATCCGACACACAAACAGACCACTCAGGGTTTCATTGCCATACAACCAACAAACGGTAAACAGTAAATCAATTTAGTTTATTATTTTATCAATGTACATACTATACACTATATAGCAATTTCAAGAATCAAGTGTCTCAGGACCTCGGTTCTTAGATAGATATATTATATATATATATATAAACCATAAAGATCAATAGTTGAACAATCATGCTACTGCTACAATTAACTTAATCACCCTCCTGGATTCCTGGATTCATCTACAAAATACAAAATACAAGCCACCATTTATAAATCATGAGTCATGACATCATGTTATGGTAATGCAGCGATGCCATGTAAGTTAGCATTTTAGCCCTCTCTACAGGGTTGCAACTTGACAAGGATGCTAATTGCTGAATTATCAATCGAATGGACTGGACCCAGGTCCGGGCAGTAACAACTTACAAGCAGGTTCACCGTTCTTATGAATCAACTGAGCCTCAGCCCTCTGAACGAAAACATAATGAAAAAAAAAAAAAAAAATCATTGACAAAATAAAAAAGGAAAGACAAGATAAGTTGAAAAAAGTCAGTATCACAAAAGCACGGGAAAATGAGGCACGAGATATTGCTTAAGAAAAGAAAAATACCTTTTTCAAAACATAAAAAAAAAAGAAAGAAACCAAAACCAAAGATCAAAACGCAACCAAAAAAAAATTAAAAAATAAAAACAAAAACAACGATAACAACAACAGCATTAAAAAAAGAAAAGAAAGAAAAGAACAAGACAAAAAGGACAAGACAAAAAGGACAAGACAAAAAGGACAAGACAAAAAGGACAAGACAAAAAGGACACAAAAAGAGACACAAAAAGAATCAAGGAAAAAGGACTACGAAAGAACCACAAAAAAATATGAACAAATAAAGAATAAAAAAATTACACAAAAGTGAATATTCAATTTATAGTAATATATCAAGAAAGCATAACTTATAAGAGGGTGAGGAAACAAAGTACACACTCGACTTACTCGAATGGAGAAAGAAAATATTACACAATGTGCAGAATATTCAATTTGTAGTAAACTAGCCGTATGTAAAGTCAGGTAAGGTAAGTACCTAGGTAGGTAAGTGTACAATAATATGTACCTTAGATATGTAGGTATGTAGGTATGTAAGCCAGGTAAGGTAGGTAGATAACATGGGACTACTTGGAGATATGTGAATGGGTTTAGTGTTTACGTTTGGCGGTCCAATAGACAAGAAGACAAAAAGACAAGAAGATAAGAAGCTAAGAAGATAAAAAAGAAAAAGGAAAATGCGCCAAACCGTATGCTCCAGGCCAGATGTGAGAAGAAGGTCCAAAACGGAAGAAGGGAAAGTGAGACGAAGAAAAGGAGGCGAGAAAAAGAGAAACGGACAAAAGAAATTCAGAAAAAAGGAAAAAAAAGAAAAAAAGGGAACCGGAAAAAAAGGAAGAAAGGAAAAAAAGCGAACAAGGTAACCTTGGTATACAACAGAAATATGGTACAACACCAGTATTCAACGCCAAATAATAAGTGCCCATGTACCTCGCCTCCTTGCGAGCTTTATAAGCAGGGAGTAGCGGAGAAACGCGGAATAACGGAGAGATGAACTAAGAGAAAGAAACAAGAGACGCCCTATCCTGACTCTCATAGCTAAAATGCTGGCCAGCGATTCTGCAGACCTTCAGCCCATCGCCCATACAGGACTTCTGCGAGCTGCTTGGTATGTTCCATGCCCGGTACAGAATCTGCAGGAAATGTCGACTGGCTATCTGTCCAGGGATCGGAGTCAGAGACTTGAGAATTTTGCCGCCGTCTTGCATTTTTCAAGTGCGGATTATTCTGCGCCAAGACGAGCTTTGGCTTCTGAGGTGTAGGAGGAGCAGCAGGTATTAAAGATGCCGAGAGTCTAGGGTCACTGAATCCCATAATTAGCATTGAACGGAAAAGACAATCCAAGGAGAAATGAAATACCTCTGAATCTTCTCCATCATCAGCTTCAGCAACTGATATTCTCCCTCTGGATCTAGCGCATCCATGGCGCTCCAAGCGTCGGCCGCACGTGACAATGCATCACGCCTTGCAGTGTCTGATGTCTGCGCATGCATCTCTTGGAAAGCAGGATCAATGGCTTTCGAAAATGCTCTCCGACCGAGTAAACCCTCCTTCGTAACGCTCTCTACCAAAGGCGGGCGGTTCTCATCAGTGCCCAAGACGGATCCGTCTGGAGATATATTAGGTGAATTATCGGACACTCGCTTGAATTGGCGAATGGTAGACCCGCTGTTGCCAAAATTTATTGCCGGAACCAGAGGCTGTTTCTGTTGACTAGACCGGCGTGATGGCGATGGTGACATTATTTGAACGTTTGATGATTTTCGCCGTCCCTTGTCTCGGCGTGCTGTGGAAGGTGGTGACGGTGTTGGAGCAGCATTGAGGTCCAGTCGGCTTAGCGCTCGATCTGGAGTATCTTGCGAATTATCCGATATCAAAGATAACTGCCTCCGTCGCTGCGTTTGCTTCAATGGACTTATCGTAGGTGCCTTGACTGTATCAAACACCCACTCATCGTCGTCCTCATCATGCGCTCCCTTTGGAGCTAACGTGGCCCTGCGAAACATTAGCACATGCACCCCTCAGTCCCTTCCGACGACAAATTTGACTGACATATTCTCTTCGTAAAACTTTGGATGAGGCGTCCTGCCTCTGGCACTTTCCCATTCTTGTCGCCGGACAATCAGCTCCTGCAGTGCCTCCACCTTGCCAGCATTGCGAATAAACCGATGGCGCAAAAGATCCTTGGCAGTCGGCCTTCGATCCGGATCTTTTACTAAACAAGAAGCGATAAAGTCCTTGAAATCTCGACTATAGTTATTTCCTTGTAGTCTTGGAGCCGGTGCCTTTGGAATCAAGAAGAGGACCTTCATTGGGTGGGTGCCTGCGTTGGGAGGCTCGCCGTTAATCAATTCCATTGCCGTTATTCCCAGCGACCAAATATCCGCCTTGAAGTCATAGCCCGCCTGCTGAATAACCTCTGGTGCCATCCAAAATGGTGTGCCAACAAAAGTGTTTCGCTGCGACTTGATATTCGTGAGTTGCGCGGCGACGCCAAAATCGGCCAGCTTGACCTTCCCTGATTGTGCGAGTAAAATGTTGGCGGCCTTGATGTCTCTGTGTATCTTGCCTTCCTTGTGAAGATAGTCCAATCCCAGTAATAATTCGCGACAGATGATTGCAATGTGTCCTTCATTAAACGGTCCCGGTTTCAGCTGCAATTGTCAGCACGGCAAACACAAAAAACCAATTCGCCATTATTGTTGGGGGCGTACCAAATCCAAGCATGAACCCCCACCTAGATATTCCATTACAATCCATAGCTTATGTCCACGTAGAAAACAAGTCTTGTATTGCGTGACGAACGGGCTTGCGCATGTACTCAGGACAGATATTTCCTGCTGAATCTCCTGTATGTCGTCTTCGCTCGATTCGAGGTCAATCTATCCCAGTTAGCTTCACTTGCCATCCTCTCTTCTTTCCCAATGGCAATCGCACATGTTTAATTGCGACCATTTCCCCAGTCGCCTTGTCTATTGCTTTGTACACAACTCCAAAACTTCCACCTAATTCGCATCATCAGTATTTACTCCAGTGTGCCAATGACTTTCCTATAGTGTCTTCCAATCACTCACTTCCAAGCTCCTCCAACATCTGATAATGATTTGCCAAGGCTCCTTCGTCCGCCATTTTTTCAAGCTCAAAGACCGCACCACTCGTAATTCTCAATTCGGTTCCAGCATGGAACGAGGCCCGGATGTTCTGATCACTGCGCCAGAACGAAGGTCCAAAGTGCACACAAAAAAGAGGAGAGGGTGAGAAGCACGCAGGATCAAGAGCGAAGTAAGAAGGGCCAAGATGTGGCACGCACTCCTTAGCGAAAAGAAGGACGACGAGGGACAAAATCGGTCGTTGGGCTGAAGTTTGGAGTCCGGAGTTGCCCAGGGCGTTGTTCGGTAAGCGGAGCAACTAAAAGGGAAGGCACGATTAGCTTCCCACAACATATTACCCGATCGGGGAACACCCCGGCAACCGGCAATTGGGTCCCCGTTTCGCTTGCTCGAGTCCGATTGGACGAAGTGGGCCATGAGAAACCCCTTAATTCTGCATCTTCCCCCGCAATTCCTCGTCGCCATGCAATTGTGAACTCTACCTTGTCCCTAACCCTTATGCAGGGAAATATGCCCGCCCAGGCGCCCCATGCGCATACCAGTCCTCGAACGCATCATCTCGTACGTTTAGAATTTTTTTTTTTTCCCTTTGTCTGCCTTTCAGTAATTTCCCTTTGGTATGTAGAACCTCATGTGAGCACATTAAGCATCACCGTGCTAGGTTTATTTTGGACAATTAAGAACCTAGACGTAGCCACATTGGGGATTCTCAGAGATTTTTAGTTAGCTTGGTTATTTACTACACGCTGAGCTCCGCCAAAGGCGCGAATAAATGATCGAACCCAGGATCCAGGATTATGAGGATCCACTTTTGTGATTCAGTTGACCTAAATGAGAGAGCGAAATAGCATTTCGCGTGCTTCACTCTGCTCGGGAAGCAGGGACGAGGGGTTTAATATGAGATGAAGCCCCTTTAAATGCCCAAGGACAGGGGTTCATCCACATGGCTTCGGGCACTAAGCTCGTCTTCTCACCCGTATTGATGGTTCAGTAAAAACCCAGATCCACCTCAGTCCTCTAAGCCAGCGATGCTTTTTCCCTTTAAGAGATGTGCACAAACAATGGCCATGATCAACTGAGGATTCACGAACAAACAAACACGAAAAGGGGCAAACTTGATTCCACGTGGGCTGCAATTAGAGTAATATAGAAATATATGTTTCATATGAGCTAGGGTGTGTTGAATCCAAAGGCTTCCAAACTTCTAAAAAAAAAAAAAAAGCAAATTCCCAAAAAAAACTCCGTACTATCATCGTTTAACCGACCCATCTCCGGGCGCTCTTGAACATGCGCACCCACGGGCCGAATTGGTCCCACTCTTCCATCCTCTCCTTGGGTACCCAGCTGCCCACCTCCTTGAGAATGGTACGCTCCGGGTGAGGCATCATAGCCAGAACCCGACCGTCAGGGGTACGCACACCGGCCACAGCCTCTTGGCTGCCGTTCGGGTTGTACGGATAGCGCTGAGTAGGCTGCAACCGATTGTCGACGTAGCGCAGCCCAACCAATCCGCGCTGAAGAAGAGTAGTAGGCTCGACCTCAGGCGGAAAGACTGCTCGACCTTCTCCGTGGGCGACCGCAATTGGAAGGGTTGAACGGCCCATACCGTGCAGGAAGACAGAGGGGGTAGCAGTGGGCGGTTCAAGTACCTCAACCATGGAAACACGTCCTTCGTACTGCTCGCTGGCATTGCGCTCAAACGTGGGCCATGATTCGGCACCAGGGATTATCGATTTGAGTCGGGAAAGGAATTGGCATCCGTTGCATACTCCAAGCGCAAAGGTATCGGGTCGCTCAAAGAAGTTCTTGAACTCTTCGCGGGTGTTGGAGTGCAAGAGAACGCTCTTCGCCCATCCCTGACCGGCTCCAAGAACATCACCGTAAGAGAAGCCACCGCAAGCCGCAATACCCTTGAAGGTGGATAACGAGACAGCACCGGATATGATATCGGTCATGTGAACATCAATCGCAGCGAACCCAGCGACATTGAAAGCAAACGCCATTTCGGCTTGGCCGTTCACACCCTGTTCACGCAAGATGGCAACGCGAGGGCGCTGAGTGAATGGAGTCGGGATCGATGTGATCATCGTCGTCAGAGGGAGGATATTCTCCTTGGGGTTGTAGGTCAAGTTGTATGACAGACCCGGGTCAGAGTCATTTTTGATGTTTTCGTATTCGGCATCAGCACAAGCGGGATTATCCCGCAGACGCTGCATCTGGTGGGAAGTGAACGCCCACTTTTGCTGGAGGTCCTTGCGAGAAGCTCTGTAAACAATCGGTCCAGCGGTGCCGTATCTAATAGTAAGCTCCTGCTTTGTGGCCGGAAGAACTGATCCAATCTTCCGAATGAGACCGTGGGGAGGTCCGCAAGTGGCGAAGCAGCGCTTAAAGTTGATCTCGTCCTTCTTCCGCACTTGGAAGACAGCACCCAACTCCTCATTGAACAAGGCCTTGACAACGCTGGCAGTCTCCGAACTTGCAGCAATGCCTTCAATGTCAATCTCTAGGCCACAGCGACCAGCGAACATCATCTCGGCCAGAGTAGTGAAGAGTCCACCGTCAGAACGGTCGTGGTACGCCAGAACGACACCAGATTCGTGCAGCTGCTGGATTGCGTCAAAGTAGTCTTTAAGTGTGTCAATGTCCCGGACATCAGGCGCCTCCTCGCCAATTTGTTTGAATACTTGCGCAAGGGCAGAGCCTCCAAGAGCTTGGTGTGTCTGGCTGCCAACGAGAGCAAGGTCAACGAAGAGGAGCACGGTCTCGCCAACATCCTCAACCCGTCGAAGAGCAGGCGTCCAGGTCTGGTCAATATGCGCAACTGGGGCGAAAGCACTGATGACAAGAGACAGAGGAGCAGTGACCTCTTTGTTCTCCTTCGTGGCTTGATCCTTCCATTTCATCTTCATGGACATGGAGTCCTTGCCTACGGGGATACTGATTCCAAGCTTGGGGCAGAGCTCCATACCAATGGCCTCAACTGCCTCGTACAGGGCAGCGCCCTCGCCAGGGTGGCTGCTGGCAGACATCCAGTTAGCCGAGAGTCGGATACGCTCCAGACCATTGAGGGTGTCGGCGGCAGCAAGGTTCATCAGCGATTCAGCGACTGCCATACGGGCGGATGCGGCGCCAGAAATTAAGGCAAGAGTGGGCCGCTCTCCAATAGACATCGCTTCACCTGTCTTGGTGCCGGGGAGGAGCGATGTCGCAGTCACGGAGACATCGGCCACAGGAACTTGCCAAGGCCCGACCATTTGGTCACGAGTGGTCAATCCACCGACAGTACGGTCACCAATAGTGATCAAGAAGGACTTGGAGCCAACGGATGGTAACTTGAGAACACGAGAAACGGCTTCATTCAAAAGACCATCAGTGGGCGTTTGGGGAAGATAGGTCGTTAGGCTGCTGTCGAACACGGGCAAAGAAAGTTTACGCGAGTCGACAACGCGGGAAAGCTTAGGTGTCTTTCCGAAGAGAATGCTCATAGGGAGGTCGATAGGCCTAGGGTACTCTTGCGAGTCCCGGTCCATCAAGATAAGTCTCTTCTCGCCCTCCTTTCCGCCCGTGGCTCTACCAACGACAGAGAATCCACAACGCTCACGGTTAGCAATGTTCTTGAACATCTGCAAACCCAGTTCATCGACAGCTAAGACGTAACGCTCTTGCGCCTCGCAGCACCAGATCTGCAGAGGGCTCATACTCTTGTCGGCGCTGTCAACCTCCCTCAGCTCAAAGGTAGCACCAAGGTTGGCATCATGAACGAGCTCCGGCAGAGCATTTGAAAGCCCACCAGCGCCTACATCATGAATGAGATTGATGGGGTTCTTGTCCCCTTGAGCAACGCAGGCGTTAATCACTTCCTGCGCTCTGCGTTGGACTTCGGCGTTTCCTCTTTGGACACTAGCAAAATCCAACTCGACAGAGCCCTCACCGGAGGTGATACTGGAGGCAGCACCGCCACCCAGACCAATCAGCATAGCAGGTCCACCAAGGACGATCAAGTGGTCTCCGGGGCTAACGAGTTCGCCGTCCTTGAGAGCGTGTTGAGGACGCACAGTTCCTACACCTCCAGCAATCATGATTGGTTTGTGGTAACCTCTGATCTCCTTTTGACCATTGCCAATTGGAAGCTCGGTGAGGAGAGTTCGGAAATAGCCTGATGTGCATGGACGTCCAAATTCGTTGTTGAAAGCCGCACTACCAATTGGAGCCTCCATCATGATATCAAAAGAGCTGGCAATATGCGCTGGCCGGCCCACATCTAGCTCCCAAGGTTGCCTGTGGCCAGGAATCAGCAGCTCCGAGACGTTGTAGCCAGACATTCCAGCCTTTGGCTTTGAGCCTCGTCCAACGGCGCCCTCATCTCTGATCTCTCCACCAGAGCCAGTGGCAGCACCCGGATACGGCGAGACAGCGGTGGGGTGGTTGTGAGTCTCAACCTTGCCGAGGAAGTGAACAGTCTCCTTGGTCTGAGTCCACTCGCCAGTCGAGTAATTCGGGGCCCAGTGACTACCGTTTTCACCTTGGAAGACGGCGGCATTGTCGCTATATGCGCTGACAACATACTTGGAGTTAGCCTTGTGTGTGTTTCTGATCATGCCGAAGAGACTGTATGGCTTCTTCTCGCCATCAATCGTCCAGTCAGCATTGAATTGCTTGTGTCGACAATGCTCCGAGTTGACCTGAGCGAACATGAAAAGTTCGACATCGAAAGGCCCACGCGCCAGTGGTCCATCCTTAGCGTAAGCATTTACTAGGTAATCAATCTCGAAGGAATCGAGGGCAAGACCCAGAGTCTGGTTGGCCTTTTCAATAGCCTCGCGGGGCGTGGCGCCCTCCTCGTAGAGCTGGACGATGGACGCAGGAGCGGGCGACTGCTCCGAGAACATGACAGCAAGTTCAGGCTCTTCTTCGCCGATCATTTGCGTCATGCGGTCGTAGAGTGAGTCGGCACCCTTCATAATATCGGCAATGGGCTTGTCTGTGGTGAGAGCGAAGGCGAAGCCACGCTCAACACGTTTCACGGCATCTTTCAGGCCGCATACATGCGCAATAGCAGTTGCCTGGGAGCTCCAAGGCGAAATTGTTCCGGTTCTGGGGGAGACAAAGAGGATCTTTGACTCGGAGCGCTTGGCACTGCTCGCACACGGGTCAGCGGAGAGCGTCCAATCTCAAAGCCGCCATAAGTGGCTGATTGTGTATAGAGCATTTGTAACACCGAAGGGACAAATTACTCACCCCGTCCCATTGCGAACGACATCATGAAGCTCCGTGTATATTTGATCGTGTGAGTCGGGATATTCGCCATAGGTGAGGAGCTGGTCGAGGACGTCGGCCTCCTCCGCAGTCAGGGCTCGGTGAAGATCCACATAGTGGACCCAGATGGCCCGAACGGCAGACACTCCAATCGACTCGGAAAGAGCGGCGAGTCGAAAGCCGGAGTAAGTCTTGGAGCCGGGAAGTGCGAGATGTTTTGGCTCAGCCATTTTGAGCCACAAATAGGCAGATGCAACTGAGGGGCATGGCGGGGAATTTTTCTCAAGAGTCACCGGTAAATTTGAGACGGCGAGCGAAAGGGCGGTTTTTCGGGATCAACCTTTTTCCGTTTCCATCACCCGTCTGTTCCCGAATAGGGAAAGTGGGGTAGTTCGACGATGAAAGCTAGTCCCAAATCGGAGCATTATTCCGTATCGCTCCGACCCCTTCCAGATGAAAGGCTTCAAGTAAACATGCAAGGATGGCATCGATATATGCATCGCCTCTACATTATTATTGGGCAGCGTTATGCAAGAAGAAAGCCTTGATAAGACCAATATTGCATACAGGTATTTGATGCTAGGAGTAGAAGTGTACGTACTCCCGTAGTACATTGTAGTGAGATGGCTCCGTTTATCAAGGCGTTAGCCGAGCTGTGGGAAGCTCTCATACATGTTCTTAGCCTCGTACTCTTACTACCTTCACTGAGTATGGGGAAAGATACCCCTCTCAAATGTCAGCCAGCCATCTCGTATGGCATCCTTGTCATAACCATGTAGCAGGACGGGCGCAGGTGCAAGGATAATATTGCTAACGCTACAGGCACCCACCCAGCCATGTAACCTGCCACAGCCTCCTCGCAACAATGAACCCCCTTAAAAGTGCATCCACCCCGCAAGTCGTAGAGTTTACATAGGCTAGATATTGCTTCCTCATCATAACAGTCACCACAACAATTAATAGGTGAATAGAATCAATATGTATAACCAAGATAACCTTGCAATCCGGGTATCCTCATCCCAAGACCTTCCATCGGCAGAGTTCCTTCATCATTCATCAGCTCAACGTGTCAACACCGACGTCATCATCTTCCAGGCAATCAGATCGCAATATCCTGGAAAACAAGTAATCATCTGCCCAGAAAGAAATTGCAACCTCATCCAATATGCTGCAAGAGGACTTGCCAGCGCAGTTCCAATTGATGATGCAAAGGAGCCGTCCCTGACGTCTCTCAAATGGCGTCTTTATGTGCCGCCAAGCCGTCGACTTGATGGCGATTCTGGTCAAATTATTGACGGTTTGCATTTCGGCAAATTTTTATATTCTTGGAATGGGCACGAGTTCATCCTCTACTTTGTCGATGGCAGAGATGGTCAAGAAGCTTATCCCACAACCAGACATAACTACATAGTCGGTGATGAAAATGCAATCAACCAACTGATCAATACGGTCGGGAAATTTACAAATGAACTCCACAACGAGATATGGGTGTTCGAACAGAGCATGTGGCGCAAGGATGCGGATCTGTGGCGAAGCGTCCATAAGGCGTCGTGGGACGACGTCATTCTTGACGCTGATATGAAGAAAGCCATCATTACCGATGCTCGCCGATTCTTCGACTCTAGGTCCACATATGCTCAGCTTCGCGTGCCCTGGAAGAGAGGTCTTATTTACTACGGTCCACCGGGTAATGGAAAGACCATTTCCATCAAGGCTATGATGCACGATCTGTACAACAGAAAGCCTGCTGTGCCTACATTATACGTCAAGACTCTATCTGGGTAAGCCGACAATTTGGTGATCAGCATTACGCTACCGCATTACTGATGAATGTGATTTAGATATTTGCCTCCAGCTATGGCGCTCGCCGAAATCTTCTCCAAGGCAAGGCAAGAGGCACCCTGTTTCTTGGTGTTTGAAGACCTGGATAGTATCGTCTCAGACAGTGTCCGAAGCTTCTTTTTGAATGAGGTGGACGGGTTGTCAAGCAATGATGGAATCCTGATGGTAGGTAGCACGAACCATCTTGAGCGTCTCGACCCGGGTATCTCCAAGCGGCCGAGTCGCTTTGACAGGAAGTACTTGTTTCCGAACCCCAATGAAGCGGAGCGAGTAAAATATTGCGAGTATTGGCAGCGGAAACTCTCTGACAACAAGGACATTGACTTCCCGCATGTGCTGTGCAAAGCAATTGCCAAAATTACCGACGACTTCAGTTTTGCTTATATCCAGGAAGCATTCGTAGCTGCTTTGCTTTCTATTGCGGCGGCCGATGGGGAAACGGTGACTTTCGTGGAAGAGGATGAGCTGAACAAATACATTCTCTGGCGGGAGATCAAGAAACAGGTTAAGATATTGCGTGATGACCTTGACAAGTCGGGCAATTAGGGACCAGGATATCAATTTGAATCCCGGCCTTGTCTTTTAATAATCTTATTATGTGCCTTATAAGCAGCGTGAAATTCCCCTGTTTTGAGGTGCCCAAAAAGTGAAATTATATCATTGCCAAAGCGATGCTACAAATTAAATTATGTGACTTGCAGAAAAGATCAACACCAATCCAAGAAAATGTCAGGGTTTAAGAGAAAACTAAACATTAGATCCGAACGTGCCACCGGGACTTATTCTTATCGTCACGCATATCATTGAGGATGAGATTTACCTTGTCTACGTCAAGACCCTGCACAACAGCATATCTCAAAGGCTTCACGAGACCCTTTTCAATCCATGTAGGAAGAGCCTTCCAGAAGAGGGCGCCTACTTCAGGATGTGCATGAGACGATCCAAAGACCATGAGATCATCGAAACCATTCGATTTCTTCTGTGCGATTGCTGCATCGGGTGGGGTCGGAAGGACCTTAGCAAGGGAGCCTTTTTTGGAGTCTGACAGGAGTGACACGGCGAGATTGACTGTATTGGGCGCACCTACAGCATCGAAAGCGTAGATGAGGTCGTCGCCAACTATCTCACGGACCTTGGAAAAGATTTCTTCGTCTGACAATTTGCGGTCAATCACATGTGTCGCCCCGTAGGCTCTAAGCTCTACGGCATGGTACGAGCCAGCAATAACAATAATGGTCCCAATTCCAGCGACTTTGGCAAACTGTGTTGCAAGCTTGGAGACATTCCCACCGCCCATGATCAACAACGTTTGCGACTTATAATCGAAGCTAGCTGATGCAGGAGTTGATGGAAACGGGATCTTCAGACCAGATTCGTCAAAGAGTGCCACAGCAGCAGTGACGCCATTGGTGGGAAAGACGGCCGCGTCTGCATCAGAAAGATTGTCTGGAACACGGGCAGTAAATGGTACGTCGGCAACTACGTACTCTTGCAGAGCGGTTTCATCATTGGTGCCGTGTAAATTGGACTCGGTCATGACGCGGGTTCCTGGAGGCAAGTCGCCATGATGAGACCCAGGTCCAGCAGCCACAACCGAGCCAACAACATCACTTCCAATGACTGCTGGCAAACGGTGGGACCATTGAAAAATGTCGTAGTCTCTGGCTTTTTGGTCGCTTGGATTTACTAAAATATTCAGGAATCAGGTCCGTGTCCTCTATGCCATCGGATTGGGGCACTCACGTCCAGCAACGGTGACCTTCACGAGCACTTGATTTTCACCCGGAGTGGGGATTATGCGAGCAACCTTTTCCAAGTGTTCGCCGAAATATATCACGGCCAGAGCTTGTTGTGCCGACATGATTCCGCTCTGCTATGAGGTTGACGAGGAATGTTTTCAGTGGCCAAATCCTCCTCTCTCGAATGTTCCGCGCTGGATGAAATTTGGATCAAGAGGAACGTTCTTTTAAGAGTGGAGAAAGCGTATCAATTGAGGAAAGATTGCGTGCTTGCGAACGTTTTGATGAAGCTCTGAGGCCGGAAGCTGGAGGTTTGGGTATATAGCGTATTTCCGAAGCACCTGTTAAGCTTGACCCCGCTTCTCCCTCAATCAATTCCAGGCTATATCGAGGAATATAAAGTAATTGAGGTGCTCTGTCCCATGTGAGATTACACAATCACAATTGCTTATCACGGACGCTCCGATTGATCGGAGGTCGATGTAAGCAACTGGTGTCGTTCGATGGCAACTGCAAGGGAAGCACTTGAAGCCCCATCTCCCCCCACTCCTCGATCCTTTCCAGAGCTTGTGTCTGCATCAACAAGCGGCTGCAAAAGGCTGCGTCAGAGTGTCCCCAGGCAATAGCCGGTTGGGCGAACCGTCGCATGTCTCTTAACGTCGAGCCATAATACGTACACAATAAACTTTGTGGGTAAGAAAGAAGAGAAAGGCAAAGGCGTTGGAATGACGTCATTTGTGTGTATATACCGAGACCTTCTCTATTGGCACTTTCCCTGCACAGATCGCGGCATACATTATACACCGTAGAGGTGCATCTCACCTTCTCGACGCCCTCAGTAAAGGTGCTGCACGATATTGCTCAATTATTTGCACAGAAAGATACACAAATTTTCAGTTTACCATGCAAAAAAGTCATCATGATTTCAATTCAACAATTGTTGGTCGATCTGAGCCGCACTCTCAACCAAAAAGTCACGTGCTCTTGGGTCCTAAGTTCAAGCGTTTTAAGATCAATTTCCGGATAGCGGCATGAATATAAATATACCTCATATAGATGACAATTAAAATCTATCAAATAAATAGGTTTCTGGACGCTAGATCATTCCAATAACGATTTAGATTTACATTTGCATTTACTTGTGGAGCATTGATACAAATAAAACTCCTGAAGCACATTTGGGATATTGTCAATCCCTGTATGCTTTTAGCTTAGAAATGTGTAACGTCACGTACATCAATAAAATCGCGAGCGAACAATAGTTCCGTCTGACATGGTCATTGTATGCTCAGCTTCTATAAACACATTCTCGCACTCGGTCAACAAGCAGCCTCCGAGGGTTAGTTAAGCAGAGGTGTCATTAGTTAATCGTCCCGTCACTAGGGGGCAGCAAGTTACCCCGTGGATCGGTGAGACGGCCATTCCCGTCTCCGATACTGTTCGTCACGCGAAACTGCGGGGCAAGCAGATTGAAGTTGCTCCGTCTAAGCTACCTCTGACAAATCCTTTCTTACAGTGGATGGTTGGAGTAGCTAGCAGCGATTCCTTCTTTTACTTTCTACCTTACTTTTCTGTGGATAGTAGATGTTACTAATCATACTGCAACCTGAGTTTTTGGATAGTTAGCGGCTTTTGTTTATCTGTTGCTTGAAGAACACCAGACTCAGGCATTCAGATTACGAACCAACTGTTGCCGCCAGTCACAATTCTTCTTCCACTGCTTGTTATAGATGTCGCAAGCTCTTCTAGTAATCTTTGTAATAATGCAGTAATTCAACTAACTAGAATTAACTTCTAAGCGCTGCACGCATGGCGTTCTTGGCGGTATATCTGCTCCCTAAACCTAAACTACTCTTGGCCTTCAAGATTGTTAGGCCAGGTCCAATTGGACTGCTTTCTAATCCAACACCAACTGCGAGCGGAGAGGGGTTATGAGACCCTCCGCTTCCGTTAAGATGTTTGATGCTTATTCCTCTGCACGAAAGTATAAATCCGAACCGTGACCCTCTGTTGTGCATGTTGCCCCACAGAAACAACTATATTCTTCACTTGCTCTTCACATATCCCTGATTCTGCCAACTCCTCATAACTTATTCAGCATTTTATACATCTTTTGACAACCGTTATCCCTCTACGAGCTCAATTCGGAAACACAATGGCCAAGATTCTGACCGTGTTTGGTGCGACGGGGAACCAAGGCGGTTCCGTCGTTCGAGCAGTCCTTGAGCACCCTATTCTGTCAAAAAGCTACAAAATTCGTGCAGTCACTCGAGATCCAACCAAGCCAAATGCCAAGGCTTTGAGCGATAAGGGTGCAGAGGTGGTCAAGGTTCGTGACAGCCATCTAGCGTTCAATTCTGAGTTCGAATCCGCGTGCCAAGCTGACATCAACCACAATCCAGGCCGACCTCTCAGATAAGGCTTCTGTGGTCCAAGCAGTTAAAGGCTCACACGCCGTGTTTGGCGTCACCAACTGTATGTCTCTTTCCTCTCTATGGCCTTCAATTGCTAACTTACTGCTCTTTCAACAGTTTGGGAGAACCCGCCGTCGAAGCAGAGGGAGTATACTCAGGGAAAACACATTGCGGATGCGTCAAAAGAGACCGGTGTCGAGCACCTAATTTGGTCAACTCTGCCGCATGCCTCGACATGTATGTGTGGTGCCTAACTTCTGAACTTGTCAACATGTTCCTGGCTGCGGCTCTTCAAAAACATTTTACTAACGATAGAAATCGAAAATTCAGTGACTGGCGGAAAGCTTAGTGGTGTAACGCACTTTGACAGCAAAGCTGAGGTTGCTGAATACATTGAGCAACAAGGGATCCCCGCCACATTTTACCTGCCGGCATGCTTCATGTCGAATATAACCGGCTCCTTGCAAAAGGTTCGTTCAGATATAACGCCTCATTGTCTGGGGATATACTGACGATGTATCAGACTGGTGCCGGATATTCCTTGAATTATCCTTTCACGCCGACTACTGTTATTCCTTGCATCGATGTCGTTGCAGATACTGGTAAATTTGTTGCGGCAGCCCTTGCCAATCCCTCAGCATTTATAGGCAAGAAAATACTTGGAGTTACGGGCTGGTACACGCCGAACGATATCAAGGCAGCATTTGAAGAAGCGACTGGCAAGCAACTTGAGTACAACGAAATTTCGGTCGAGACCTTCCGCAGCTTTTTGCCTGATTTCATGGCCGAGGAGCTCGGCGAAAATTTCCTTCTCATCAAAGATTATCAATACTATGGTCCTGGAACAGAGAAGAAGATTGGAGAGTCTCTAAAGGTAGGTTTCAAATTCCTCGAAATTGAGCACCTCATGCGTTGAATGGGCAAACACCGTTGTTCGGAGATTTTTTTGTCAAATCAAAGCTAATATCACTGTTCACAGGTTCTTCAAGAGGTCGGCGAATCGCCTACCGGACTGAAGGAGTTTTTCTCGCAAGCCAAACTACCCTGAGCGTTGCTATTTAGCGCGAAGGTTTTCTGAAAACGCGAACCTGTTTCATCCTTCTTTCTCTATTAATGCACGTGCGATCATTACGATCTTTGGTAACATACGTCCATTGCTCTACTTGATTGCAGTTGGCATGCGCCATGATTATTATTACTTTCCGACATAATGAGAGCTAGCAAATTGAAATTAATGAAATGAATCACTTTTTCTATTATCATCATAATTTATGTATCAGCGAAAAGAATCATTTGTGTAGCGTAATTCTATTCTTTTTCTCTGTCTTCCCTCTCATTTTCTTGGTGGGATCTCAGAGGTCTAACCAGCAGCAAACTTACTTCTCGCCCTTATCTTCGCTCCCCAAAACCATAACAAGATTGGTGCCGGGATTCCAATTGCTATCGACGCACACGCCAGCACAGTGCATCCTTTACCATATCCCAACGTATCAAACATACGTGGAGCAAAAAGCGGAAAGGCAAACCCTGCCAACGACCGCAGGAATACAACGGATCCGGAGGCAGATGCTGCATATCGCTGATACGAATCAATCAAGTACGCTTGGAGACACTGATTGCTCACGGCGATTCCCATAGACATAATGGCAATCCCAATGTCTGGCATGATCCAGTGCAACGGCGGCGAAGCGGATGCGGACCATCCATACCACAACAGACCAATCGGAATAATCAGCGAGCAGGGAATCATGAGCGGGACGCGATACTCAGGCACCACTGTAACGGTCTTTGTGGATTTCTCAGCCTTGGACGAGGTGACGTTTTGTTCGCCAGCAGTCTGTTTTTTAATTTCGCCGCGCTCGATATCAACATCCACATTCGGTTTGTCGGGCTCAGAACTCCTTTGCCGTTTCTTGTGGGTTATCCCAAGCATGTCCCCCAAAATCAGCTTTCCCCCTGACTCTATTCCATTCTCTTTTAACCTTTTATACAATTTATCCAGCAGCGGCAGAGACATGACACCGAAGCAAAGCCCGATTGCAACGGATATGAACTGAAGTCCGGTAATCCCTTCTGACTGATGGTAGACTCTTGCGTACATCACCGGCATCGTCGACAGCATCAGGTACGTTAGACCGTACTGATATGCTCTATATAGCGTGAGAAGCTGGATAATAGGCTGCGTTGCTAACATAATGAACGGCCGCGAGAGGGAAGTTCTCCAGAGGCTGAGGAGCGACCGGGATGATGGATCCTTGGCTTCGTACTCGGTGAGGAGGTTTTCGTTTCCCGTGGTTTTCTGGAGCTGCTTCTTTTTTCGCGCGAGCAAAACCGGTGCATAGGTTTCCTGTAGAAAGAACAATCCGATAACTTGCACCACGGCGTCTGCAATACTAGTTGCATAGAATGCCCATCGCCAACTACTGTATTCCGTTATAAACCCACCGGCGATCGGCCCCACGGCTGGCGCCAGAAGTGGCATCAGCGCGTATAAACTGACAGCGCGTCCACGCTGATCTGCGGTAAACAGATCGGAAATGACTCCACCAGAGACCTATTGTAGAGTCAGTTAGAAAAGGAGCCCGCCGACAGTTGGGGGAAAAGTGACACAAGAAGCCCCGAGATGATATCGTTTTGATCCAGGTAAATGCTTACACTCAAAGGGGCACTCCCTCCCAGTCCAGAGAGGAACCGAAATGCAATAAGCTGACCCTTTGTTCGACTAGCTCCACCTGCGAGGTTGAACACAAGATACACCAGATTCGCTAGCTGAAGCACTGGGACCCGACCATAGATCTCTGACAATGGACCTAGAAAAAGCGGACCAAAAGCATACGCCAGAACAAACGCCGACATGGTCATTTGCCCTTCAGCCGTGCGCGTAATGTGAAGATCTCGACTGATAGTCTCTATTCCAGGCGATACCATTGATGAAGAACACGGAGATATGAATGTAAAGCAAGAGACGACATATACTGCTGCCCATTTGCGACGGAACGACCAATTCTTTGGGTTGGCTGGGTCCGAAGGGGAATCCCATGATACCTAGATAACGCAATTAGCTGAAAATACCCAAACAATGTCTTCTCTGAGGAGCGTACAATATTTCGATCATTTGGATCGTCATCAGATGTCTCCGGCTCTTTCGCTTCTAGTGCTTGCTCTTGATTTTGAAGGTTCTCCTGATCAATTGGAACGGGCACGTTCTCGAGTTTGTGATCTGGCAGCTTGCTCTCTGTCTGTACCCTCACTTCTGAAGCCACTGTACTATCCGGTTCTATATCAAAGTTCCCGTCTTGTGAACCGGAGTGTTTTGGCGTCATAGCTTCTCTTGCACCAGATCTTCCCTCTCCCTGTCTTTCTTGTTCCGCACAGAAGTCGCGGTGCACGCTAAATAGCAATAAAACGCTACATCCCCTTGGGTATTATCCATAGCTATATATCTTACTCGCCAGCACTCCGTATGATTCAGTGCAAATCGAGAAAGCCGGGACCGGGATTCTCATCTCCTCGTTATTGGTCAAGGGCAGAAATGCAGGAGTTTGGGTATTTCCTTTTTAGGAAAGTCGCTTGTCCGGCCCCGGGCCTGAACCGGCCCGTTAACGGGATTTCGGAGTTTGGGATTTCTTTGGATTTGTGACCTATCGATGAAACAGTAACAGTTCTGCGCCTTTGATGATTTTCCAGGTAGAGATACTATCAAGACTGATCGCGGGAGATGCTCTGGGCACAATTTGCGGCTTACGTTGATTAATGACGGGTGTCTGTGCCCGATCGATTATCCTTGACTTTGCGCCATCTCATGCCGGTTCAGGCTCGGGATTTCGGCCTTGCGTTGTGCCACGGAATAGAGAACGAACAATGGAGAGCGTTGAAAGTAGTCAATCCCCAGAGGCGTATGCATATTCTTTTTTTATCTTCTGACCTGAATTCTTGATAAGTCGATTTGGTAAAAAGGAGAATCTGAGCTGACATGACCTGTTTGACTGCTAGAGCTTTGCGGCCTAGAAGGCGGGTAAAGCAGGCTTGTACGGAGTGTAGACAGCAAAAGGCAAGTAGCTTGTATCTTAATTTAATCATTGGTTGTTGCAATGATCCTTGCTCTTTATCTTCTCTGCTTCGTGGATGTGTACACTGCTTTTGACTTTGCTTGCTTACGATCTGTTCTTATTCTTATTTTGCCATTTGTTTTCTATGGTTCATATTTCAGAATTTCTCTCCTTCAAGCCCTTGCTCGATCCGATTTAGATTCTGTACATTGTTGAAATCCAGAAGCTGCCTCAAAGATCTCCTGTTCTATCAGTTTACCATTTACTAATAACCCTCCAGGCGCGCTGCGATGGTTATCTTAGCCAGCCATGCTCAAGATGCAGGAAACTGGCGGTAAGATGTGTCATGTCCGATCCATTCAAGCGGGAGAACAAAAGACAGTAAGCCATTCCTATGGGATGTTTCTAGTCTGAAATGCGGCTATTTCTGACGCCGATTTGTTCAGGAAGATTGCACAACTTGAGGAAGAGGCTCGCAGACTTCGGCAAAGACTTGCATTTGAAAGTGGCGAAAGCACAACTCAAAGGAATGAGACCAAACGTCAGACCTCAGCCTTTGATATACTGACGGCTGCTGCGGCTGGATTTGGAGGCGATCTCCAGTCAAGAGAGGCTGTCAGCTCAGGAGAGCCCTCTGGGCATCCAATTCATGGAGAATCTGCAGTCTCTCCGGCTTATAAAGTTTCTGAAGCCTCCAACTGTCGAGTTCAGAGCCAAACTCGACAAGGAGAAGTTTCCGCGGTTTCTACGCTGCCCCGCTCACTTGACAGTATAACTCTGAGCACGAAAGCTATTGACGAGTTATTTTACCTGTTGGTTTTCTTCCGCATCAGGCATATATCTTAATACTAACTATGATGCGATCAGTTACTTTCATTATCTTTCTCATTATATTCCAATTTTGGACTCCTCAGTTTCGCCTAACACCTACTACTCAGAATCACCTTTTCTTTTCTGGGTGATTATTGCGGTCGCATCAAGGATGTACAATGCTGACAGCAATTTGTTACATGCTCTTGCCCCAAAAGTTCTTGACATGGCGGCGATGTTGATCAAGTCTCGAAAGGCCGCACTTCATACCATTCGTGGTCTCCTGCTTCTTTTAACTTGGCCGATGCCCAAAGGCGCTCAGAATGATGAAGCTTCTTTCCCACTAGTAGGGGCTCTCTGGCATATGGCAATGCACAATGGCTTGCACATGCCTTTCTCGTCTCACGACCCCAGAATCAAGTTAGGTGAGGCTGAGCTTAAGCAACGTGCAGAGCTGTGGATATTTTGTACGATCACATATCAGCGGTAAGCTTAATCACATTTGTAAAAAGAGGCCGCGCTGACGTCGGTAACCAGCTCATGCAGCTTGGTCGGCCAATCACCGGTGCTTCCTAACTCACGGAAACAAAAGGCCCTAGTCGCATATCTACCGGCGCCCCTGAAGCTTCTTTGGAAATTACATAGTATTTACACATCATGCTGTGCTGCTCTACTTGAAAATGGTTTAGAAGATATGACAGGAGATCAAGAGCGAGCAATGGATATTATACTCCGAATATTTGAGAGTCAAATCACAGATACGGAAGATGAGATATCATCAGGTGCGCGTTTAATTTCGCTTTTTGTATTTATTTTTTTTTTTTTTTTTTTTTTATCTGGTCTGCTAATGAAGGAATAGATATGGACCGAGTATATTACGATATAGCCCTGCTCACCGTCCAAGTCTTTCACTTCTTTAAAAATCCACCCGAAACTACCCAATCACCGCCAATACCACTCATCAGCCTGTTCAACACCTCCTGCCGTCTGATAGATGATATTTCGTCTATTGATCAGGAAAATATCTTCATCCCTAAAACAATGACGCAGTACTTCCGTCTAGCAATAATCACCGCAGCATGCAGCTTGCTAAGAATTGTTCGCGGAGTTTCTGCACATTTCTTTGACACCGACGCTGCAAGAACATACGTCTTCAAAGTAGTCGACTTGCTTAAATCGGCTTCAAGCGCAAGCGAAGACAGTTATCGCTATTCAATCTCATTGTCACAGTTGTGGAATAGTCAAAAGGCGTTCAAAAAGCCTGATGGCTCGCCATATACCACGCTCAGAATCCGAGCCCGTCTGGCACTGAGTCCAGTATATGATGCAGTTTGGTGGTGGAGAGAGGAATTTGGAAGGCCCGCTGGCGACACCGGAATCTATCTGCGTAACGGTATGTTCTCAAATACTTTTAAAATTTCCCTAACACGTACTTCTTTACGTTCAGCCGCTTGTTACATTATCTTAGCACTGCCATGATCCGTGACCCGCAAAAGTCACTAATGGTCTTTAGATGCACCTTCGCCGGGTTCTACGGCGGGACGCCCAAATGCTCTACAACTCATGGGGTCGCCTTCCATTCATTCTGCATCATATCTCGAGCCACAAACATTCTCAGCATTATCTGCCAATGACCCTTTCCTCTCAGACTTTGGTTTTGGCCCATATGATTTCGCATTTGACAGTGCAGCTTTTTTCCCGCTCGACATGCCGTATGAGCTCACGTCAGGACCTTTTCCATTAGACGCCAACGGCGTGGCCATGTGATCTTATATTTCAGCTCTTTATACAATGGAAATACATTTTGGCACTCTCAAGTAAGCCTAAAAAGCCTATAAAGCCTGACTATATGCCGCCCAAAATGATTTCCGACTTGCCTGTCGCTTTTCTTAACAAAACATCCATCGCAATCAAGATACTTTCTGTCCCGTTCGCATATCAGAATTATCTACAAATGCTTCCATCCACCTTTCTGCTCCCGACCTGAAGCCGAGAAACCATCTCTCTCGAGCACCTTGTCACCAGCCATTAGCCCTTTTTATTTCCGCATTTCCGCATAGCCAAGCAAGTTACTATGGAAGAAGACATCAAGAAAACAGCAGCAACGTATCGCCACACCAGAGTATTTAAACCCGCCAAATACTGCACAGTCTTTATTTCTCGCGCACTATTCCGGTTCCTCGTCTCCCATCGCAGCCCCATCCAAATACCTTCTACTTCCCCAATCTTTGATATGTCAATAGATCCTTCGACAGGTGAGATACAAGCCCACACTCACGCGAGACCGCGGTGGTTTTTTTCATAATGACGCTCATCGGACCCCTTCTTGTCAGTCGCATAAGTACTTGCAGGTAATTCAGCATAATTTTTCAATTTTTCGATTGTTTGATGTTTCATTGTTTTGTTTTATAACAGATTGGATATTCATCAAGCTGGAACATTTTTTTTTCTTTCTTTCTTCCCCTTCTCCTCAGTCTTCTCCCCCTTCTCATTCTGCTTTTTGTCATTATCTCTAATAAAAGAATTAGTAAATACAAGACAAAATAAGACATAGTAGTACATACTTGGAGTGCGCATTGCATTTATGTTTGTCGGTCTTTGAGAAAGTCCACCCACATGAGGGACATACCCTCATGTGGGTTTTACAGTATGCTTTATTATTGACAGTTGTGTGTCTGCAGTTACCAGAGAGCTTTTTGGTTATAGCATATTGGATATTCATCGAGCCGGGGGCTGATTTTCTTTCCCTCTTTCTTTTTCCTTCTTTTGTCTTTTAAACTTTCTTTCTCTTTTTGCTTAAACCCCACGACATCTAGTTCAGCAAGAACAGCACAGGAAAATAATCTGGAGCCCTCATTTGCTCTTGATGTGCTGATCTCTGTTCTCTTGCACGCAGCACACTTCATCCCCTTGGACACCAACGCAGACTCCCAACCCCGGCCGTATCACGCCGGGAATGACCTGATCCCTTCAGGCAGACCGTAAGGGTAAGCGGGCTATAGTATTGCAAGTCTGCACCGCCAGGTAGCCACAAATCCGGCTATTAGCTTTCAGTTTGATGCTTTCAATTTTTGCAACAGCGACGTAGGTAAGGGCGTTGGGAGTGTACGCAGCGTTGCCGGTCCTTTCCTGCGTTGGTAGTGTTGTTAATGATGTTGCTGTTTCCAAGTTTATTTCCCCGCGATTCCTGCGTTGCCGGTGTTGCGTCCTGTGCTGCTAAAAGCCCACCCAGCCAATATAGTCAGACTACCTGCTCAGCTTTTTCGGTCTCATAATCTTGGCTTCGCGCTTGTTACTTGCTAGTTACATGTACGCTTCGTACAGCACACAGCGCGGTAAAATAATCTCTCGGATTTCCACTTCCACGGTCACTGAAGTCGTATACGCACTGCCTATTCCTGTTCACAAAACAGCGAAAATTCATTCGCTTTCGCCTTCTTTCTCCTTCTTTCAAAGCTTGTTTCAATTAGTAGCAGTACCCCAATTCAAGGTGAGCAGCAATGTAGCTTCAGAAAAATTGAGACTCAGTATCGATATTTCTCGCAGTTCTATTTTCTGCGTAAATTTAAGTTGTTATATGTTGTGGTAAGCTCGGGTTGATCGCGAGCATCAAACTCCTCCGAAAACCTTTCACGAGATTGCGACCTCTCTGGTTTTTCTGCCTTTCGATCCTCGCTAGTATATCATAGTGCAGAACCGCGCAGGACGAGGAACCACGGATAGCGCGCCAGGCAGACAAGTCCCGTCTGGGCCATATCGCTGAGATGTTCGAGAGCTGAGCAACTCGCCGCCATTTTCAATGCTCACAGACCAGCGCAAGTCAGCAAAACCAAAGCGCTCCGAACCATGAAGTGCGCAGCGGCTTGGTTCATATGTGTTTCATTTGGCCACTGCTCAACCAATTGGTTCTATGGTGTAGTGGTAGCACTTTGGATTCTGATTCCAACAACCTGGGTTCGATCCCCAGTAGGACCTTTCTTTTTGTACTCACAAGCAAACCTAACCTCACTAGAGGGTAAGGTAAAAATATTTTTTTGCAACATGACTTTCTTTCGATTCTCGTCGTTTTTTTTTTCTTTCCTCTTCTTACAACCCTGGCCAAGTGCAATAGACTTTGAAGGATTTGTTAAGAGAAATTGTTAGCTGTCAGCAAATTCAGAAAAATGCGACGCGTCTGACAAGCTCATGGGATCCGCCCTGTGAGGCTGCAGGCTGCAGCTTTGCTGATATGAAGCTGATATGAAGGGAAATAACGTCCGAACAAGTCTTGTAGATACACCATTCGTGGTAAACTTGTGCTTGGAGTTCACAAACAAGACTCCATTTAGTTAGGCCAAGTATGCTTTATGCACAATGGCATGGTGAACATTGACTTAGATGTTACTCAAAAAACCCTCATTCATGTAAAAGGAGTTTGATTGTTGGAAGCAGTGGCTAAAGAGGGGAAACAGTCCCACTCCCCACACAAAAACCCAAACATGCTGATGAAATTGGCATCAATCCTATACATTTGAAGCCTTGGTAGCTAATCCTGTAATGTAAGTACAGTTACTAGAGTTTGTATAGCCTGTGAACTGCAAGGACATCTTTTGATCCTAGAAATCCTTTTAAGTAACGGATACTTATCTGCAAGATGGCAAGGTGCAGCAGTCTCTGCTTCTTCTCGAAAAATTGTGAAAACTAAAAGAAAGTAGTCATCGTCAAAGAAGGACTTCCTTGGCTTTACCATTGGTAACTGCTCTGTTGCATTTTTCGAAAAGCAGGGGGGTAGATAGATGAGAGTGGTCAGCTCTCTGGGTTTTATAAAGTAAACCATAACAAGAAAACGGTAGTTGCCAGAACCTCATCCGTTTCAAGGACGCTGGCAGAGCATCTTTGTAAAGTTCGTCGCCATGCAGCATTTGAAAACTCCGCAGAGCAAGCCACCGGCCCACCGGTCGAGTTTGAAAAATTACCCTTGTGGCGCAGTCCAGCAACCACTGCTGCAAGCGTGAGTGCTGGGGTTCCTCATCGTCTGACACCGCCAACACGGAGCCTACAATGGGAGGGACGCTCGTCCCTTTTTCTGTACTGTTCTGATGGCAAAGGAACAAACTTTTTGTGATACCAAAGGCCAGTATTGGTAAACCATCGACTGGTTATCCACTTATCGTCTGCCGATATAGTCGAACTTCCAGAGGCGAGTCAAGTTACATGCCATATGTGTTCTGCTTTTGTTGATGTGGATATTGCTTTCATGACCATTGACCTCGCTCATGGTAAAACGTTAGTAGGCTTTTGAGATATTCCTTCGGAGAAGTTCTGGAGAAAGTTCCAAGTTTGTTGATATAATGTTCTAAGTAAAAACAGAACGGGCTTGGATATTTAGGGGAAGTCGTGCCGTTGACGCGTTGAATGCTTTGATGCGGCAGTTCAAGCCAAGTGACAAGCAGGCAGGCCAGAGGCCCACAACGCATAATAAGCTGAGCGGTAGCGGTATCTCCTATACACAAACCGCATTGCTGTGATAGCGCTTTTGGAGAAGCTATCTTCCTGGGATCAAATAGCAGGCAGCAGCATTGCCACGTGACATGGGTCAAAATACAAGCCCGAAACCACCAGACATAGTCCTGGAAACACAATGATGACTGCACCTTGTCGGCTTGCCATTGCAGGGTTTCGTATTCCAGTTAAACGACCTCCTTCTATTTCTGTGTTCGTGGTTGCGTCCACACCGTGCTAGCTTGAGCATTTGTGCTAAAGCCAGCGCCCAGAACGATGGTGTCGTTTGAGCGTGCTGGATAAAAAGTTTGAATTCATCCAATCGAGGGAAAAAGCCAAGTTATCAAGTTCGAGTTTTTTTCCCAAGATCTTTCGTTCCTGTCAATAAAGAAGCAGGTTCCGTAAGTTTCTGGATCTTGATGGGCGACAGCAGGACACCCAAGCCAGCGTCATCTCCCGTTTCGCTTGCCTTGAATTTGACCTTTCTCTTCTTCCAAGACCCGGTGGGGAGGCAGCAACTTGTGCAGGGTGTATATAGTTTGTATTCGTTGAGGGTCATTTTGCTCATTAGACATGATACTGCCGCGTTTGTTTGACCGCTTTTTCGGTTTTTATATCCCGAGAACAGTCAAATGCAATACATGGTCTTTTCTTTGTCGATGAGCTTGGTGAGTTCCCCATTTTGTTGCAGGAAGGAAAACGAAACAACAAGACACAACCGGTGATTTGGTTTCAGGTCCTGTTGGTTTCTCATCATCTCATTTTCCCTAGTCCAGCCATGCGGCATGGTTAAGTTCACATTAGAAGATTTGAAAGCTTGACACGGATAACTTCGATCAATTTCTCAAGTCATGCGAAAGCAGTCGAATGCCAATGGCAGAAAACAAAGAAGACATTATCTCAACAAGCAAGAAAGCCCGTTTTTTTGTGTGCAATCAGTCCAAAAAACATATGCATCAAGAGAAGGTCTGACTTGTTGATCTCGCCTTATTAAAAATAAGAAACAACTCGGTCTGGCTCCTGCTTCGTGTTGGACATTCTGTTTTTCCACCCACGATTCATAGAAAGATTGATAATGGTCGCGGTTCATATCTTCCCTTTCGCGAAAAGACTCAAGTGAAGCTTTGTATTTGCCCGGAATGTTTCCCGCACAGGATATGGTGCTGGGCTTTTGATTGTGTTTATATGTCTGAGCACCAGTTTTTGTTTTTGTCTTTGTCTTTTCATCTCCTGATCACGTTGTAGCGTGGAGAGCGTAATCGCTGAGTGCCTGTAATTTCAGCGAACCAGGGCTCTAAATTTCCCATTTGGAAGGGGCCAAGGTCCTGCTTTTAGACATAGGAGCTTTTATCACCAACTTTGTTGACATCCAGTTCTGTGGTTTCCTTTTGCTTTCGCTTTGCGAGGACTCGAGGAGCTGGCTGGCAATGACACAAGAACCAGGAGACTAGTTCCTCAAGATTTACGCTGCCTATGAAAAGCCAATAAGCAATTAAAGTGAAATCGAAGTCTCAATTGAGATGCATTGACGCCGAAAATCGGTCAATGGATATGACTGGTCCGGAGTCCGGACGAGTGTGTTTGTTATGCGTCGTTTGTGCTCAAGTTCGTCTTTTGACATCATTCTAAATTCGAATTAATATGAATTTATTGTTCAAAGTTATCAGCGATAAGGTTTTGAAGAATGTCCAAAGAGCGCTTCTGTGTGGGCCATCAGCCACAGCTGGTATAATGTTCTGCAAATATGAGAACAAAATCATGATTTTCGACGGTTGACTCTGAACTCGTAGTCTTGTTAATCAAGGGGTGTCTCGTTACCCCGGATCCTGAGATTTAGAATGTTGGAAATGTCGAGCTGCGAGTTGCTGATTGACAATCACTTCTTCAGTTCAGTGAGGTCTTCGAGCTCTTTTTGGGTTTGGGCAATTCAATTATTTGAAATAAACAGAAAAGCAAACCCTGCTCTGTACCGTCTGCAGTTTAAATGTCCGTATTTGACTCGTGAGCTTTCGACCAGCCATGATTTGGCCGTCTTGTAAGCTCCTCTGGTTGTTTGAACTCCGATATTAATTGGAAGGATGTACTAGCTTCAGTCCAAGTTGTTCTCCATGGAGGATTCAAGTTTATTTCTTTGAATGCTGACCTATATGTGCAACGCAAATTTTTATTTTCCACCCGTCGGGCCTTGCTCTTCAAGTCCTCGAAAGAGCTGTGGCGCTCTATTAATACACGGAGACAACAAATGTTCTTTCTTGAGATTCTCCGCAGCAGCCCCAGCGGGAAGCTTCAAAACCACGCATCGCGATCTTGTATTCATTTGACTTCTATACAACATAAAAGATTTTTTGTAGACTGAATCTTCCCGGATTCCCGCTGAGAAGACACAAGAAAACCAAGCGTTCCAATTATTCCATGCTGTGCTTTGGCCTTGCAGTGTTTTATTTTGTCCCTTTTGAAAGAAAATTGGGTGTTTTTACTTTATTTCGTTCATCATCAACAGCTGTTGGAATTAGGCTGCTCTTATAATGACGAGTTGAGAACCCATAACTTGCTCAATTATGATGAGCCTCGTGTTATCCCTCGGATTTTCTGCTGACAGTACTGAGCCTTTAATAATTTGGCGAAACAGGGTTGGTAAATAATTTTCTCACAATTCCTGGGCAAAAAAGGCAGTATACCTTGAAGGATCTCAGTCTCTCTCTCTCTCTCTCGTGTTTCCAGAAACGAAAACGCATAGCGGCATACCAACCAACGGCTGGCCTGAAAACAAAGAAGTTTTCCAGGTACAAAACCGTGATCGCTTCAAGATATGACGTTCGGAGAACGAAAAATGGGCAGAACTGGTGACTGCATGAAGCAGCCACCAGCAGCTGTTCTCAACGGTTCGAAGCCTTTGTAAAAGTTGAATTGGAAGGAATCGGAGTTGGTAGAGGGTTGCTTGATAAAAGCGCTTCGATTTTTCGCCGTGGCTGCTGTCCATTCCGATTTTGGAAAGCCTCGTTGGTGGCGAGAAGTTATCATTTCTTATTTGACTTCTTTGACTGAAGCCAATGCTTAAGTATTAATTATTATTTAAGTTATGAGTATCGAATGAGATTGAAATAAGACCTAATTATTCTATCGAAGCGATTTTCGCAGCCGCATTAGGATTTGTAATTCTTTCATTCGAGGAACCGCCATCTTGGAGCCTCGACTTCTCGTGACAAACAAGAAAAGCACCATGCCTCAGGATGGGTTTTGTGAAGCCTGGAAAACTTTCTCTGATAGGCAGTAAAGACCAGGCGGACCACGCAAGGACGGGGTTTGATGAAATGATAAAGAAGATATTTCATATTATGGAAGTTATCTGACAAGTAAAGTGTTTTTCGTGTTGAGGTGTTCTAATAATATGAAGTTCTTATGCCGCACTGAAAATTGAAAGAAAAAAAAATCATGATCTTGCGGCCGGGCGACAGGCTTTATAGATGCCGTGGGAGTCAGGTAATGCTGTGTTGAACGATAGTGACGAGTTCGAGTGACGCTGTGATATTAACGTTCGTGGTGACGCTGTGTGATGAAGGAACTGCAATGAAGGTATAGGTGCTCGACAGCCGACACGTATCTTGTCAAATGGAGTGACGAAAATCATTAAATACGCGTCTGGTGACGGTCGGAATCAGATGATGCCAACCCAAATCACTAAGAAACAATATTCAGTGTCTTTAGTCACGCGCAATGCCAGCACCCTCACACGGAGTTGAAGAGTTTGCATGGAGCCTAAGCCCTTTCCACATAGATCACGAGACGATGAATACCATGCCGAGAAGCAAAGTGACTTAGAATAAGGATTGTATTGTGCGGGACAGTTTATACCAGCTAATATCTCCTATCTGAAGGATAAAAGTAACCGTGAAACCTCAAAAACTGCTTCTCGCACAAAGAGACCAGCAGTTGTGCCACCCAGTCAACACGGTTAATTGCTTGAATCAAGCAAGGTTCGGACCAAGTCTTAGGATCCGTGAATCTGGCATAGTATGGCCTTGTGAGACAAGGATTTTCCACCCGACGGAAGAATGGTCGGGCTTTGAGGTTTGCAAGACCGGGGTCCCACGTTAAGACTGTATGGAGAAGGTGCTTTTATCTCCCAGCGCGTGTCGAAATGATATCCACTGGGCTTGATGAACCAGCTCTCGGTGGGTACACATCCTCAAGTAAAGTGTTTCCGTTTTCCTTGAGCATTCCAAGCACTGTTCCTCTGGCCGACCCAAGCGACGGGATATGCTTTGTGCTGAGTTCAGACTTGTTATTATAGTTAACGATACTTAATGACTTCATTTGCGGGACGAAATCCGGTTATTCGTTACCGTGTAATCAATCCCTGCTGCGGTTCGGGATCCATCTCTTGAGACTAAACTCTCGAATGCGGTAGCATTGTAAAGCCTCAGTAATATTGACGGTCCCCGAAAGGTCCGCAAGAGAGCTGGGAGGCGGGATGTCAACGTAAACGAGAACGAGGTTTTTTCGAACCTGGCTCTGAACACGATTGACGCAATGCAACCACCACCACTGCTTGGACTCTTTTGCTACAGTTTGCGACTTTCGCGACGGTTCAGACCAGTATGGATGAGAGTATGACGGAAGCACAATCAAGGCAAACTCAGCATGAGAAAATACCGGTCCGCGATTATACAGGAGATAATCAACGGCAAATTTGATGCCAGAGCGGACCACCCAACCGAGAGAGCGAAAGTGATGATAGACGACATACGAAATAAGAAAAGGATCATCTGGCTGCAAATCGGCGATAGCCTTTGGTGGAAAGTATGAATGTTGACGGCACATAGTGAACAAGGAAGAGGTGGAGATTAGCTGGCCAGTAGCTTCGTCTCGTACGCGGAGCGTGCCAAGACCATACGTAAGAAATAGCGCTTCCTCCAGAGTCAATTGAAGATGCTCCTGGTCAACAATTGGCTCGTCATCGCCAATGGTTGGTCGTGCAGCGGATGCATCGTTCTTCAAAGGGCGTGGATGAAGCTCAGACTCAGAAAAGCGAACGCTTTTTTTCGCATCGCCGGCTTCGCCGAATCCAGCCTTCTCAGGAGCCGGAAGAGCATCGACCGGACCATTGACGGCACCACCTTCGGTTGGTTCGCCTTCATGGCTTTGTGTCTCAACGTCCGGCTTGTGGACTTCTTCCCCATCCTGCACATTGACAAGCTTTCCCTCTTCCCGAAGCTTCTCCTCGATGGCCTCTCTCTCCTTCCTAGCTCGCTCCTTCTTGAAAGCTCTTCTTTCAGCTCTCCGCTTCTGGGTCACCTCTTCACTGGTCTCTACAGCTAAGAGACCTCTTCTCCGCTTTTCGCGGTCCATCCAGGTCGGCTCACTTCGACTTAAGCTTCCCTTGCCAAAGAAGCCCTGCTCCCAAAGAGCGCGGACAGTTGCGGGATCGGCGACATGCACTGATCTGGTCTCATTGGAGAAATACGCCTCAAAGCATGGCTGGGGATGCGATGGAGGGGCTGACAATAGGTGTGCAAAGAATGTATACGCCAAATGAAAGAGAGAAATAGGATTATTAGGTACAAAAGTTGGCAACGGATATGTCTTCACCGGAATAGGGAGTGCATGGATCCGAGCATAATTTGGCCTTGGCGTCCGCGGTGGACGCGGCGCTGGTTTCTGATCGCCAACCGCCTGCGGCGGCAAGCTGTCTGCAAAGACAGCCGAAGGCATTGTTAATGTACACGCATAGCTAGCCTACAAGAGCAAACTGTCATCATTACGTTAGCATATTACTGCGACCAGCAATGATGAAAGCAAAAGAGTAATTTTGAATCTGCCTCAGATACCGTTGTAGTCTATGAGAATAGAGCCAACATTGAGAAGCGACGTAAAGTCAATGTCGCCCTCTAAGCATCAAGTATGGTGTCATCACAGCAGTGTAATAAAGTAATTGAAAGAAATAATAAAACTCACATTTGTGTGACCTCACGTCACGTCGTGCATAGAATCATTTCATGATGAGTGTCGAGCTGAAAAGAAAGAAAGCTCTGGAGCTTTTTGTGCGGAGGGAAGAAAAATATCGCCTCGGCTGTTTCCGACCCACCTAAAGCAACACTTTGTTACCCGGCAAACATATTTGTCCAACTGCGTCACCAAACTCATGCCCGAGGGCCTTAATACCATTTCAATGGTTTTTGGGAGGTTTTGAAGCGGTCAATGAATTGCTTCTCACGATTTAAACGACGGAAAATGCTTCTACCACGTATAAGGCAATCTCTTCCCCGGGTTTCAAAGGCATTTTATGCCACTTCAGGCCCTACTGGGCCTCGGAATACTATTCGACGACAAGCGCCAATATCACGGCGCCCGATTCAACCACGGCATGAGGCACCAGGGCATGCACCAGAAGAAGAACCCTCCAAAGTGGAGGGGGTCTCTGAAGCTCTTCGATCGGCAAGCGCACAAGAGAACTCGCTTCTGTCTCCTGTTCATATACCAGAGGATCCGAATAGTGTCTTGAACGAACGCCACCCGGCTGTTGGGATTTTGGCTAATTCCGCCATTGTAGTGCAGAGGCAGTTGGAATTCATGAACGTCATGCTGTACGCTTCAATGAAAGTTATGATTTTCGGGGTATATTGAACTGATTACATCTAGGGGATTTGAGCAAGCAAACAAATATGTCATCATGGATCCCCAGGGAAATCATATTGGATACATGGCAGAGCAAGAACTAGGAATGGGCAACATGATGGCCCGGCAGTGGTTTCGTACCCATCGGAGCTTCACAACGCACATTTTTGACAAACATGAGAAGGAGGTTCTAAGGGTGAGTTTATTCGCGTAAGGCGAGGAAACAGATGAGCTGACGAGAAACAGTTCCACCGTCCTTTCTCCTGGATCAACTCCCGTATTCGTGTTTATGACCCTCTTGAACCTAATACAACATCATATTCGCCAGCCACGGCCGTACAAAGCTCAAGCCCGGGATCATTGAGCTCGGAGATCAACCAAACCCAAGCTCAAATTTCACCCTTGGCTCTTTCGGACATGAGAATCATTGGCGAGGCACATCAACAGTGGGCGCCTCTGCGGCGGAAATATAATATGTTTGTCTTTCGAAAAGATGACGGAGCTCAACAACCTAATGCTGCACATCCAGCTGCAGGCGACCTCCCTCTCTCAAACCCTGTACAATACCAAAGTACAGGGAAAGGTCCTAATGTCGGGGAATTTTCCCAGTTCGCCTACGTCGATGAACCGTTTTTGTCCTGGGACTTCTCCTTAAAATCTCATGATTCTCGTCTGATTGGTTCCGTCAATCGCAATTTTGCCGGTTTTGCTCGTGAATTCTTCACTGATACCGGCGTCTATGCCTTAAGAATGGATGCTGCCGGTCTGGCGGATGAACCGCGCCATCTCATCTCGCAAACGGGTCAGAATTCGGTAGTAGGATATGACCATAATGCTACCGGCATGACGCTTGATCAGCGAGCCATCATGCTTGCTACGGCTGTTAGTATCGACTTTGACTATTTTAGCCGTCACTCAGGCGCCGGCGGTATGGGTTTCATGCCCCTCTGGTTCCCGGGTGGGGGTGAGGCTGCAGCTGGCGGTGCAGCTGGAGCCGCTGGAGAAGTTGGTGCTGCGGAAGCTGGTGCAGGTGCCATTGGCAATGCCGGTAGAGGCGCCGCAGGTATGGGCGAAGGTGCTATTGCTGGTGCTGGAACTATGGCTGGTTATGAAGCAATGAGGCGAGGCACGAGCAGTCAGAGCACGGACGATGCTTCTCCGACGTCCGATCAGGGGCAGCCGCCCCCGCAAGGTTATGATCCAGCGCAGGGTCCACCTAACGGCCCCCAAGAGGGTGAAGAGGTCTGGGGAGAATGGAATCCTTGGCAAAACGGGCAAGATGGATCCTCTGGTGGCAGTGGCGGCGGGGGTGGAGACGGAGAATCCGACTGGAGTGACTGGTTTTAATACCGCGTAAAAGCATATATACACTAAATCTGGGTCAGTGGCTTAAAAGATGGACAGGAGTATCTGGATGGGCAACGGCGTTTAACACCTTGTATAGTAAGCAGTCGCGAATTCCGTACATTCATATAGTCATATAGCTTTTGGCGTTTCATATACCCATGTTCTAATACTAAAGGTCTTCTTCTTTAAAAAAGAAATAAAAAAAAATACCAAAATATCTTCATTAACTTCAGCGGTGTTTCACCTATACATTATGCTTTTCTGTAGTCGGGCGCTGTTCCAACTCACCCTCACCGCCTTCGTCACCATCCGCCACCCGCTAGGTTTCCCTAAACTACCACTAAAGTCCACCCCACCACATCACCGCCAAGGTATATTCATCTTCTAGCATCACCGTCGTTATTCCCAAGTCATCGCAAGAAACATTATTACTTGATTTACCCCCGTAATACTTTCACCGCCTCAGTATCCTCGCATTTGACCTTTCATACGCTTCAGCCTCTCAAATCTTCCACCTCAGCCGCGACAACGTATCGCCTCTTCTATACGATAGTAACCCCCGAACGCACATAAACACAAACCACACAATGAGCGCCTCCGTCGCAGCTAAGCGTCTCTTTCAAGAGTACCGGCTCCTGACCAACGACCCGCCAGAAGGCATCATGGCTGGTCCGGTGAATGAGGACGACCTTTTTTCATGGGAAGCTCTAATCCAAGGCCCCGAAGGCACGCCATTCGAGGGTGGCGTATTCCCTGCCATTCTTACGTTTCCCAAGGATTATCCTCTCGCGCCACCGACTATGAAGTTTACTTGTGACTTGTGGCATCCGAACGGTACCCCTTTCCTTCACCCCTCTTTCTACATGTGAACACCGACAAGGCTTCTTCATGCCTACCTACTTTCAGGCCCTTAGGTTGCGCCGCTCGTTTTGTTCCTTTCTTTCTTCTTTCTGCAGCTAATGCTACAAAGGTCGACGATACAGTCCCGCTAACACCTTGTGCTATATTCTAGTCTATCCCTCCGGTCTAGTCTGCATTTCTATCCTTCATGCTCCAGGGGACGACCCGAATCATTATGAGCACGCGTCAGAGAGATGGAGTCCGATTCAAAGCGTGGAGAAGATTTTGATTAGCGTCATGAGCATGCTGGCGGAACCGAACGACGAGAGTCCTGCAAATGTTGAGGCAGCGAAGATGTGGAGGGAGCGGCGGAAGGAGTACGAGGAGCTTGTACGACAGAATGTGCGGAGAGGGTTGGGGTTATAAAGGATGAGTGTACGATAAGCATCGGCATATTGGAATAATGCGGGAAAGGGGCAGGGCATGACCCATGGAGATGTAATTATTCTTGAACTCCTCTTGGAAACACCAGACCCAAGGGTTGGGGGAATTGGGGCTTATGATTGGGGCGCGCGATTGCATATATGGGGAGATGGCCTCGGCGTTCTTTTTCGTCTGGGAAGATTACAATTTGTACTGTTGGAAGACAGCGTTCCGAATCTCTTAGCCTTGAGAAGCTTGCTTGTAGATATTACTGGCATTGTTAAAAAGGCAATGTAGAGCAAGGACGCCGGAAGGACATTTCATTTGATATCACTCTATGTTTATTTTCAGCTAGCTTCCGTCGCTGCAGAAATGCTTGGATATAATGCTAATGATCGGCCATGAAACCCCGATTCTGTGCATCTCCGATGCGAAACATTCGCTTGTAGCGTAGCACACGCAACGCTCTCTTAAAACTTATAGAGATGCAGATAATAGTGATAATGCCAAATATCTCAAACCAGCGGAGTATTTTCCAGCAATTTCTCTTCAAGCCAAGCTTCTAAACTCATTTGCTGGTCACTGAGGATCTGAATTTCGGCCTTGACATTCAGCATGAGCATCACTTGTAGCTCTCTTTTCCAAGCGGTAGCCTCATCTTCAACTTCGACATTGTCATGCCCAGAAGCGATGTTGCAATTCGCAACATTGGGCAAGCCCATGGAAGATGCGTTATCCCACTCAAGCATTCTTTTGGCTCTGCGTCGATCTCTAGCGGTTAAATGGAGCAAGCCTCTTTCAACGTGCGTTTGAGACGTTTTCTCCTCATTTGCCGCTAAAGCAATATCATTGTCAGAAGGCACTCCTGTTCGATCAGGTCTCATGATATCACTGCTGCGGAGGCCAATCCAGTGGATGTTTGGACACAGCAAGTGTGGATTCTCATGCCTGAGCGATTTTGATCCGTATCTGTAAGTCGAATATATGGCTATGCCATCGGGATCAAAATCCACCAAGCAGTAAATGGGGACAGAAGCCCTCGCTGGATGATCAAGCTGGCCTGGGAGGTTTATATGGTCCTGGAGATAGCAAAGAAATGACCGAGTGAGAATGTCTGGATATCCTTTCGCCTGTGCTTACAAGTAATAATGCTTTAGCAGAAGTGTGGACGAGAGGATCGGTGAACGTTCAAGGAAACTGACTGTGACTAAAAGTCCCAAGCCTATAGGGCACTTTCGCCAGAATTGTGAGCTTGCCAATGAACGAAACGTCGCCTGTTGCTGGCTAAGCTGGCTTGTAGAAGGCTGCTCCAGCTGAGATAAACGCACCTCCTTTTCAATCACTAAAATCCACCTGAGTTGGGCAATGTCAATGTCAGTAATGTCTCGCACGTTGGGGATCAGCACGCCCTTTGTCAACATGTCCCTTTTAGTCTTGCTACAGTTTACTTCGGATCAGGATCTAGACCTCTATATTCGAACTGGCATTGATATCACTCTCGTTGGATTGTTTGGCGATAAGACATCCGACCATGAGGCCCTTTGCTGCCGCACTCTTGTTGGAATGGTCAGCCAATTGTGCAATAGGAATTCCTATCTTAGGGCAGTCCGACCACATTGAGCGCAGCTCGAGGGACGTGAAAAGTGAAGGCCAGGTCGTCAATGAAGCGGTCCACAACGCTCTGCTTGATGAATAATTTGGGGTCCTTGTAGAAGATATCTCTGCGATAATTAGAATTAACTGGGTCCATCAAACAAAGCATCTCGCACCGTTTCGTCGTTATTGTCCTTGTCACCAATGCTTGGTGCATCAGATCGAGGATCTTGACAAACACAGCTATCACATCATGGAAAGATCAGTAAGTTCATTGGCGTGTTATGAAGGGGGGTGATCACTAAATTTCCAAGCTTCTTTCGATGTCCGGCCGGGAAAGCTGATGCTGTTTCATTTTAGCTCGTAGTGGTCATTGAACAACTAATTGCACCCACTTCTGCACTGTGTGCGTTGCCCTTGATCTGAACGGTATGGTGAGTGTTTTTCGCTCACCGCGAATTGAATCCAGAATTGTATTGATGATCGCTTCAATCTGAGAAATGACGAGTTCATTGCTAGCTAAAAGCTCTCTCTGTGCTACACTGTCTTGTCGTCCAAGGCGACGTTCTGCTTCCTCGCAGACATATTCGATCGGCTCAAACGAGCCGTCTGTGGAACAGTCATGCATTTTAATCAGCTTAGGCAGTAAGGGCAGTCTCTTGTGATGTACTGTGGTGTATGCTTTGAGAAGAGCAAGATGTTTCTCTCTTGGAGACAACAACTGGACCTTCGGATCAGTGCGCTAATAAGGTTTCTTTAGTTCCCGCCAAGGCAGCCATTCAGCGCGACTGCTAAACTGTTGAACTTCCTTAATAATAACCCGATAAGTTACTCCGTAAGCTAAGCTGCGAGATTAATCAACTGCGGTGGAACCAACCGGAGACTCGGCGAAGCGGGAAAATCAGGTACATTTCCACCCGCAAGGCTGCAACTTGTGAGCGCCTCGAGCTCCTTCATTTCTCTCCAACTTCATCCTCCTCTTCATTCAACAATGGCCGATTCAAAGCCACCTGCGACGGTCGAGCCGGCCAGCGAGACCAATGGCAATCAAGATTTCGTCGTTGTCAATGAGTCTCCTGCCGATAACCTGGCTTCGTTCTTAGCTTCTGAGATCACAGACTACCGTGGCTGGCGGCTACGGGATGAGCGTGGAAGAAACACTTGGCACTACCTAGAGACAGAGGAGCAGCGGAAAGAATGGCCTCAGACTATTTCTGACAAATACTTTCTGGGCCTGGACACTGTAAGTCGAACTGCCACGACTGCAGGCTGGGAGCAAACATCATTTGACAATCACTGTATAGGATCTTCCAGCCCTTGAACCCGCAAAGAAGCCGACTCAGTCAATTAACAATGGTCTCTCATTCTTTTCTAAACTTCAACTGCCCCCCGGAAACTGGGCATGCGAATACGGCGGTCCGTTGTTTTTGCTGCCAGGTCTGGTCATTACCTGGTATGTCACTGGTACACCAATCCCGGCGTCGCACTCGACCGAAATCAAGAATTACTTGTTCGCAAGACAGAACCCGGAGGATGGAGGGTGGGGATTACATATCGAAGCCGAAAGCTCGGTTTTTGGAACAGCAATGAACTACGTAACACTGAGACTGCTGGGTGCGGATGAAGATGATCCGAGGATGATCATGGCCCGGGCAACCCTACACAGATTTGGAGGCGCTGTCAATGGTCCGCACTGGGCCAAGTTCTGGCTTAGCGTTTTGGGTGTCTGCGAGTGGGATGCAGTCAATCCTGTCCCTCCAGAGCTTTGGTAAGCTTTCTTTGTCACTCCTCGTATTTGTTGAGTAGATTCCTGACGGGTTTGACTTGCTAGGCTACTACCTGACTGGACGCCAATTGCGCCATGGAGATGGTGGATCCACATGCGACAAGTCTTCCTGCCCATGTCTTTTGTCTACTCAAAGAAGTTCTCCGCTCCGCTTGACCCGTTGACACGACAGCTAAGAGAGGAGATCTACACGCAATCATATTCCAGCATCAATTTTGCCAGCCACCGCAATAGCATTTCTGAGCACGACAACTTCCATCCCAAGACATGGATACTCAATACGATTAACTGGGGTCTTGTCAATATCTGGAACCCACTCATCCGAGTCAAGTCTTTGGTCAAGAAGGCTGAAGACTGGGCATATGAGTTGATTAAGATGGAGGATGAGAATACCGATTACGCCAATCTCGGACCTGTTAATGGCCCGATGAATCTGCTGTGTTGTTACATTCACGATGGTCCAGACAGTTACTCGGTACGCCGTCATCGAGAGAGAATGCACGACTTCCTGTGGGTCAAGAACGAAGGCATGCTCATGAACGGCACCAATGGTGTACAAACATGGGACACCTCTTTCCTAATTCAGGCCGTGGTGGATGCCGGTCTCGCCAAGGATCCCAAGTGGAAGCCAATGCTCGAAAAGGCATTGGAATTCTTGGAAGACCAGCAGATCAGAGAAAACTGCCCCAAGCAGGACGTCTGTTATCGTCAGCGCCGCAAGGGTGCCTGGGCTTTTAGTACAAGAGACCAAGGATACACCGTCAGCGACTGCACATCTGAAGCTCTCAAGGCTGTTTTGATGTTGCAGAAGGCGAATGGATATCCCCAGCTAATCTCAGAGCAGCGAATGAAGGACGCGATTGACACTTTGCTGACGATGCAAAATGCTTCTGGCGGCTTTTCTTCTTATGAACCTACTCGAGGCTCCGAATACCTGGAATATCTTAATGCGGCAGAGGTCTTTGGCCGTATCATGGTCGAATACGATTATCCCGAATGCACGACGGCCGTTGTCACCGCGTTTTCTATCTTCACCAACTACTATCCTGATTATCGTCGAAATGAGATTGAAAAGTCCAAGGAACGAGCCGTCAAGTACATCCGTCGTGCCCAGCGCAAAGACGGCAGCTGGTATGGTAGCTGGGGCATCTGTTTTACTTACGCAACCATGTTTGCCCTGGAGAGTTTGGCTAGCGTCGGCGAGAATTTTATGAATAGCGAGAAAGTACGAAATGCTTGTGGCTTTTTGCTCTTGAACCAGATGGATGACGGAGGTTGGGGCGAGTCTTACAAGGTTTGTACATTTTTGACCTCATTGATTAGCCTGAAATATTTTGGCTGACCCATTTCATAGAGTTGCGAAACTGGCAGCTATATTCCCTCGATTCGATCGCAAGTCGTACAGACCGCTTGGGCTTGTATTGCTCTCATGGAAGCTGGGTTCCCGGAAAGGGAACCTCTTGAAAGAGCTATCCGGATGATTATGAGTCGACAGCAATCGAATGGCGAGTGGCTTCAGGAAAATATTGAAGGTGTTTTCAACAAGAGCTGGTAAGTCTGAGGCCTTGATTTCGAATTTACGGAGAAATGCTCACTGTTGATAGTATGATTTCATACCCGAACTACAAGTTCATCTTCCCTATTAAAGCCATGGGCATGTTTATTGAGCGGTTCGGCGATATTGAAATTTTGTAAAAGCATAATTTCGCGTGCAAAAAAAAAGCGCTTAAGCATATATTACCGGTATATACATTTAATTATAGACTAATATCTTCATTAAGAACACGGGGTGATAGATTGCAATATTGTGAAATCCAAGGAGGCAAGTAGAGGCGTCACTGGTGTTTCTCGCGGGCCCTGCTCGCTGGTTCAGGAGATCGACAGTCCTTATCGATAAAGCTCCCCGCCATACCTTTTCCTTACCCGGCGCCATCACGACTGTGTTCCAGAACCTTCAGTTGACTTGGACCTACATTTTTCAGCTTCACACTGTTTTCTTTGCTCTGAAATAATTCTTCTCATTCCTGATTTCCTATCGCAGAGCTGTAAATTCAATATATTGAACCATATCTCCCTTGCTTCATAGCTTTATCTCGGCTGAGACTCCTCAACATGAATCAAGCAGCTCGCGGCGCTGCTGCTCTCTCTGCGGGCGAATATGCTGAAGCAGTCAAGCAATACACGGCTGCGCTTCAAACTAATCCAATGGCTGTAGACTACTACATCAAGCGGTCTACTGCATATCAACGTTCGTCACCGGCAAACTACAACTCTGCCCTGTCAGATGCCGAGAAAGCGGCCGTGCTCGCTCACAAGCGGGGCAAGCGAGAATTGATTGCACAGGCTCAGCTGCGCAGAGGAATAGCTTTATTTGGTCTTGAGCTCTGGGCTGATGCAGGCTTCTGCTTTGATATTGTGCGAAAATTGAACAAGGACGAGAAGAGTTTGACGATATGGGACAGTAAAGTGAAGTCAAAACTGGCTGGGCTACCAGAGGATGACGAGAAACGGCACGCAACCTGCCTTGAGGTGCCGGATATTAGTATTGATGCGCCCTCAAATGATGTGAAAGAAATTCCATCTTCCAAGATGCTTGAGGACAACGCAACGAGCGGCAGCACATCAGTGAACATTTCTTCAGGCGCAGGTCCATCGCAGCAAGAGAACAAGCCTGAGGGCGTCACGACACCCGCTAGCAAGATTCGGCACGACTGGTATCAAACCAATGATAGTGTGACCGTGACGTTACTGGCAAAGGGTGTGCCAAAGGATAAGGCAGTAGTAGATATTCAAGCTCGTTCAGTGAGTAACAGCTGCCCTACACTCCTCTCCCTTCACTTCTCTCCCAGTCCGTCTTGAAGCCACAAGCTAATAATTGCAGCTAACGATATCCTTTCCGCTGCCCGGCTCCTCGACGTATGACCTTTCACTCGACCCTCTCTTTGCACCAATCGACCCGGCGACGTCGTCGTACAAAATCATGTCGACAAAAGTTGAGATCATTCTCAAAAAGGCCGCTCCTGGTCACAAATGGCATTCGCTTGACTCTTCTACGTTGGACCGATCTGCTGATATCACATTACCCACTCGACCATCTCCTGGGAAGCCTGCTTCGGGCGCAGCTTCTGCTCCGCAGAGTACTGTTCCATCTCTTGGCCCATCATACCCAACTTCTTCTCGCAGTGGGCCCAAGGACTGGGACAAGGTCGCTGCGGAGCTCTCCAAGAAGCCGAAGAAATCAGAGAGTAGCGAAAATACAAAAGACAACAAGGAAGCGGAGGATGAACTCGACGACGATGATGGCGGAGACCCCGTCAATGCATTCTTCAAGAAGATTTATGCTAGTGCCGACCCTGATACCCGACGGGCAATGATGAAGAGTTATCAAGAGAGTAATGGGACAGCGCTGAGCACTAATTGGGCCGAAGTTGGAAAGAAAAAGGTCGAAACCAGTCCTCCTGATGGTATGATTGCCAAGAAATGGGGAGAATGATTCTGGTCGTCAGATGATCTCTAGTCGGCAGCATTGCGCGATGTCCATCTTTTTGTTCTCTTTCTTAGTTTTTCTCCCTTTCATGTCATTTAAAAGTATTTTGTTCCTTTAGTGCCTTGGTTGGCGCAAGTGTCTTTTCTTTACTTTCTTCCTGCTGCTTTTGACTTTTTTCTATTTCAGTTCCATTTGATCCCAGCCGCTGCTCCCTTTCTATTTCGTGTCACTTACGATGGATATAACCCCCGAACTTTTGTACAAATAACGCCTTTCTTGTTCATTTTTCAGTATCATCTGTCTCAGCATAGTTTCCCAGCAAAAAGCGTTACGATATGTTTCGTTTACGGCTTCATGGTATTGTTAATGCAATTTTCTTATCTTCTCAGCATCGTCCTGGCGCCCGTCATGCTTTTTTTGTTTTTCCAGCTGTCTCTCTCTTCTATTGGAGAATCATCCGTTATGTCTTATTTTTGTACTGTTTCCCGTCACCATCTCAAATACGATATGGACATCTTCCACCAGATCAGCCTTCAGGTCATTTAAGAGTGGTTGCGTCTGGACATGAGTTTAGCCTAAACAAAGAAAGAAAAGGACAGGTGCTTTGGTACTTGAGAGGAGGGTAACAATTGGTGAGCCACGGTGTTTTGTTGCATTTCACGAGAGAAGCGAAAATCATACCTAGACCGAAGGACCAATTGCGCGTGATTAATAAGCAGCCTCCCACCACACAACTGACGGAGAGCTGCCAACATGCTAGTTAGTTAGAGTGACTGTACGGACTCCGTGGATCTTGCTCACACCAAGCACGTCTGTTGAGGCCAAGATAGAGGACTAAGTTAGTGTGATTTCCCACAGCAACAGTTTAGTGCAGATAGTGTCATAGTTAATTATTCCCGCGTTTCCCTCTATTACAGTGACTACGTAGTATTCCCTCCCCCTTCCCAACGCCTATCGGAATTTCGGATTTCCCAAAAGCTGCCAAACAACCAGTCTAGTCCAAACTAAGATTTTTTTCTTGGTTGCTTTTTTTCTTGACTTTTTTCTCTTGCGCGACAAATTATACTTGGCTACTTGTCCGTACCACTACTACTACTACTACTACTACTACCGCCAATCTAGACAAGCTACGACATTGGCGGCAGATGCAGTCCCAATCACAGTCCCTGACCCGCCAGCTCCGATGTCTCCGCCGTCTTCAACCAGATGGCGGGGCTCTGACCCCTCGGAGATCTATAACCACTGCTTTGCATCACCACCAACATAATAGACGCACCCTCGCCTCTTCCTCTTCCTCTCCTTCTTCTTGCTCACCTTCCCTGTCATTAATTTCTTTTTCTTGTACCTATCCTGTATCTCTACCTTGTGTAGCACAAAGCAATCATCGGCTTTTGCACACTTATACTCGTCGCTGCGCTACATCCTCCGCCAGCGGAACAGTCTCATCTCTCTCATCACCTACAGCCTCCTCGATACGCTGCTATCACTCTTCGCGAAGCTTCACCAAGCTTTCACCAGCTTCCTTGCGACGCTTATTAGGAGTCAAGGAACAATCTCCTGTGACGCAAGTTAAGACGAATCAGTCTGACCAGTCCAGCACACCTACTGCGCAGAGAACACCACCGCCGCCGCCGCCGCCGCCGCCAATCAAGATGAGCAACAAGGGTACGTTGTTCCTTTTTTCCCTAACTTCTTCTGCTTCCTTTTCCTCCTCCTCGCATGTATCTATCACATTCCCCCTTTGGTCCGGCACGCGCAACGTGCGCTATTATTTCTTGGCTTGTCATCCACACCCCCCCCTCCCTTCTTCCGGCAACTGTACATAGCCGGCATGTTATTTACCTTCTTCTACAACTTTTCCCTTGCCCTAAAATCCTCTTCACAACTCCCGATACAACTTTGCTCCAGATTGCCTTTCCTTCGCGTTTGCGCTCTCTCGTCATCATCATGACTCACGGCAATCCAGACGTCTTTGATCTTGCCCTTGCGCAAAACAAGTCGTGGGCTTACCGCACCGCGGCCGAGGACCCCAACCTCTTCCCGTCGCTCGCATCTGGCCAAAAGCCCGAGATTCTCTGGATCGGATGCGCCGACTCTCGTATCCCCGAGACGACCGTCCTGGGTCTCAAGCCCGGTGACATTTTCGTGCACCGAAACATTGCCAACATTTTGCACCCCGGCGACGTCAATGCGCAATCCGTCATCGAGTACGCCGTCGTGTACCTCCAGGTCAAGCACGTTGTCATTTGCGGCCACACCTCGTGCGGAGGTGTCAATGCTGCGCTGGGCAACAAGAAGCTCGGCGTCATCGACACATGGCTGCACCCGCTGCGCTCGTTGCGCATGCAGCACAACAAGGACCTTCGTGATCTCTCTCAGCCCGAGGCCGCGCTCAAGCTCGTTGAGCTCAATGTGCGCAAGGGTGTGCAGGTGCTCAAGGAGAACCCCGCCATTATCGATGCTGTGCGTGAGCGCGGCCTCCAGCTCCACGGTATCGTCTATCAGGTCGCCAACGGAGAGCTCAAGGAGCTCGACACCTCGGACTCACCCGAGGATGAGGCCGACCGCAAAGCTGCCTTCCAACTGGAGCCTTAGATTCATTTCTTTGCATGAAGATGACACTGTCACATCTTCTCTTTGGGTATCGTGCCGAGATATTGTCTCGTCCAGCGTTTTGATCAGCTGCGGATATCCTGTTTGCCGGGTATACCCCGTGACCATGTCATAACCATGTACTTTTCGTTTCTCTAGCTATTTTCTTTTTATTTTATATTATTCAATCGGGATTGGAGACACTGGTGGGTTACAGGAGTGTAGGAGCGTTGGGGGCGTAAGTCGAGTGTCAGCAGAGGTGCATCAGCACATAAAATATCTACAACTATAAACGTTAGACCCGTGGCTTTTTCCTTCTCCACTTATATATTATTAATAATCTATTTTCAATGAATCGCATCGTGATTTCAATTATCATAATAAATTTAATTCTGAAGTTTTATGTAGAAATAGTACCGTAATTATCTCGTAGCGGAGTGGAGTTTACTTAACTTACGGCTATACAACATCTGTAACTAAACAGACGGAGAGTGGCCAATCCAGCGAAGGGTGATAACTACAATACAGCAGATACGGCTATTCTCCCTCTGCCGAGCTTACCCCACTGTTTGCCCCTTGGACCCTGGCCCCCACTTCCTCTCCGCAGTGTCACCACCAAAACATTACGTTATTGTAGTCATCCTTGCTACACTTCCCCTGCACTTCTTCCCACAACCCTCTCTATCGTTCTCTTCCTGTCTATCTTACACCAGTAGCCAGATCCTTAACCATTTCTTACAGTCGAAAGGTCCCTCCCTTTTCTCCATTCTAAGCAACGCTCCATAATTAAATAACCACAATTGAAAACCCCCAATACCCAACTCCCTTGTTAAACACAATGTCCTCACCTGATTCATTCTGGCCTCCGGGGTGGGATCGCGAGCGACTACTCAATGCCACATCAGCCGAACTACTCACTCTTCCCGACGAGCAGCGCTTCGGCATGTTTGACGGCATCCGCGCTACTCTCGGGGAAGAAGGTCTCCAAGAAACACGGCAAGAAATGAGTCGACGATATAGAGCACGTCTTGCTGCTGCTGCTTCTGCCGAGTCTACTGCCCAACAACAACCTCAGCAACAAGAAGTGCCACAAGTCCCAATGACGGACGAAGAAAAGCGACTAGCGCAGGAACTAACCGCTCCGTATATCAATGTTCTCGACAAATTGTTCCAGGGAAACCCGTGGGAAGAATGGGGGTTTGTCGTGTTTCAATGTACGGGATACGCCAAAGAGCAGCAGCAACGTTGGACGGCATTTAGACAGCGCTGGGACGAAATCATTAATGAAGAGACCTCACGGCATCGAGGCACCTCTCCTCGTGTAGATGAAGCCGTTCGATTGATTCGATTTCAGTGGGTGTCGGATCCATCCTTGGACGGTGCGTCCATGGGTCAAGTCGCAGAGTAGGTTTCCCTGATTTGATTACGTTTCGTGCTTTTTCTTTCCGCATGACCTATCCCCAGTTTCGTCGTTGTTTCAATTATCTCATTAATATTTGTCTTCTCTTTTTTGCGCTCATTAAATTTACTTCATCCTTCCAAGAACTTTGTTTCCACCTAACCTTTTTATTCCCATGTTCTGTTACATGCAACAAAAGACGAACCTTGTATATCAGTTTGTCCATCTTTCCATTCTCACCATACGACGAAATCCCCATTTCATTGGATTTCTGGGACCTACCTTACACACCCCTCGTCAAATCCGACATAACACACTGGCAAACTTGGGGGAAGGGAGAAAACTAACATGATCCAACCAAAACAGACGCTACAAGAACATGCATCTCCCCCGCGGCTTAAACAACTCCATCTGTCTAGCTGTGACTCCTGCATCATTAGACTCGGTACTCACGTCACCGCTGCCATCATCCGCGCCACGCTCCAAACGGGCCAAGATCCCCTACGTCGTAGCCGTATCCAAAGAATGCATTGACCCGCCAACTCACCAAGAAGAGGAAGAAGAAGAAGAAGAAGAAGACATTGCAGGACAAGACTTTAAAGGCTACTTCAAGGTAGCAGTCGAGTCTCTCCTTCAAGAGCTTTTCCCGATCGTGGCGCTGGATATTACGGACCTGTACAAGCTCGCGGCAAGGTTGCGAAGCGATGACGATATTTGGTGCTCGCATGATAGACGGGGAGTGCATAGAGTGTCTAGTGTTTAGTTGATTAACTTGACTTGTCTTAGCATTGTCATTTTTAAAATTGCTGATCTAGGGGTTGGATTGTCGTTGCTGATACTCTGTATTGTCGGCGACTCGGCATACATGATTTGCTTGAGAGGTTCTATTCCAAAGAAGTCATGATATATTTCTTTTTTTTTATATATTTGCTGTATTTCACGCAATGCATTTATCGTGCAAAAAATTACTGATACACAATAGATAATGACATATATGACTACTATTTGACATTTTGTTTTAAAATGAAATGAATAAAAATGACGAGATGTGAATATGCTATACCAGGAAGCGATATCCCCCACTGGAATCCTGGAATCTGGATCCTGGAATCTTTTATTTCCTCCTCATACCAAATACCGACGAGCACGCGTGAGTGAAATGAAATGCGGGACAGAAAAAAAAATCGCTCAGCTCGTCATGGTAAGTTTGTCGAGACTAATATAAGTACCGATATTCTTCAAGAAATCCGCTAATGCGTCTTGGTTCTCCGTGACTACCGATGCGGGATGGACACCCGTGACTGCAGATCGAGTCAAAATTAGCCAATCCACATCTCTTAAATCCATATGTCTTGATTCCATATCTCTTATCTCTTAGATCCATCTCTCTTGTAAGAGTAGGATAGGGGTTACAATCTATGCATGTATACCCCAGTAATCCAGTAATCCAGTACAACATAGCCAATGACATAGTAGAGATTTTTCTACAAGCCCGAAAAATAGAAGCAAAGGGAGCAAATGCAAGGGCGGAGATGGAAAGGGAAGCGCGGAGATGGGAAGCGAAAGGAGGGATGGAAAGGGGGGGAAAGGAACGGTAAGAAAAAAGAGGGGGAAAAAAAAAAAGCTTACTAGAAGGATCATTCCAAATGCTAATGGCATCCTGGAGATACGTTTTGAACAGCGTGGTCGCCGTGGAGACTTGGTTGTCAATGTCCGCGCTGACGATTTGCTTGAATGCTAGTAATACGAGAGATGATATTAGACAGGCGTTGATTCAAGAATTGGTCTAATGACGTGATCCAGAGGCCAGGGGAGTGGTTGTGTGACTGTGTCAAAGTTGACAGACTTGAGAAACTTACCTCCGACGTAATCGTAGCCGGCTTGGGCGCTGGGATGACTTGAGAACAATGACCTAAAAAGGCACGACGATCAGTCAGGACTCAATCCTTTGATATGAAAGGGACGAGAGATGAGGGATGAGGGCCGGGTGCTGGGACCTACCAAAAGCTAACGAGCGATTTGTACGCTGCATTATACGACTGCGCGGTTTGCGTATATCTCATGTATGAAAAAGTGCTACATCCTTCATTAGCTGGTTCATTTACGGAACTCAGGGGGGAGTAGGGGGTAGAGAGATGGGCGAGGGAGTCATGAATCAGAGGTAGAAGGAGACGTACTCTATAACATCGGAGAGATAGGAGACTTTTTCCAATTCACCAAAGGCTTTCCATTTGTCGCTCGAGAGGAAAGTAATGCCCGCGACAATCTTGAACGCGTTTTACCGTCAGCACCAGGGAAAAGAAAGGGGGTAGACAACAGCAGTGAAATGGACAAAATCTCTTACCCGTTCCTTGATAGCGTTCAGGTCGGCATCGCAGACTTGCAAGTTTGCATAATCTGCGGGCGCTTGTGCGTGTCCGAGGGCTCCAAATGCAGTCGCTTGCGGGGTATCACCAAAGGAAGGCGTCAGCGCAGACGGCCAATTTGAGAAAAAGGCCTAACAAAAAAAAATCAAAGTCAGTAAACACAGAGGTGGGTTGATTGCTACATTTTAACAGCCATGGATATTGAACCAGCTCGAAACGTACCCCTGTTGCGTCAAAAACGCCAGTGACTGCTGCTTTGCCAGCAGACAGGGCACCTCCACCGGGCAATTTACCGTTAGTCATATATTGAATTGCGTTGCGCAGCGATTGCTTTTCGAAAACGTGCTCCGTGACGAAATCTTCATTATTGGGCTGAGTCAAAAGTGATGCAACACCAATGGCGCCGCAAATGGCTGGTTTTGCGATAGTGATCCAACCCTTGTTTGCCAGTCGAGCGATTGTACGGTATCCGCTGTATGTCTGTGGGTACATGTAAATGTCCGGCTGGCCCGGAGAGCAAAATTTCAATTTCGAGCCCTTGTCAAGGGTCCTTTTGGCAAGGAGACTTCTTGCTTCAAGGCTGTGATTGTTTTCGGAGAGGGGTTCGTCACTGTCGAATTCGGGCTCCCAGAAGTCATTAAGCAAAACTTCTCCTCCGTTGCTAGACAATTTGATGGTGAGAAGATCCTGTTCCCAGCGTCGCACGTCCTCAATGGTAAGCGTGTCAAGGTCTCGAGCTTTCAGTTTCGATGTTGAGCTGCTTAATGCGTATAGCGTACAATCACCGTCAAAATCGTCGGCCTCGGCGTAAATGTGTGGAGCAGAACCGTCAGGATCAGGACCGCTGTTGCGACCTGGAAGACCAGGTGGAGAGGGACATAGAGAGATGTCTCCGGGAGCGGGGAGCTAATTGACGAAGAGGGAAATACATTGTCAGCGAAGCAGCCTCAGACAGCTCCTCTGAGTTTGGTAATACTTACTGCGGGAGCATTGGGGTTATCACAGCAGTAGTAGGAATAGGTTCCAGGCTGACAACTGGTTCCGTCGCTGAATCGATATTGAAAGGAATTAGTCAAAGAGTTCGCTGGAAGAACAATCAGAGAATTTGGACTTACGTTGCAATAGGGACTTGCCCGGCAGGACATTCTCCTTTACAGTCTGTGCCCAGGACCGGTGCCAAAATACCGTGCGCCAATCCGCCGGCAATCCAAGATTGGGCCCATCCTGTCCAGCTATCGGCGGTTCCCTGATGCCAAGCACAATGAGAGTTGGCCCAAGGGTCTGCCAGTGTGTTATATGTTAGAAACCCGTTTGAGAGGAGTACTTCTTGGATTGGCACTTACTGGGATTTGCGCAGCAGTACGATTTCCATCCACCATCGTAGAGACAAGGTTTATCGCCGCCGGGGCCATATTTCGAAGTCGTCTGTTTATTCGGTTTATCACTCGGACAATTGGCCGAAGTAAAGAAGACTCCAGGACTAAGTAGCACACCAGCTGTCGTGCAAAATGGTGCCGAACCCTCCCACGCTGCAATTCATGATCAGCAGGTAAATACTCTGAAGAGGCGAGGATGATATACGCACAGCATTGACCAAGAGTGTTATCGGAATCAGTGTGGCTGCAGCACAGTGATTTGTGACCTGTCCAGCAGGTGTGTCCAGTTGCAGAGGTGCTAGTTGTCACTTCGACTTCGTTGTCACTGCAACGACCGCCAGAAGTTGCTCCACAAAAGGGAGCCGTTCCCTTCCATTCGCATTTTGGCGCCGATCCTGTAGGGCAGCAATAGTATCTGCTGGATCCCTTTTTGCAGCCATTAAAAATGCCAGCGTATCCACTGACTTTCCCACCGGTACCAGTGGCAGGCTGAAAGCCTGTAGGACATCCAGCATCGCAGTCACCCCAAACACACTGTCCAATTGGCTTCTTAGGCCAATTGAAGAGTGCTGCTTCGGTGAATGTGTTGCGGCCGGCTGCCCCGGTTAACGCCTTGATCGCGGTGCCAGACGCATCGTCAGTTGACGCGGCCCAGATCTAAGACTCCACATATTAGCTACTCCTGATGATAGTCAGGTGCAGGAATAGATATTACCATGACCCCTCCTAGACATTTCCCGTTTGCATAATCCATCTTTTGCTTGAGGGTATCCGCATTGTCGTATGATACCCATTGGTTTCCACCCCTGTTATGAGTTGCTAGTCAGTTTCGCAGATCTCAAATCTCTTTACAGGAAACGTTGATTTACCATGTCACAATGGCAACACCAGCATCTTTATCCTCCGTGACAGTGGCACCGGCTGAAACAATATCCTCAATCTCAGAATACATGAGTGTACCAGCCGAAGCCGAGCAAGGGCCTGGGTTTCCACCACTGGAAAAGGGACATCCAGCGGTGTTACAAGATGGATCGGAGAGGGTGAAGCTACGGCCATAGAATCCCATGCCCATGACTACCTTTGAAGGATCGATGCTGTTCCTCCATAAGAGATCGAAAGTTTGGGTGATTTCCGTCAGGTTTGTGTGCGCTATGTCATGTCAGATCATGTCTCACTGGATATAATCGGGGTACTCACCATTGACCACCGCTCCAATATATGGATCGGTGGAATCCCTAGAAATTAATATCAGCAAGATACGGAGCTATCATTGAGATTTTTTTCTGCCCTACCATGTCCCGTGCAAATCATATGTCATGACGTTGAACCAATCGACAATTGGCTCAATTGACTTGATGTCAAAGTTTTGCATATACCAATACGAAGACGGTAGTGTGATAGTGAGGCCATAATTATGTCCACCAGAACCGAGGGCGTTCTTCAGGTTTTTAAGAAAGGAGACATAATTTGCAAAATCAGCCGGTTTTCCTGAGCGCTCGGGTGCGACTGGGTACTCCCAATCGATATCTACTCCATCAAACCCGTAAGTGGACATAAAATTGACCAGGGACTTGAAGAACTTGGACTGTGCATCAGCAGAGCCAGCCAGATTTGAGAAAGTAGCCGCTGTGGGTTGGTCTGGATCATTCATTGACCAGCCACCAATTGAGATCTAAAGGACGCACAGTATTAGCAAGGCCTTTCCCTGATATATAGGGGTTAATTGCGATTTACCCAAGTCTGTAGTCCAGGATTGTATTTTTTGAGGGCCGTGAAGCGCGGATACAGTTCGGTGTCACCGGCGGACATGGGCGCAACCGCGAAAGAATTGGGGTCCACGAATGCAAAGGCATAATTCATATGAGTATATGCCGTCAATAAAAGATCCTCGGGATACACTAAAACACGTTGTTAGACTCTATAGTTCTGAGCACTAGAGAAGCACACTCACTTCCTCGGCATTGTCTGGTACTTGACCATCCTTCATAGTATCCAATGACCTTTTGACTTGCGCTGTTTCCGCCACAGGAAGGCTCCGCTACCTTTTTGCTTCCACAAAACTCGCTGGTAGTGCCGCAGAATCCATATTTACTAATGAATTCGGTCAACACTTTTTTTGTATCTAATTGTGAGATTATCTGTCACAGACGAACTTACCTGCAGCAAACATTCAGTGGGCATCCTTCTTTGTTTGACCACTGTGCTCCCCAGCCAGGATCGCATTCGCTTTTAGCATCACACGAAGATATACAAACATCTGATCCACAGAACTGTGGTCCAAGACCTAATCGCCACGAAGCCGTCAGTAATGTCTTCGGCAAGATTTTGCCCAGTAGATCTCCCCATAAAAAGGAGCAGTTTACATACCACAGACGCCAGTTTTTGAACAACAGCCAATTTTACAAGGCTTACTGGCAGAACTGAATTGTGACCTTTCAGTATCAATTCCGTATAATTCAGGTTAATGGATCCTACCATGAATAAGGATCTGAAGACGGATCATCTGCGAGCAAAGCAGATACGGGTAATGAGAGAATGGCGCATCCTGCAATTAACCTGAGAAGCTGCATCTTGACTACCCCAGGATTTTTCTGCGCTGTTCATGAAGAAAGAAAAAAAGGAAGAAACATGAATTCTCGCGCACACATGTAATGAACGTCAAGGAGATATGATATTGGTCAATGAATCCGGATGCGGGTCCCAGAGGGGTTGATCAACCCTTGCGCGAGGCCGTCCAGGAAAGGAGGAGGATCCTGGATGACGGTGCTGCGCAAGTTTACAGGATGACCACCTGCGTCCGCCATCTTGTTAACCACATTCGATGTCATCTCCGTGAGATCGTGAGAGCTGAAAGATGATTGCAAGGGTCGGGGCAACAATGCTGACAGCGATCGTCGTTGGAGAAAGGCGGCCAAAGCAAGGATCGTCGGGAGCTAGTGCAAAAGCAAGTAGAGTCTCATGACCGTTGGGGTAGGCCTTCTCCGCATCCACGAATGGTTACATCGTCATCAGGAAAATGAGGTTTTAAAGTTGTCTGCCCCTGCATATAGCACCGTGGGGGCGGGAACAAGGAAAACCACGGTAGCCGGTCCCCTCCGGCTTCGCCCAAATCGCGGGCCGTAGGCGGGACACCTCGCACGAGCGTTACACTTTAATGGCCATGCGTGAGACATGCACGCCCACTTGCCTTGTTCAGCCTAACAGCCAACATGTCAGCAGATGATGATCCTCATCTCCGAAACCTGGGAGACCCCGAATTGGTTCATACTTCCGTGTTTAAGGCGGGGAGGGAGGAAATGAGATCCAAGGTTCCTGCGCGATCATGACTGTCGGTCTTTTGCTCACCTGGTTAGCTGACGTTGGCAAAGGGACTGCTATTCCCCCCTTCTTCTCTCGCAGCTGGAGCAGCGAGGGGCTGGGCTGTTATCCCAATGCCCATGTCCGCTTTCAATGTTCAATGTGCATTTTGACTCCAAGTCAATGTGATTCTTCATATGTATGAGCGACAGATATCTTAACATCTTCATTGTCAGTCACAATGTTGTTCTTTCTCGGGATTGTAGCGGTCTTCGCTTTGCGTGGCGCAGCTTATAGTGTAAGGATTCATGATTCCCTTATGATTGAATGTACCACCAATTAACAAATGTTTTGCAATTATTCAGTTCTTCTTCAACAATACGGATTTTAGCACCCAAATCGCAAACATTTCATCGGGTTGCGCGACGGCGCTTCAGGCTCCGCTGGACTGCGACCCCTACCTGACTTATGTTATGACCAGCAATTTTTACGGATCACTGGGAAATGATACGCTGCAGGCTCAATTCTGTAATGCAACATGCTCCAATGAGTTGACATCGTACCGGACATCAGTTGCGAGCAGCTGTGCCAAAGATCCGCAGCCGGTGCCGGGATATCCAGCAACATATTGGGCCGACTCTGCAATATCGGCCTTCAACCACATGTGTATGAAGGATCAAAGCACAGGAGCTTTTTGTGTTGGTATGTTCTAAAATGGAAGAATATCGAGTCTGAAGCTGACCGTTGTTCGTATTCTTCAGATGTCATTGCCGGCTTCTTTGCAAACCAAGCGACAGATGAAGATGGCACAAGTCTGCCCACCAGCCAGCTTTGCTCCAATTGTGTAGTTGACCTATTCCGCCTTATGCAGAGTACTTCGTACTCCAATTATGATGACACGCTTTCAGGAGTCTGGGCTACAATCCAAAGCAAATGCTCGCTTTCATACCCAACCGCGGTCCCTACTCTAGCAACAAACGTCACGCAACCTGGTGGATTCGCAATTCCCGGCTCTGGCTCGTCGCCAATCTGTCTCTCAGGTATCACCTATACTGTAGTCAGTGGCGACAACTGCGAGGCCATTGCAGAGAAATATAACGTAGCCACTGGAACTTTGATAGCGATCAATAATATCTATACAGACTGCACGAACCTGTACGTTGGTCAGGTAAGCCGTTTGAGCGCCCCATTTAGATAGTTCCAACATTTTTCGCAATTGTCTCCATCCAACCCCGATTCTCATTTTTTCGATAGAATCTTTGTATCCCGCCACAATGCACGACATATCTTGTTCAGTCTGGAGACACGTGCGACGGAATTGCCAACAAAACGAGCACTACCTTCCAGCAATTAGTAGCTTGGAATCCTGCCATAGGATCGTATTGCACTAATCTGCTCTCGGGTCAAAATATCTGTGTGAGCCCTCCGGGAGGTGTACAGAACTTGACCACTATTGCTGGAGCTACCTCTACAAATTCCGGGATCTATGCATCCACTACAACATCCCGGCCTAGCCCTGTTGCATCCGGGACTACGCTTTATTGCGGCAAGTACTATATGGCGCAGCTCGTGAGTGATAATGACGGCTCGTAGCTTTGCTTTGAACGACAAAGCTGATAGATATGACTAGGGCGACACTTGTCAGCTCGTCTCCCTCAACCAGACCATCTCGTTGAGTCTTTTCGAGGAAATCAATCCGGATATTAATGCCGCCTGTTCCAACCTCGAACTTGGTGTGTACTACTGCGTTCAGCCGACACAGAACTGGAACGCGACTGTTACATCCACAATCACTACTGCGCCAACGACTACTCCGACTGGAACCACGGCGGATTGCTTTCAGTGAGTGCCCCCTTTCCAAGAGACACTTCTTCATCAGAGAGTTCCTGGAACAGCTCCTTGAATGCTAACATCGATACCTTTATGAAGATATTATGTGATCCAGTCGGGAGACTACTGTGCTAAGATCGAAAGTCAATTCGCCATCAGCATGGCGCAGCTCATGTATTGGAACCCCAGTCTCAAATCCGATTGCTCGAATCTTGCGCTCGGTGAAGCATATTGCGTCAATGGCGAGAACCAGCCACCGGCGAGCACCACAGCTGCAGCCGCCGGAAAGCGTGACGTGTCTGCGTCAGGAGCACAGAAGACACCTGATCCCCAGATTTTCGGCCTTCCGGAAGGGTGGCCGGGTTGGAATGCACCAAACGTTGCGAGAGCGTATGCGGCCGCGAAACAGATTTCCTAGACTCTTTTGTTCTCCTTCTAGGCGGTCGGTTTCCCATTCTAGTCCGTCAATGGAAGGAACTCTTCCATGAAGCCATGGGGCTTGTCATATCTTTCTGGTGTCGGCTCCTATGAGAAAGTTTCTTTCGTCGATATCGAGCGTATATGAATGGATGGTCCAATAAATGCTTTGGAAACATCCGATAAAAAGACGTTACAATAAAAAGAGCGATTATGCATGAGCAAAGAATACTCCAAAATGCCAAATGTTTTGATAATTAGAAGAAACAGTCACGTGGAGGTTCAGTATGTCGCCCAGCAGTATGATTGCCATTGCTTTGCGCCTGTCTTGAGCTCCTCGTAGAGACTCTCCATTTGGCGACGAAGCCAAGGCCGTCTGATCCCAAAAGAGCAGGGTGCGAAACGATTCGCGCATATCCTCCCATAACGGACTGTACCATTGTTGACACGGCCTAAATTCTTCATCGACAGCCATTGCCACGTCCGATACCGAGGCATACTGCAAGTGCCACCACTCTGGATTATGGATCTAGATCCAAAGCGAAGATGTTCTGTCAAAGGAAAGCAAATTAAATCCATACTCATGATTTTGGGAGTCCATTCAAAGGGAAGATGAAAGTCTCCTGACACGACTTGGGTTGCCCTCGTAGATGTTGTAGATGTTGTAAATGCACCAACCTACCGCATATTGCTCGCTTAGGTGGCTTGCATTTCTGGAAACAACAGGGCAGAATGGTGCTGTGCAGGTGAGGAGAATTGATCCTAGCGGGACGGTGCTGCACTGCTGCCAAAGTCCGCCAGAACAATATTATCATCATCGAAGTCGACAAGAGAATATTTGCCGGTCGAAGATCTCCATGGACTATGGGCATATCCAGCCCGCGCCAGCCATTGAAGTGACTGAATGATTGTAGTGATTGTAGTGATTGGACTGAAGCTGTTTCTGTACATAGAGAAGGATATAGTATTCGATTCACGCGTTCCCGAGACATTCTTATAACACAATATATCTGCCTAGAAGCCACTATCAGATGGTGACCCTTTCTCTCTGTACCAACGGCCGTTGGACAGTATAAATCGATTTAACCTTTCAAAATGCGGGGTAATAACACATGCAATCTCTGCGCCATAGCGAAATGTGCTGGCAGCGCTTCTGATCAATGGTGTGGATGCAGCAACCCGGACATGGCGGCATTGGCGGATGTGGCTGAAACGCAAGGCTGATTGAACGTATTCGATATCAACTCTACGAGGAACAAGAACGAGACTGGCCAAATACAAGGATGGCTAGAAAAGTTTGGTGCAATAAATTCCAAGACAAAGCAGTAGCAATCTGAACCATAGGTGAACGATGAGCCATGAAGAGTGCCAAATCTCATTTGACAGATAATGGGAAATGATATGCGGCAAAAATATTTAGAGACTCGGAAAAAAAAAAAAAAAAAGGAAAAAGGGCAGTGATGTTTAAAAAGCACAACTAATTCAACAATAGGCCTACATACCTACTTAATTTGCAATTTTTTCTTCTGGGGAAATGCATACTCAAAAGGTAACAAGAGAATTCTCGAATGGGATATGCAACAAAATTGGGGTCATCTTGTTTATATATTTCCTAAACGAGACCCACGAAAAAAAAATCGCAAAAAAGATAGTGACAAGAGTGGGACTCGAACCCACGCGGTTTCCCACTGGAACCTGGATCCAGCGCCTTAACCACTCGGCCATCTTGCCTTTAATGACTGACTTTCGACCAATCGTTGAATAGCAGTGCATTAGTATCATATATATACCACAACTACCTCATATCACTTACTTGGGAAAGAAAATGGCAGTGTGTTTACGCGGCGACAGTGCCTGCTTGACACCATGATGATTTGAGAGACAAAAGTCACAAGGTCGGGGAGAGCGGAAAAGGGTCGATGTTCGTCATTATTCATGTTATTAATTACTAATTACGCTGTAGTAATATGCCAAATTGACAAGAAGAAAAATTCATGTCGAACCAGCAAAAGGAAAGAACTGATCACAATTCGACCGAAAAATATCATGGATTAAAAGAATAAAATTAAAAAATAATGAGGATAAAAATGAAGTCTCACTGACGGCTTATGATGGCAGACTCAATCATGCAAAATCACCTAGGTTTTTTAGGTTCTGATGAATTATTGTGAGATGCTGTTCTGACGTTGACGAATATAATCTTCAGCCCAGTCAGGGCTTCCCTGATTAATATCCTTTTCAGCGAAAAGAGTTTCATATGACGGATCCTGTGAATTAGTAGCCGACACAGAAGCCAGAGTCTCTTCTGGCCGATCATCTTCTGCGGCGTCAGGGGTCTCCAAGGCCGCTGGCGAGTGAGCAGTGTGTTCCAATATTTCTTTGGCGAGGAGAAACGTCACGCTTGGTCCTATTTCATCGAGGTTGACGGGTGCGACACCATGGCGCTTCTGCTCCTTTGCGCCGAGTTTAGCCACTTCAGTGAATGGAATCTGCAACGGCTGTCCGACTTGGTCCCAGCCAGGCGGCAGATAAGCCGCAGTCGCTGCAGCATCGTTTTTAATGCGCTCGATGATATATAAAGTGAGATCGAGTGCCGGATACTCGTTCCGAATTGCATCAAGGAACGAGTCTGGATCAGTCAATGCCGTCCATGCGAAGGAGAAACTGACCGAGAGGACAGGTCCAACAATGGGTATAAATCCAATAGCAATGGTCATGACATTGCCGAAAAAATTTTGAAACCACGTCGTGGGTTGATGGGGCGCCCACTGCAGGGAAAGACCGTAGTTAGCACCGGCCACCATGACCCAGTCAAAGTCGTGATCATTCCAATACGTCGGACCAAGGGCTCGGGTTTGGACTTCTGTGGATGGAACGACTCGGACAAGCTTTGAAGTAAAGGCCGTTTCGTTACGCAGCTGTCGAGGCAATGAGAGAAGATTCATCAGCCCATACATGTTGATGCCGATGGTATGGTCTCGTCGGACCCCGAGACCATCCGTAGTGTTGCAGGTAAAGCTCAGAAACTGATCTCCTTGAGACCAGATTCTCACTTCACCAGTATGGGTAAAGCTGATATGGAGAAAGGTGCAAATCTGATCGTAATCTTCCGAGGCTCGATGTGCTAGGGGGATATAGATGGCACGAATGCCTGCCAGAAGCTACAAGAAGAAGGATAAGTGCTCAGCAATATGGATGCAGCGTTGCTTAGAGTGAGTCATAATGCATCATGGAGGTAGGGGGCTACCCACATCAATCCAAACCCACTTCTCTTGGTCAGTTGGCATCGGCATCGTCATAAACCAAGCCTAAATCTTTTATGAGCGGAAACAGGACTCAATGTCGTGATTCCCTGAAGGTATTGTGTACCTGGTAGGCTCCACCTTTCTCGCGATCTCTGAAGGTATTTCCATGGACGCAAAGATTATGCTGTATACGCCTCGTGATACCAGTCCTGTGATCGGCGCCATACTGAAACGGAAGAAACTGGTAATTGCCATATAGGGTATTCCAAAGGCTTCCCTTAACGATGGAGTATCCAGAGCGTATCTGCGGCCACCCGTGAGGATTGTTGACTTCCCAATGGCTATGGTCGGCAGGTTTGTTCCATATATATTCAAGCATAAAATGGCTGTAGAAATGTTGAGGGTTGTCCGCTCGATAGTGCCATCCGCTGGGAGAGTTCAATCCGCTGCGTCGGAAGAAACATTCGCCTTCGGGGTATGCTAGAGCCATCCTTTGGAGGAATTGAGAGCCGAGATATCCCAGATAAAATGCAATCGAACTAGAGTCTTTTGGAAGGTGAATGAACCGAATTAAGTGTCTCTCTTATATATCGAGCCAGAGACCTTAGATAGCTTCTGTTGCTCAGGTATTAGGGCGGAGGAGCTGTTGGATGCGTCATGAGGGTCGTACAATACCGACAAGGGTCCTTCCTCAGAAGTGGATAAACTTTCAAAATCATACAAGGGCCGGAAACCAAAGCCAATTGGCTTGCCACACGTCTCGACAAGCACAAGAGGAAAAGGAGGGGTTGACAAGGTTTATCGAAGCGATTGCCCTTGAGGTTGATGGGAACCTGTCAATACAAATGAAAGTGATTGCGCAGTCCAAACCTGTGACTTTCTTATGCTTGTGGATCACAGCGATCGTATGACTTCATCATGGCGAATCGTATCAGAAGAAATTAAAGAGCTAACAGCTGGGCAACCCGTGATCGTTTTGCGTAATGGACAAATGAATTGGCATGCCTTTAGGGATGCCATAAATGATATTGCTGATGGATCCAAAATTTTGCTCAACGTAGCTTGTCTCAGAATCGTAAAAATCGTAGCATACAGTAAGTTTAAAGGATAATGGATGATGACGTAAAAAGAAAGAAATGACGCCAAAAATGCAAGACTTGACCATAATTTTACGGCGCGTAAAGAGCAAGATATTTCTCAAGGCAAAATGTAGTGGAGCCCATTTTAAACAATACGTCTAAAGGTTATTTTCTTTCTTGAACTTGTCCCATGCTTCGTTTAGTGTGCTGAATACTGCCGCGCTGATCATTCTTTGCTCGGTCGTAGCGGATGTGGAGAGCTATTGAAAATTTAGTGACATACCTATGCGATGAACGACAAATGCATATACGGGCTGAGGACGTGAAAATGAACAGAAACAGAAGAGAGTGTACCGAACCCACCTTGTCAGGATGAACCTTGGCAATGCCTTTCATGTAAGCAATCTTGACTTTGTTAGGCATAACAAGCTCGTGCATTCCGACCTTTTTCCAACCCGCTTCTGGCCAGAGAACTGTGTCGAGACTGCCAATTAGTGCGCGGAGATTGTCCTGCTTCCCTCCTCGCCAAGCTAATATCCGAGCCTCGACTTGATCGGCCAGGGCAAATTTCTCATCGTCAGCCTTTTCAGCAGCTGCATTGGCAGCGCGCAGCAGATTGACTGCTGCGCTAGGTTTCGCAGGTAACGTTGAAGGGCGTGCGACAGGAGTTCCCGCGCTTGATGCCGCGGCCCGCCTGGGGGCTACAGCTGGAGCAGATGGTCTCGAAGACGATCTCGAGGAACCGGCATCACCCCCAAGGGCCTTGTCGCATCTGTTTCGGCCCTGGATGCTAGTAGCGCCTCCAACACCAACTGCAACTGCTTCCCGCCAAATACTTCCTGCTTCCTTCCATCGCTCCATCTGCTCCAGCGCCTCAGCTTTGCGCATGAGGGCCTTGCCATAAAATTCTGCCATGTCCTTATGGGCTTCACCATTGCCAAGATCGATTGTCTCGCCCGCACCGCGAGATACTCCGATAATGGATAGAGCCAGATCTGCATCGGCCACGGAGGCTTTCGGATCGCCAATCTTGAGATTAGTCAGGGCACGATTACAAAGAACAATAATCGCGATAGGATGAGTCTGAGGAAGAGGTGATAAAGCTCGAGAATAGGACTCATGAGCTAATGCATAATCTCCACGCTTGAATGCGTCGGTGCCTTTTCCACGATGAGCTGCTGAATCTGAGATTACCTGCGGAGAGATCTGGGGGATTTGGCGAGGTAGTGCTTTGGGCCGAGTGGGAAGAGGTGTGGAGGTTCGAGTAGAACTTGACGAAGATGCTGTAGTGCCAGCAGTGCTCTTTTGTAGGAATGGATTATTGGACTGAAGCGGGGGTGGGGTGGCGGTTGGTGCGGAAGCTTTGGATCTGGCACCACCACTGCCGAGAAGATCCGGCTCCTCAGCCTCGACTTTTGGCGCGGCTTTCCTGCGTCTGGCCGGGCTAATATATGCCTGCGCTGATTGTTCTTCTACAGCTTGGCGGCTAAGTTTTGAAGCCGGTCGCCGCTCCTGGCGTTGTTGTAGAAATCGTGGCTGCGACGGTAGCGGTTCGGAGCGTACGTCCCGAGCTGCAGGTGCTTTTGTTTCATGCTCCAAGCTTGGAGAAGCCGATCTAGCCTCAGCACGTCGGGTATATGGAGCGTTTGTTCTGCTTTGAGGCCTCGAATCACCCGATTCCAGCATTAAAGCCTCGTCAGTCATGTTTTTCTGCAAGACAGGGTTCGGCCGAGGTGGTAAACCGTCCGGCTTGCCATTGTCTGCACGACTAGAATGCTCTCTTTGGCCCTGGTGACGAGAAGGTACTTTCTTATGCATTTGGGCTTCTATTTGTGCGTCTCTCATCCATTTTGGCTGGCTCGGATCCGTCTCATGATGGAAATCTGCAACGGCCGCTTGTACCCTTCTTTGGCCAGTTTTCCATAGTGTATTGGCAGATTTGAAAAGACTCACACCAATCTCTGATGCGTATTGCGCAATATCTTTATCACTTTCGCCGGGGGTGTTGTCCCCAGAGACTCGTTGCGCCGGGCTGCCCCGGCGTTCGGGTTTCATCCAGGCGGGCATGGACGCAGTCTCCCGTCCATCCCTATGTCTTCGTTCAACATCCGTCTCTCTTTCTGTAGAGCGATTATCCTGCCTTGCAGAACGGGTCCGTGACTCTGGCTTTTGAAGAGTCTTCTGTCGTGCCTCCTCATGTGCCTTGTTCAGAAGCCAGCCTACAGCCGATTGTATGTCATTACCTGTCGCTTCAACGGCCTGTCTTGCCTTTTTGGCTGGGAAACCCATATCGACAAGCTCTGCTACCTCTCTATCCAGCCCACTTGCTGGCAGCGGCGGCTCGCCTTCATGCTCTTCCTCCTCACGTACCGGTGGCGGGCTTTGTTTCTTTGGTGGAACTAGCTCGGAAACCGGTTTTCCGAGTAGCCCCAAGACATCATCATCGTCATTACCGCCACCTGCCTGGACAGGTGTTGCCGCTGTTTGGCGCTCCTGCCTTGTGGGATGACCTAAACCAAAAGGGTCATCATCGTCGGCGTTGAGTAGATTAGAATGGGCAGACCACTCAGCCTGGCCAGGCGAGGCTCGACTAATTGATGCGTCTGCAGGACTTGCAGAGGTTTCAGGCGGAGGGGGAAAATGACTTGATGCGTCAACAGGAGCAGCGGAGGAAAAAGCCGCAAGCAAATCACCATCAGCAGCGGCTGAATGGATTGTCTCCCGCTTGTCCCCGTTGAGTGTTGCCAGCGGCATCTGTGTCAAAGATGGTATATTTGCGGCTGAGAGAGGTGTCCCAGATGATGCTGGCGGCGTGTGGATCGAGGCTGCAGTTGACGTTGGTGTCCCTTTTCCGCTCTCCAGAGTACTCCAGAATTGATTATCGACCCCGAAGTGAGCATCATAAAGCTTCCTCTGCTCTGCATCATCCTTTGCCTTTTGTTCCTGCAGACGCTTTTGTCGCTCCTGCAAAGAAAGATTATTGGGAGACTTCGATCGGCCAAAGGATACTAAGTTCGAGAAGCTGTCGTTGACAGGAGTATTTGACTTTGTAGAGGAAGCGGTGCCGGTAGAAAGGCCAGTTCGACTACCGGAAGCTAAGTTTGACAAGGGAGTCGATCTACCCGACATAGCAGGAGGCGGGGTTGGTCTGCTGACGCCATACAGAGCTCCAAAATTGGTCGTGTTGGGCTTGTTGGAATCATTCAATGAGCCGGCCTTCCAACTAAGGCCCGCAAGATCGTCCATTATTGAAACAATTGGGGGTACGGTCAATAGGAAAAAGAGATTTGGTCTATCATGGATGTAAATGATTGAATTATAGTGATAAATACGATAGGTCAGCTCGACATGACTCAAATAGAGACGGTGCAAATGCGCCCTTGGATTGGAATTAAATGATGTTGACAATCATAGTCCTGTACACCTTTGGGCTCTGACGTTGGACGCCGAAGGACAACGGCAGTCCATTTATGCCAAAGATGCAGAATGCTTTTCAAGACACGCAAACCTTACTGCTCGAATTAGATCATTACTGCAAGGAGAATAGAAGGACAAGATGCGAAATGAATTTGCCTCTTTTTGATGTTGTCTTATTGTCCACAAGACCGCATTACGCTGCTCCTCTCATTAATCGTATTTTCGTCGTAAAAGAAGCTTCGGCATAAGCTATGACCTCGACCGCATTCGGAGTCAGGGGGGCCCTGACAATTAATCATTTTAAAGTGCTTCTCTGCTTAGTACATGGCGATATTGAGACAAGTACGCGTCCAGGGAACTAAATGGAAATGCAACCTCAACGAACTTTATGGAGGAACGGCCAGCCCCATGTAGGGTTGCAATATCTTCGAAGAATAATTTTGATTCTAAAAGGATCGACGATGGGGCCAAAGCACAGAACCCATCACTAATCACATGCAGTGAAACGGTTGCCCCGCCGCATTGAGTCTCCTCCCTATCAATTATTCCGCTCCAAATCGAAGTCATAAACGCGCGTTGAATGTATGGCATATATAAATTCCCAAAGCTATAGCCACTTCAACGTTTCTCCTGAATTATACTCTGGAGACGATCACTACGGAGTTTCTTCCGCGATCCTTATCCGCGATCACACCATGCCATTGATTCAAATTCCATCTTCTCACTTCCCAGAAGAGACAGGTCGAAATTTCGAGTGGGACTAAGGTTTGCCAGCTTTGGCTCTTGCTTTTCGGACTATTGAGGGTTCCCAGCTCAGTACAAATGGCAAGGCCGCGAAGGGGTTTCGGTCGAGAGCTTCTTCCTCAGTGCACGTTGCCGACCGATTTGCGCGATCACCGCCGCCTTACCCGCGAAAAATTTTCAAATCAAGGGCTATTGGCAAGCCGTAAGACCGCGTTGTGATCCTTTTGGATCTGAATGGTCCACGTTGTCGCAAAGAAGCTGCCCACAGAATTCTGAGCTCCTGAGATGAGATGGTCTTTGCGATTTATATATAGTTGTAAGCTCCCAAACAACAGTAGCTGCATCCCATAATCTTTCGCAGCGAATTGGAGCTTGCAATTCGCAGGACACGATCAAGCTGAAGAGAGGTCGCGTGTGGGCCGCCAATGGTCATGGACAGCAACCCCCGTCTTCCGGTCCGATGTGGTGATTTGTGGTGCCGAACGCTCCACTTTGGCCAAAGTTGCGGGCGGCCAGAACTAGGCCAAGCCCCTCCAAGAATGCATGCTCCTTCAATGCCCCACGACCATGCTGGGCCGTACTCCATTCTACCAAGCGTGTGCCGCTGTTGTTCTTTGACTGCAGTACTCGGTGGATCCCGGTAGAGAATCGGTACCAATTTAACCCCCTGACTAGCCTAAGTGCCGCCGACAGCTCGGAAGGGTGTCTGGCTATAGCTAAGGCCTGGAAGGCGTTGGTGGCTCGGAATAATGGCAACGACGACCGACTACAGACCCGCGGCATCCAATTGCCTAGATCGAAAAGGGTCCCCTTTGGTCCCTGGTTCGGAAATCAGGGCCGGTGCTACTGGTCGGACGAGGTCTGTAGCATCGATCGGACAGTGCAATCAGAGAGAAGCATGAAGATTTTGAACGGCTCTCTAGACCCTTGATGCTTATGGGTTTTCTTCGGATCCTTGGATCCTTTGACGCTTGGTTTTCTGGTTGCTAATCGCTCGATCCCGCATCTCTCATCCCTGAATCTTGTAAATTATCCTTTCGCTGGTGCGCTTGGTGGATTTCTCTCCCCTGTCCTTTTTTTCAATGGTTCCTGCAGCGAGAGGCCCCCTCTTCTCTCGACGGGAGCGACTAAGACCTCGATAAATGATTAGCGGGGAAACGCACAGAGATCAGAAGATGAGTGGATGATCAAGTAACTCCGGATAGCTCATGTATTTGGCCGCGATTGTTCGAGGGATAATAGTACGTAGTATAGTGGTAATAATAAGAAGGAGACTTGCACCTGTCTGCAATTGCCCGTCGGTCTGCACCCCCCGGATCGTCTTAAACTTCTTTCTTCGCTCTCTATCTCAAGATTTGTTATGTCCATCGTGTTCATGTTCCATTTTGATTCCTTGCCGATTGGTGGTGTTCAAGAGGGAAATCTCGGATAAACTGTCAGCAAGCATAGCCTGACTTTGATCCTGCACTGCATCAAGAAAAATTGAAAAGTCGAGGAGTGCGATTAAGGGTCTCGACCCAGTGAAAGCCCAATCCTCGCCACAGCCAACAGCGTACTTGGTCTCCTTTGTCGCCATTGCGAGCTCGTTCTGAAGATCCCATTCGAAAAAAAAATAAACGCATTACAACGCCCCGCAGGACCAATCCCAGCACATCTTTCCTGTCCAGCAGATTGTGGTGCAGTATTGTAGGAAAGTTAGACGAGAGAGGGAAGAAAGCGCAAATCTACAATGGGTATTTTTGGACGGAAGCAGCACCGCCCTCCCATTGTCGTTGATCACAATGGCGTGGATTCCCGCAAAGTCAACAGACCAGTCAAGCCATCAGAGCAGTTGAGACTGGCGGCCGGTAGTCCAACGTCACCGTTTGCTTCGACACCCACGATCATCCCTGACACTCCGCTCCCTAAGCCACCAGATCCGGCAGTGGATCCAGTGGCTTATTTGCGAAGCCTTCACTCTGTCAGAGACAGAGCTAAATTCGTGCTCGAAAAGGCTCGACAGAACCAACTTTCGCACTTTACGGTAGACACATCCAAATTCCGGGATACCGCTGCATACATTGTCTCCATAATTAAGGCATGTTAGGAACCCTTGCCGAAGACCTCGTGTCAGAATTTGGCAAATGAACCATTATGGCTGACTGGAAATTTTTTGCTGCAGAGGGATTATGCCCCAGACTACGAATCGATTCCTCCTCATGGATGTTGGCAACACTTTGAAGCTGGAGGACGACCACGAGTGGACCAGCTGCTCCAGTCATGGCCCTCAACCGTGGATGCGCAAGAACGAACCCGGCGCTTGGTGGACCTATTTACCATATCAGTCTTGCTTGATGCAGGGGCAGGGACTCGTTGGCAATATCGAAGTAAGGAATCTGGCAAAATTTTCCGGCGGAGCGAAGGTCTAGCAGTCGCTAGCTTAGAGATGTTCAAAGCCGGGATGTTCAGCAGCGACGCAAATGAACCTTTTCAAGTAGATGGTCCTGGGCTTCGAAAACTCACTCCGCAGACCCTTGCAAAGGGTCTACAAGTCTCCGAGGATAACCCTATCGTCGGATTGGAAGGTCGTACGGGCCTTTTGATTCGATTAGCTGCTGCTTTGGAGAATCAAGAATTGTTTGGTGTTGAGGCTCGACCGGGGAGTATGCTTGGTATGAGCCTTTCTATGCATCTTTCTGCTATTTTGTCCAGCTTGCTGACAGGGTTCAGACTATCTTCTTTCACATCCCACAACACAAGCGACAGCTATTCCCATAGTTCCGCTTCCCACTCTTTGGTCTGTCCTTATGGACGGCTTCGCTCCTATTTGGCCAACTGGCCGTACGCAGATTGATGGAGTGTCATTAGGCGACGCCTGGCCATGCTCATCCATGCCGTCACATCCATCCCAGCCATGGGAGAACATCTCGCCCTTCCATAAGCTCACACAATGGCTGGCTTATTCGCTGATGGAACCAATGTCCAAATTACTTCACATTCACTTCTCAGGCCGACAGCTGTTAACAGCATTACCTGAATATCGCAACGGCGGGCTTCTCATCGATACCGGCCTTTTAACTCTTCGCGCCGATGACGCCAAACGGGGTATTGCTGCCTATCATCATAATGCCAAGTTACAGGGACAACCCAGTATGGAGGTTGTTCCTCTGTTCGCTGCAGATGACGATGTTATTGTGGAGTGGCGAGCGTTGACGGTAGGATTCATGGACGAGTTGTTGATCGAAGTCAACAAACTTCTCGGCTTCCCCAAGGGCGAAGGACTCAGCTTGACGCAGATGCTTGAAGCAGGCACATGGAAGGTAAGGCAGAAGAGCGGGCTCCATCTACATGACCAATGATCTGACCGGAAAACAGGGCGGCCGAGAATTGGCTGAAGTCTCACGTCCAAACACCAAAGAACCCCCGATTTCTATAATTTCGGACGGCACCCTCTTTTAGAAAAGATACCCTCAACTTGCATTGGAGCATCTTCGATTTATTCATGTTATATAACTTTCGTGTTCACTTCAATTCTCTATGTACGACGTCATGATACGAAATTTGTTCTTCGCCTTTCTATTGTCTTTTATATTCTCCCCTTGGACCCCTTCTTCTGCTAGAGGGCTCATCACCCCGCTCGATTTTGTCACCGCTTCAAGCTTTCCATTCATTGTATATCCTAGACGTTGCATTGGCTAATCTTTTGCCCTCCTTCTCTGAATGCAACAAAAAGCGTGCATTATGAACCATTGACTGGCGAATCTTCCGCGTAAATTCAATGACTAGCTTAGAGTTTTGCATTTTCTCTCTCCCTTGATATATAGATTCCACTAGAGTTTACGCTTAATGCTATCTGGAATTATCTTTGTAAGCGCTGCTTTCAACTGCCAAGCGATTCTTCCATGCAATAGCTCGCAAAGTGAAATGATTCGACAAGAACTGGAGCAGGAGCTCTACGCACTGACCGACGGTTTGCTCGGGGCGAGACCAGACTACTGAAGAAGGCGAGATTACACGCAAGGATGTGAGGGGTGGTGTTGGTGGTCTGGCCCCACCAAAGTGGGATGTTGTGTTGTTCTTTCCTCTTTCGTTAAACAATGCATGATCACGAATCACATGACCCACAGCAGCTTTTCCCGCTACTAGCGCTCGGCTACTTGGGCGTTGCTTCGGAAGATGCCGCCAGCTCACTCGGCAAAAGGGCGCTATTCCGGCAGGGGTCTAGTGTTGATGGACCTGCCTTAATGGCTTTGGTTTCCGAATTAACTATCAGCCAGAGCAGTATTGCTGGAATGGGTACTCTATTACTCTGCGAGTACAAAGTAGAGTAGCTCAAGGAATAGGGCGTCTCTACATAGCCAAATAAATATTTTGAATTATGATCATCATGCAAATAGTAAGACTAGTCAATTCAAAGACTCGTCCAGTTGACCTCAAAACCTGTATATTCTCTGGAGTTTGTCGAGGTATGAGACCCAGGTATGTGCAGAGCGGTGTTGTATGGGTTGTTCTCTGTTGATATGCTGTCTATAGCCCGACATTTTTATCGATGGGAACAGATTTTCAATTAGAGTATCGACAGAAAATAAATGTGGTCGTGTTGTATAAAGTGCTACGTTGTGGATGTTTACTTCCATGTCTCAAGGACCTCAGATGCATACTACACTCGGGCAGGATTAGACCTTGCAAACCAATCGATATCATTTTGTGCCTATCGAATATTACTCGAGATTTTGTGAGTTAGACAGGTACCTGGGTCTAGGATCTACCTACCAGGTAGTTTAGGTGAATACCGCTACCATAAGCTTGCATTACTCCTCGCTCTCTTCCACTCCTAGAAAAGAAATCTTTCTGATTTGGCAATCATGCTCGTGCTGAACAGGGTTTTAGATCTAATCAACCTAGCATTTGCAATCGGAGATACGCTGGCGTTCCAGGACGATATTTTGCCATTGGTATGGTTTTCCATGCTATATCCGATTCTGCCAGGCACGTCATGGTCGTCATGGAACGCTCGTTACGTAAAACGTACGCTCACCGCCTTCGGCTGTCTTCGGTCTACCGCCGGACTTGAACCGCCGCCGCCAAAAACTTGCGCTACAATGCAAAATGCAATGACTGGATACGTCTTTGTCGTCACCTCACTTGTTTGACTCAAATTTGCCTTGGCCGATGCCGGTAAAATTGAGCAGACTTTTGCATTGTCGCTCTTTTGGATTTGCTCTACTATTAGCGCTCGTTGTGCGTGGGCTTCAATATTTGGCAAACGACCATTAAGTTCGACTTTACGAAGCACATTTAACAGCGTCATCTTCCCATCGGTACCGCAATTGCTCTATTGGCGCACTCGAAAGAATTACGCGCAGAGATTGCATTGATGTTCATCGATCGCTTCGACGCATAATATTATTAGGAACCGAGGCATTTGGGCCTTTACCTGTTCGCTAGAAATTGCCCAAGCTTCTGTTGAAACGGTGGATCTGGCACACTCGGCGCTTACCATTACCAGCGCTTGACATCTTGAAATCAACAGATTCAGAATCAAAGAGGATCTTGCCCTGCGAGGGTTGGGTGGCAACGACCGAACCGGATCCTTTTTGTGAGACGAAAAGCACAGCCAGTTCGTGTGTTCGCAGACAAACGCATCGTTATACTGGACAATTGATACGCTGCAACATCAAAGTGCTGCGTAAACGTGGCGGAGATAATAGTTTTATTCAGCACCGGCAACATTGAATTGCCGGCATCATGTTTCCGCCATCACAAGGCATAAATCTGGACATTGAGGCCCTCAGTGGGATTTGTGGGTAAGAGCATTTCCATAAGGCATTGAATATGACCAGGCAGTGGAATTGATCATTTATAACTAACATTTCCAGATCTGTATCCATTGCCTGCTGGGTGGTCGTCTTCTCGCCTCAGATAGTCGAAAACTTCCGGCGTGGCTCGACTGAGGGTCTATCACTCTTATTCATCATCGTCTGGCTCGCCGGCGATGTCTTTAACATCCTTGGAGCAGTCTTGCAAGGCGTATTACCTACAATGGTGAGTGTCTCATTCTCAGCACGCATCTTTTTCCAACAGTCTGCCCTCTTCAATCCTTTCATACTCAAAAGCCATATCCTCGACATCAATGCATTTGCAATCTAACAAACATACGCAGATCATTCTTGCGGTGTATTACACTCTAGCCGACATTGTGCTATTAGCACAATGCTTCTACTACCGCGGCTGGCGTCTAGGTGGCGGTAGGCCTAGCTCTCCATCTCCTCCGCCCTCGCTTTCAGAAGCCGCTCCCTCCACCGCTCCCACCAACGGTATCAGCGGCCCCAGCGCAGGCACGCCAGACGAAACATCTGCTCTCTTGTACGACAATGCCCACCGCCGCACCTCCGGCCCAACCCCATCCCAATCTCATTCGCGCACTCGCCGCCCCTCGCTCTCCCACCTCACAAACGTCGACGGCACGCACCTTTCTCCCGTTACCCCCCTCCTCGACCCGCCCAAGCCCACCGACCCCCCTGCCACACGCAACATCCAACCCGCATCGACGTTCCAAACCATTGTCTCCAACACTTTCGTCATCGTCATGGTCTGCGCCGCCGGCGTGTTCGGATGGTGGGTCAGCAACGCCCGGTCCCGCGGCCGCAACGACATGCCCGACGACGACAGCAGCGTGTCCGACCCCAATGACGCCCTGTCCTTTAGCATTCTCGGCCAAGTATTCGGCTACTTCTGCGCCGCTCTCTATCTCGGCTCCCGCATCCCCCAGATCCTGCTCAATTACCGCCGCAAATCCACCGAGGGCGTCTCCATGCTCTTCTTCCTCTTTGCGTGTATTGGAAACCTGACCTATGTTTTGAGCATTTTTGCCTATTCCCCGCGCTGCTACAAGTTTCATAAAGCCACCGGACCCGCAGGCGTAGGTTCTATTGGAGGTTCTATTGGAGGTTTTGTTGGAGGCTCCGTCGGAGGCCAGGCCGGAGCCCAAGACACAACTGGACTGGGAGGACTATCCAACCACCCTCTCACCGACCAAGGCTACTTCGCCCCCCGCCGCTGCCACGACGGCGAAGCAGCGGCCATATACGCGCGCTACATGCTCGTCAATCTATCCTGGCTGCTCGGCAGCTTCGGCACGCTCGTGCTGGACATGTGTATCTTTGTGCAGTTTTTCATGTATCGCAAGCCCGACGACTCGGATGACGAGTGGAGCGTCGGTGGATCTTCAGAAGAAGAAGACTCCGAACGGGGACGAAGAGTAGCAGCGAGTGGATGATATATTTTTCTTCCGTTTCCTTTTTTTGCCACCCCTTTTTTGTTCCGTGTTCGTGTTTCCTTTTTTTCTTTCTCTTTTTCTTTTATCCCGGGGGGTTTTTTTTTTCTTTTTCTTTCTCTTTTTATTTTCTTTTCCTCTCTCAATATTATATATATGCGTATACACCTATAGTCATGTCGTGCACTGTACAAAGACTGTTCTTTCTCTCTCTTTCTATTCGAGTCGTATTATTTGCGTCGTGAATCTATTGACGCCACGAAAAATTCTTTCCTTTTTTTTGTGGATGGTGAAAAAAGTGGAAGGATGTTGATGGACGGACTGCTTTGTGTGCGGTGATAACGTGGATAACGTGAGATGGATATTTGGTCTCGCACGACAACATGGCAACGTCAGAGGATGTATGATGATGATGAGTAGTATACTTATATGGGATATGTACATGTACACAAGGCAGTGTATATACGAAATATATGCCAAGAAACGTACCTAACGAAATAGGAAGAAGTGTGTAGACATGTTAAAAAATATAAAGATATATAAAGAAATGTCAAGAAAATGCAATACATTTTAATATAAGAAGATGTGACTATGTAAAGGGATATCATAAAAATTTTCTTGCGCAGAACTTTGTAAAAGTGACACATGGTTACTTCAACAGCCGGTGGTATGAAATGTGGCTCCTCCCATGATGGTGAATAAATACGGTACGTTTGTATGATGAGAAGAGCGGTGTCTGGCAGGGTTGGTGACAAGGCTGTGATCGTATGCTTTTGGAATGGATACCCGTCCTGTTTCTCCCCCATCTAGACGGAAATTGTCGTAAGTCGTCGTGCATGTACTCGGTATTGGAATAAGAAACGACATGCATGTCCAGTTCAGCTCCCTCTCTTGTCAAATGGAAGTATCAACTGGAGTCTTTCCGAGGGGATGCGCTGTACTATCCACTCCCGTTTCTGTCGTCCTCCCCAAGCGTCTTACGGCCAAACCTCGGAAAAAAGGAATTGAGACCAATTCCTTATCAAGGTTCAAGGCTGATTGATGTCGATTTTCTTGACCTTGTCCTCGACAGAAGACACGTTTTCCTCTTGTCGTTCTTTACCCTTGCCTTTCCCTTCCGTCGTCTCAGTCTCTTCCTGCTTCTGCGCCTCGTCCACCGTTCCAGCCTTTGAGCTTTCTTCACCATTATCCTCGCCTTCTTCCTCATCCATGCCCTCACCGGCCGCCGTCTTGGCTAGCAACCATCCCACCACCTCGTCTTTTCCGCCGCGCTCAGCTTCAAACACGGCGTCCAGTCCAGCGTTATTCATGATGCCCACGTCTGCGCCGGCGTCCACGAGCGCTTTTACGGTCTCGAGGTGTCCGTTCACTGCGGCCCAGTGCAATGGCGTGTTTCCGGAAGAGTTGCGGTGAGCGAGCACTGCCTTGCGCTCCTCGGAGGTTTCGGGCAGGAGGGCGAGGACGGATGTCACGAGTTCTGTAGATTTTTTTTGGTTAGTTTCGAGGACAGTGTTCAGTTTTGAAACATTTGAGATCGTATTAGTCTTGAAAGGTAAAGATTCACATCTTAAGGAAACATGTAGTGTATAAGAGGCATATGGTGTATAACAAAAGGACCAGAGAAAGAATAAATGGATGGAAGGGGACGTGGGCATGATATAGGCTTCAAAAAACGTACGAGTAAATCCATTGGCGGCAGCCATGTGCAGGACGCTGTTGCCAGAGTGCTCATCTCTGGCCTGCGACAGAATGGGCCCCGGCGAAGAAAGTCCCTTGGCAGTAGCCAGTTCCTTGAGAGTAGAGACCAGGTCGTCTGCCTCGCCGGCGCGGGCAAAGTACAGGAGGTCGTCGATTTCGTCTTCGGTGAGGGTGAAGGACATTTTTGGTGTGTTGTGGTTTTGCCGGTCTTGAGTATGATGATATATAGATTGAAAAAAGAAGATGTACTCAAGAGTGCAATTGAAGCTGTAGTAAGCTGTGGAGAGAAAGTGTTTGTAGTCTTGACAAAAGACTGAGGGGTGTTGTATCCGGGAACTTTTTTCTGGGAAGGTTTTCTGCTCGGCGATCGGAGGTTTGGCGGAGAACCTCCGAGGCTTGTTCCTGGCAACCTTGGGGGAGCGAGGTAACCAGGCGCCGTCAAAAGACAACATAGAGTCATTGGAATCGTTTCTCTAGTAAAATAGCTTATTGTGTTTTTATTGTGTCTGATACTATAGACTATTGTTTATATCCATATAAAGATTTTGCAGCATTTGTTCAATGAGTCTCCTAGCAGAGCTTGTGAGATCAGGCAGTTACGGTATGAAGAGAGAATGCATCTGCTAGTTGGATATATGAGAAGAATCAAATGTTTGACTGCTCTTGTGCATGTTGAGAGATGAAGTTGAAGACCCACTATTCCGTTTTGCATTTGAAGTCAAGACCAAAACACCCGGCGCCAAACCAAACAAAAAAAAAACCAATATGTAGCACCTAATCAAGTAACCATGCTCGCCGCTTTTCTTCCTTGCGTTGGCGGCGTTTCTCTTTAAATTCCTTGAGCTCTTTCTTGCTCAGCTTCTTTTGCGCCCGCTCGGCCCGGAGACTACGTCCATCATGGCTGTTAGCGGCAGCATCGACGTCAAAATAGGCGGACATTTGCCGGTAGCTCTTATTGGCATCGCTGAAGCGGTCTGGCGTCAGGTTCTGGTCTTGCCATTTACCCGTAAACCGATTGAACGTGCCGGTAGAAACATAAGCATCCGACGGGTCTGCAGCTGGATGAGCACCATATCCTGCTGCGCTCTCCTCTTCGGCGGGCTCGTACACCTTTGCGTAAGGCGCAGTCGGGTCGTAATCACCGTGTATCGCGGGATTATAGCCACCGTAGGGACGAGCTTGCGCCTCCTCCTCCTCCTCGTCGTCCTGCTGTTCCTCGGTCGATTGCTCTTCTCCACCTATTCTCTCATGGTTCCCGAGTCCTCGGCCAGCTGAGGTGCTTTGCGCGTCTGGAACTCGCGGATTTTCCCATTGCGAAACACCAGTGAAGCGATTGTAAAAGTAGTACGCTTGAGCATTTTCATCCCAGAGGGGCTGCCATCCATCATCTTGTACCTCGCTGGGTGGAGCCTCATCTGGCAGCGGTGGGGGCAGCGCCTCGTCGGGTAAAGGTGGTGCGTCTTCCTGAGAGTTGTCTGATGCCTCCTTGTCCGCTGATTGAGATTCCGTTTCTGTATCGCGTTTTTCTTCCTCTTGCTTCTCCACTTCCTCTTCCTCGCCCTTCAGGTCTTGATCTTCTTTCTTCTCTGACTCATCCAATCTTTGTGCAACCGAGTCAGTCTGCTCGGGCGAGTTGGATCGTTCAGATGCCATGCTAGCAGAGCCTGCGGGTGAGTCTTCCGCAGCTATGGTAAAACTTTGTCGGTGGCTAGCTAGTTAACCTGCTGTGCTCGAGGTTCAGCTGATACAGCTATTGACACAGACAGATGTCTGCAATCCATTCGACGAAAGGTCAATATTTCCGAGCTCGAGTTCTCTTGAACAGCCAAGCAGTGATCTTAACGTTTCGTTACCCGGTCCATGTCCGTATTCAGTAACATAAGCGAAACAGTCGTCATTTCCAATTGAAGCTTCACCTTCCACAGCTACCATTGCTACGTAGGTGAATCTAATCTCACGAAATGCAAATACTGTTGAATAGAGGAGCTTACGATATTTAAGAGAGCTTTTCATTGATCTACGCTGAGCCTGTGTGGCGGCACTTACTGGATCTTCTGCCGTGTCTTTAACAGGAGTCGACTGCGCGGACGAGCAATGACTTTGGCTTGCTGGATACTATTACGATAAGATGATGACGTTGACCTGACTGATGCTAGGCGATCATTATCAAATACTCTTATGAAAAATGATGACTGAATCTCTTGAAATCTGTTATGGCAATAGGGCGGCTCACATTTGGCTGGCTTACCGCTTTGCATGGTTGGTCGTGTGTGTGAAACAGATTGCCTCGGCATGGCCGAAATAGTTAGCAAATGGAATTGGCAGTGAAATGCCGGTCAAGCAGGGCGATGATGACAGAGGAAGGCTAGGTTTGAGACGTGGATCAGAGTACGTCCCTACGAGTGTATGATTGGCGGTAAATGAAGCAATGACCACAATCATGCCAGAGAAACAAGATCTTGACCCACCTGTACTTCATCATTGTCCCCTGCCCCTCCCCTGCTTGTTGTTCAATCCTGCTTGCCCCTCCAAGCCTCTCCCCGCCGTGCGCTCGACGATACAAAGGTATATATAATCCTTGAACGGACCCCTATTTCTACACATCTCTCTTGCTTTAATTCTTCATCACATTCTTCAAATTTTCAGAAAGCCCATCTCAAAAACATCCTACAATCAACATGGGTGAATTCGGAAACGATCTCGTTCAGGCCGGCGAGTCCGAGCTCAACCAGCAATTGGGAGACAACAGCAACAACAACCAGAAGTCCAACGCTGGCGGCAACCAGGGTGGACAAGACAGTGCTGGCGAGCAGTTTGTCGAGAGAGGTGCGTATTTAACGTTTGGAGATGCTTTACCTTTTTATATTGTACTGCTTCAAGAATGCTAATGTCATGACAGGTCTCGGCCAGTTTGAGCAAAAGGAGGGGCTTCCCGACAATGCCCAGTTCAACAAGGAGATTACGGAGCAGGGCGACCAATTCGCTCAGAGAGAGGAGAAGCAATGGTAATCTGCGCGCCAAAGGAGCGAGAAATTTTCGACGAGAGAACTCCCGGGTCAGAATCAATGTCTGGGAAACAGAGAGACTTCAATAATGCCTTGCGTTTTGCCAAGTGAGGCTGCCAAATGGGCGAGCCTCTGATGATATCGCTTTACTGTTGAGCATATTTAATACAACGATACAATTTCTTGATGATGAACAGTCGCATTACACGTGGATGATGCCTTGAAAATGACTGGAACTGTTCTGCTATGCAGTGACAAGAGAACCAAATCTCAACAGAGACTGGTACCGAGATTGTTTGGCCGGGAGCGACACGGATAACGGCCCTCAGACCCTTAGCGAAAGCTTGTCGAAGCTTGGCCACCAGGAGTCGCGTGCAGGAGCTGCATTATTGAGGCTCAACGAGGTAGATAAAGTAATTGTTATGAGCAAAAGGGTTAAAATATTCAAGATTGGTTACACGATGCTGCACGTGTCATCTGCTTGGCTCTCGAACGCTTTTGACAACATTATTCTACAGTGGAAACCACACAGCATCGCAAACAACAATAACTCCGATTGGGTCATTATTGCGGATCACGGAGGAATTGACAACGCCGAAATAGTGCACGGATCATGCCTTTGCCAAGAGATGAGAATTGCGCCAGTCATGTTTAGTCCCTGAGTCACCCGAATTTACACGTAACTTATACGAGGGTACTCGGAAGTAATACGGCCATCGGCCATAACGTGCGAGTATAAATGGGGACGAGATCTCCGCCATTGAAAATGGGTTTGATTTGGGAAGGTGTAGTAGAATCGGACTCAATCTAATACATTCTTCCAAGACGAAGAGGAAGACTTGAAAGATGGTTGATATCTCGGACGCCCCGCCTGCGTATCCCACGCTCGCTGGCAAGACTGCGATTGTTACCGGTGGCTCTCGTGGCCTGGGTGCCGGCATTGCATATGAGCTGGCTCGACGAGGTGCAAGGGTACGTTGAGTTTTGTGTATACCTTTGAAAAGAAAAAAAAAAATCCCGACATTCTGGATTCGAAATGGGGACAATTGTGCTCACATGACTGTGTGCCCCATCTTCAGGTCATCATCAACTACACGAGCTCTAGCAGTGAAAAGCTGGTCGACGAGCTCATCTTGAAGATTGCTGCATTAAAAAATGGCTCTTCTGGCGTCAAAGTCCAAGCGGACATATCGTCGCTCGAGGCCCCGGCCAAGGTTATCGCGGCTACTGTCAGCGAATCACACCCTCACATTGACATTCTGGTCAATAATGCTGGCACGGAAGTCGTTCGACCTCTCGGAGAAATTACCGCGGAGGATTACTCAAAGGCCTTTGATCTCAATGTGCGAGGCACCATCATGATGACACAGGCGATTTTGCCTCATCTTCGTGCACCTGGCCGCATTATCAATATCAGTACCATCGGCTCAAGGGCAGGGTTTCCCGGTGTTTCGCTGTACGCGTCGTCAAAGGCCGCCATTGAAGGCCTGACTCGTTGCTGGGCACACGAACTGGGCGACCAAGGTCACACTGTCAATACGGTGAACCCGGGCCCAGTACGAACCGAGTTGCTCGCTCGGACCGTACCCGAAGAGGCGATTCAACTAACAAAGGCCCTGACAGCCGTCGGCCACCGTCTTGGAGTTCCAGACGACATTGCGCAGATTGTTGGTTTCCTTGCCGAAGAGGGAAGCCGCTGGATTACAGCACAGAGTATATCAGCGTCCGGTGGATTCGCTCAGTATTAGTATCTGTCTCCATAGGCAATTGAGAGCGGAACAAAAGTTGCTCGGGGGTTGTGGTTGATGCAACCTTTCAAGTTATAAGAACATTATAAATGCAGACATTTTCAGAACCATATAATGGCTTACGATAGCTGAGTGCCAATTTTGATCCATGGCTGATTTTGTGTAGCCAACTTTTCCGGTGAAAAAGCTCCACTCATTACGACGACTTGTCAGAAATAAAGTTCAAATTCACCATTTTCTTACAATGCAGTGGTTTTTGTTTCCATGTGGGTCAGCCACGGCCGTTTCTGAGAAGGCTGTGCTCTGCCACTCGGGACGCCCGACAACCCGAGCGGGCGGAGCGGCCGAGGGGCTAGTGTGGAGAAAGTTTAGTCCGCCATCCGAACCCCACAAAACTCCGCGGCCGCATTATCCGCCAGGCCGCCCATGGTAACTCTCCGATGGCTGAGCTTGAATGGAGTTCTCTTCCTCCACGCCAACGCTTGTTACAAGGTTAAATTTGACATTTTCCATTCTCTCGGCTTGAAATGTGCGGCCGCAGAAAGTTTGACGACCCTTTTCACGAATCGTCTCAGGGTCCTCGGAGGATTATCATATCCAACATGACAGGCACCGTGCCTGACCCATTATGGATTGTATGGTGATGTAATTGAGCACTTAGTCTGACTTGCGAAGAGAAATCAATATATATTTGGCTTGATCCAATGCATTTGGTATCGCCTTGTGAACATCCTCAACAGTCTTACTGGCAATCATTGTACGAATTGACTTCTGTGCTTGTTTATTCCCTTCACTTCAATTCAGCATCCTACACTCCAGAATATAGAAAAACCTGCGTGGAAATGGCAACCAAGTTCCGTGGCGAGTATACCACTGGCAAGGAGGTCGTGGAGGCCTTCAAGGACAGAGTTGCTGGCAAGACGAGTAAGTTTTACTCTTGCTTTACATTGCATTCGAAGCCCCTTGTCCCCGATCGTCTCTCTTCGACCGGTTCAAAAATCCAAACCGAAGCCATAATACTACCGCACTCTGTCCTTACATAGAACTAACATTCCAGTCATCATCACCGGCCCCAGTGCAGGTGGAGTGGGATCTGAAACCGCCTTGTCCCTCGCTCTCGGCCACCCGCGCCAACTCATCCTGACCGGCCGCGACGCATCCAAGATTACTCCCGTCATTGCATCCATTCAAGAAATCGACTCGAGCATCGACGCGCAGTTTGTCCAGCTCGATCTCGGCAGCCAGGCATCTGTCCGCGCCGCGGCCGCGACGATCCGCAAACTCGTCGGGGGCCATACCATTGACATTCTCATCAACAATGCCGGCGTCATGGCGCCGCCGTATGGTCTCACTGAAGATGGCATCGAGCGCCAGTTTGCAACAAACCATATTGGCCATTTCCTCTTGACCAATCTGCTCATGGACAAGATTTTGCATAGGGGCGCGAGGGTGGTCAATTTGGCGAGCATTGGACATGTTTTTGCAGAAGCAAATTATGATGATCTTACGTATAAGGTATGCATGTATATTTCCTTATGTATTTATGTTTATGTTTATGTTTATTTTATTTTTTCAATTTGTCATTTTCATATATATATATACACCCACATGCACACACATATATATTGCCGTTGGATAATGGTACATCTGAAGCATTCGCATACTAACACTTCGAATAGAATGGCGAAACGTATGATCCCTGGGTCGCATACTCGCATTCCAAATCGGCGAATATGCTCTTCACCCTGTCGCTCAAAGAGAAACTTGGAGCGCGGGGGCTCTATGCCTTTTCTGTTCAGCCGGGATGTATGTTATTCAATCCATTTCCACCATTTTTTGCTTCATCTTTTCTCAATTGCCTATTGTATTTTTCCCTGTCTCCTGTTCTCTTTTTCCCTTTTCCTGTTGTCTATTGTTTACTCTCTATTTCTCCATCGGTCGTCCATGTTTCAGCTTTCTTCTCGTCGTCTTTCTCTTGCAGCTTCCCTTCCACTCTTTCTTTTCTTTATTTTTATTTTTATTTTATTTTATTTTTATTTTCAATATTTTTCTTTTCTCTGTTGCTTTTTTCTTTTCTTTTTTCTTTTCTCCATCAGTCGTTTATCCCCTTGGCCCTTTCCTTCACTTTCCATTTATGCTATACACAGCAGTGATCACCATATCAGCGTGACCGTTTACAAAGTCAACTGACCGTATCGACCGAATAGCCGTCGAATCCAACCTCATGCGCCACGTCACCGACGACAACGACTCCCTCGCCTCCGCATGGAACCTTCTCAACAACGCCATCCGCGAGCACGGCGATCACCTCGGCCACCGCAAGACTGTCCAAGAAGGCTGCGCGACGAGTCTAGTCGCCGCCTTGGATCCTGCCTTGGAACGTAAGTTTTTTTGTTTTCCCCTGCGGGGCATCTGTGTTTCTTTGCAATGCCCTACGTGGTCTTTTATTGTTTCTTCATATCCTTGTCTTCTTGTCTCCCGTCTCTTTGATACCTTGTCCCTTGTCTCAGTCCATTGTCCCGTCCATTATATACAGTATACAGTATCCCCATTACCCAATTACCTCTATACCCCTGTACCCCCCTCGACCATCGAAGCTCGAAGCTCGAAGCTTGAAGGGAAACACCCCCCACCTACCCCCCCCACCCCACCCAACTGTTTTGAACGAAAACTACCTGTTGACTACACGGGTGACTAGCGACTAGTGACTAACGTACATAGAACACAACGGTGCATACCTCAACCACGCAGCCATCGACCCCGTCCCACTGCGGCCGTGGGTGCGCGATGTTGCGCTGGCGGACAAATTGTGGAGTCTGAGTGAGGACTTGGTCGGGCAGAAGTTTAGCGTTTGAGTGAGGACTTGAAGATATGAGTGTCAAGACTGCTATCGTTTCAGGGGATGGAAGTGGGAGTGGGTGTAGGTGTGGGAGTGGGAGTGTACATGTGCAATGCAAATTAGGACAAATATACGAGACAGCACATCAACCTAACTTAGGTAGGGGCAAGGAATCTAAAATATAAAGTATTAGGGAGAAAAAATAGAATGTATATATGTGTTGTGTATATCTAATGTGTAATCTAATGTGTAATCTAATGTGAAGAGTAGAAAGCAGAAAGACAGAATGTTGAATGTTGAATGTTGAATGTTGAATGTTGGATGTAAAAGATATATACAATATAAATCCTCTGTCAGTCTGTGACTGCCCCTGCCCTGTCTCGTCAATTCTATACTATGCTCTTGACGGGGGTGACGCTCTCGACGCTCTATACGCTCTCTAGACGACAACGAAGACAACGACGACAACGACGGCGAGAACAGCAACGACAGCAACGACAATAACGACAACAACAAAAAGAGACAAATATGCTACAAGAAGCAATTAAAAAAAAAGGAGCAGTAGAATGCAGAGGATGTGATCTGGTCCCAAGTGACAGTCTTGTAAAGAGGGAAGAGAAAAAAGAAATGGGATATCAAAGTGGTGCTCAATGGAAGAAGAAGCATTAGAAAAAAGGGGAAAAAATATTAAAGAAAAGAAAAAAGGGACAATGACGCTTAATAACGATATCAGATGACAGATGACCTCGCATGATGAGACCAAACCAGGCTAAAAGATGGACAAACTAGTCACGAGTTTAAATAATGAAACAACAAAGACGAGGCTCAAATGAAACAAACAAAACCAGGCTCAGATAAAACAAAAGCCAGGCTCGAATGAAACCAAACCAGGCTCGAAAATGATGCCGAAGAATGGAATCAACCAATGAAGCAAGATAAATCAAACAATGGAAATACCCAACGCGTTGAGCTGCGCGCTGCTTATCCCTTCGAATCCGCCTGCGCCGGCCACTGTAGCCACGTGTCTAGCCCCACCGGTACTGGGGATGCCGGGACCCGCACCAGCACCGCCACCAGCAATAGCACCAGCAGCGAGACCGGCGCCTGCACTGTAGCGCTTGTATCGCTGCTGCTGACGGTCGTGCTGCTTCTGCTCTTGCCGATGATGATGCATATGGAGATGAGGATGATGGTGATGCATATGGATATGAGGATGAAGATGGCCAAGACGAGACTTGACATTCTTATAAGGCATAGGTCGAGGGCCAGGCGACGTGCGTAGTTTGTGGATTGTTAGAGGAACGGGCGATAGAGAGGCGGTGACATGACCGGCATTGACAGCACCAGAAGGAGGACCAGGACGAGGGCCAGAGAAGACAGGACCAACGGCGGTAGAAACTTTTCCGTCGCGGCTTCGACGGCGTCTAGGCGATGGTGTCCTTGACAATGCTCGGACACTCCTGGGACGTCGGAATCGTTTGTCTCGCCGCACGTGTCCGACCGGAGACGTCGAGGTGGTGGCTAGTGGTCTAGGCCCGCCAACGACGACACGGCCGTTGTGAGTGTGGCCTGGTGCGGCTGCAGCTGGGGCTTCGGAGGCGGCCGTGTGGAGTGGTGGAGGAGTACTTGGTAAAACTACGGGGACAGGGACGGGGACGGGCACAGGCACTGCCACGGGGTTTTGCAGGGGCACTGGTTTCCTGTGGTGCGACTCATTATGTGTGGCGCGTGTGTGGTTTGAAACGGGCCCGGATGCTGATCTGTATACCGTCGATGATCCACCTACTGCGAGTGCAGCTGGGAGTGGAGACTCAGAGTAGTCTTCGGCTACTACCAGTGGGGTTGACGAGCACCGAGTAGGCGGCGTTGGTGGCAGAGGATGATTGAGGATGTTGAGTTTTCGAGGAGGAGGAACCACGATAATGGGCGTGGCGGGTGGAGTAGGGGAGGGAGAACGAGGAGCAGATGGAGCCATGGAAGCGTAAGGGTGCTGGATCGCGGCGAGGTATTGCCTTGCGTAAGATTCCTGTTGGTGTTGGCGGTATTGATTGTATTGATAAAGATGCTGCTGTGCGCATTGCTGGTATTGCTCCTGGTGTTGGTGATGATGACGAGTATCTTGTAATGGATCGGAGACAAACGAAGCAGAAGTGGGAGGATGAGGAGAAGGAGTAGGAAGTCGTGCCTGCACCGAGGTCGAGACGTATTGCGGCTTCATCATATCATCTGACGCAATGCTGCTCGGGTTTGTGGTTGCAGCGTTATGCTCGTTCAATGGTGAGGAAGAATTGGATGATGATGACGAAGATGAAGAAGATACCGCTGTACTTCCGGTAACATTCGTTGTGCTGCCATTTCCGTTATTTGTCAATGTCGTTCCTGTAGCGGCTGACACGACAGTCCCGGCAGCTGAAGGCGCTCGAGTGGTAGCTGCTGCAATGTAGGCTGTGCATTTTGAGCATGCACACGCGGCACACGCAGTTGTGATATCGGTAGCGAGTGTGCCCTTTGAAGAAGGCGTTTCAGCCGTTGAGAGAGATGTGGCAAACGTGGCGGATGAAGAAGATGAATTTGAAGACAAAGAATATGTTGATGACGAGGTTGGTGACGCTTTGGATGCATAGACATATTTGACTGGACTGTCTCCAGCAGCGCGCGCTCGCGATGCAGGACGAGGCTCGGGTGGAGTATCTGTTTGAGTCGTCGCATTGGCTGTGGTATATTCGTAAATATACTTTGTTGCATGTGGACTAGCATGCGCCGCCGGAGGTTTCTGTGGAAGTAATATACGAGTGTGAGGAGTTTGGCTGCGACTAGGCTTTCCAATGACGCCTGTCCATGCTGAACCCCAACTGGGTGTTCGCTGTGAAGTGCTGCCCTGTCTTTGGGGGTGACTCTGCTTTGCCGGCTGCTGAAAGTGTACATGAGGTGGCAATGTTACTGCAGGAGCCTGCTCTGAGGCATTTCCAACTTCAAGGTCGTCGTCGTCCTCTTCTTCTGGCCAGGCACCGGCCATGGTCAATCCGCGCTCCAAATCTCTTTCCTCCTCCATGACAGGTTGCAGCCGTGGTACCGGCGACCCATGCACTTGCTGTTGTCCATGGTGGTACTGGACTGCATGCGGATACCCATGTACTGGGGCAGACTGGTACCCATGATATTCGTACTGATGAATCTGCTGCTGCTGCTCGGGGGATTCATGTTGAGATTTTGCCACTTCAGCATTGATGCTTGCGAATATCTCATCTTGTGTGAATGGTCCAGAGAGCATAGGACCCGTCGAAGGATCATATTTCGGGCGCCGCGGACCGGTGAGACCGAAAAAATGAGCGTCAAATGGTCGCTCGCTCACTTCAAGCGCGCAAAGAAGCGCCGACGATATCAGGCTAAGATACATGATTAGCTTCGAATTGTATAGAACAGGGTTGAAAACGACGACATGAAAGCCGATAGAATTGCATGTACTCACAATGCAATGCCAGATCCAATAACAACGAGCCGGTGCAGAGCACATGCTTTACCTGCAGCCCAAAAGTTGCGATTGCTCTTGGCTGCAAGACACATGGGCATCGTTGCAGCAACAATAATTTCTGCGACGGCCGTGGTGAGCCAGAGTGCTGTCACAAATCGAGCAATAATAAAGCATGCTGACTGGAGACCAGTTCGCTTTGGCTTCTTCTGGGAGAACTGGAATTCTTTCCGCCATCGACCTGCGATCGTATGGAGAACAGCATAACACAGGGTGAGCGCGGACTAAGTATCATGTTGATTAGCATATTGCAAATAAACATTGACAATGCAAATGGTTGGTGAAAATGAAACGTACTGGAAGAAGTAAAAGCAGTCCAGTTGCGCCAACGAGCGGCGCAACAGTTCCTGAGCTAAATAGATATCCTGCGACAGCTCCGCAGATGATCGAAATAATCATCAAGATATACAAGCAAGCACGTATCGTATGGAGTGTTTTGCGACCAGCTACTTTGCGTTTCGAAGAGCCTTCTTTAGGCGACATTGCTGCGAATTGTTTGCCAACTTCTCCGTGCAAAGGCCTCTTGCAGCCCAAATAAGATATTGTAATTCTGACGATGCTTTTTGTTCTCTTTCCTGCAGATGGAAGAGTGAATCAGGCAAAAACAAGGAGACGCAAGATAATCGTGATTGGCGAAAGAAGTCATGGCTGCTGATTGCTGATATTGGCCGTTTTTCGCGGTCGCGAAAGATGGCGGGAAAACAATGAAGCCACAGAGAAACTAGGAGGCTGGAACAATAGTCCCCAGAAAAATAACCTCATCCTTATGACGAAGTCTAAAGTAGAATGGACGACAGCTATGACGGCAATCTGGTGATCTTAATCGATAGGGGGAGGGTGGGGGGCTAACATTCCTCGGTAGAAGCATGGGCAGAGCATTGGAATGCGGAGAGCGGGCCCACCCAAGTTGTTCTGCTTATCATACTGCCCTCAAACTCGATAACAGTGAAACTTCCATTCTGCATTCCTCGGAGTGGCGCAGATTGGCTGGCAGCGATTCGCAGTCTTTCCCCGGATTTCCCCCGGCCTCTAAACTTCTCTTCTGCTCGAAGCCCGTTCCAAAAATAGGCACCACGTGCAGCATCTTTTGCGACCGCTCCGTTTCGAATTGTTTGCTTTGCAATCCAAGTCAAGTGATAGTCGGAATCTGCTATTGAATTGCTGATACGCTCCATCTTTCGCTTTGGAACATCTCGATGATGAGCAGCTGAAGACCGGCCCTCCCGACGAACCCGAGCATAAACAAGGCCAGTACATTATGCAACTGTCCCTGAAAATGAGTTTGCTGTCCCCCTGAGCCGTTTCGGTTCATGTTTCATGCCTAGCGGGTTGTTTTGTATATTTTTTTGAAGAGTTTTCCATCCAATGGTATAATAGTCGTGTAAGAACCGATAGTGTCTCCCTTGGGAGAGTAACTACAGTCACTGCGACTTTTGATGAACCCGAAGTGACCTCCTGGCGATCGATTGCCTCAGTAGAGGCCAGGTCCACAAACAAAAGAGAATAAAAAGTTGAGAGAGGCCCACAATCCGTACCTCCTGGAGAAGGGAATACACTATAAAAATCTCCAGAAGTGAGGTGCCGATAAAAATAACGAGGAGTGAAATCCAAAGAATTCGGCGAGTCTTCAATCGGCAGGCCCAATAAACTTTCCAGATGGCGAAAAAAATGAGAAGTATATCAGTGATAATCATCAGAAGGGCTCCAACAAAGGTGCTGCCGGGGATCGGTGGAAGTAATATAGGCACAAGAATATAACAGGTGAGCGCATAGACAAACAAAAGGAAAGCGCAAATAATACGCCAATACGCGCGATGCTTTAGAATGTATTGCACAATATATCGGATGATGGCTCCCAAAATGAGCGGAACGACGATTGAGCCGAATGCTAATGGCAGTGAAACAATGAAGAATGTATTCAGTGACCATATCTTGCCATCAGCTTTTTGCCCCTTTTTAGGCCTTTCTGTCCAGACATTCATGCCGAGGAATGACTGCCCGGTTTTGTCAGCCTCTTTTGGGAATCGAACAATAAGGACTGTGATTCGCGCTTACCGTCATGAATGAAAGTGGAACGTAGAGCGCGAGAAGTACTGTAATAATCATTGTACGACGATTTTGCAATAGATTTATGTGCTCATTTATCTGCTTGTCTATTAGTATGCCAATTGGCTGCTTTCTGGGAGAAAAAGCCACTTGCCATGGTACGAAGTCCGTCAAAACCGTTCACTCGCTTGCCCAGACCACGAAACTCGTCTTGAAGAAATTCGAGGTCCACCTTGAGATTGCAGGTATGCTTCATGTAGGAGTCTCTAGCATCCCAATCAGGAAGGCTCTGCCCGCACTCTTCCAGAAAACGCTGCACTTGGGATAGACAGATGAGGCTATGCCCGAGGTCCTCAACTGCCTTGTTCAGACAGTCGTTCAAGTGAGCAAGGAACTGGACTTTGCTTCCAGAAGGCCTCGCTCTACCATCATAAAGCTATTCACTCGAATTAATGGCTTTGACCTGGATCGAGCTTGACACACGGTGATACTCATATACTCACCAGCTGGTTGCATTGCTCAATGGCCCCTTCCAAGAACCGAGTCGTATCAGAGAGCATATGATCAAAGACAACAAATGTTGTCGTGAGAATTTCATCTTCCACTAGGAATTGGTTTTGAACCTTGTCGCTTCGAATTTGTAGCCTGGATTCTCGAAGTCTGCGTAGCTGATGGGAGTCTTCCACCAAGAGAATCATGCGTCGAGCATTGTAACTGTGCGTCGGAAGCACATGTACTTGAACATATCTATCGCGCGGAGGCTTGCGAAAAGGTTGCCATACATAGACGTCAAAATCCATGGTATACTTGGGGCACTTGGCTTGCCAGCGTAGCGTAAAAGAGGTCCCATCCAAATGGCTAAGATCAAACGGGGGCGGAGGCGGACCTAAGACCAGGTCAATGGAAGAGTTCGTGGTAAATCAATAGAGTTTCTGCAGCCGTATATCATCATTCTTTCACTTCCCAATCGAGTAAGTGATGGCATAAATAGAAAATTTCCTTCTAGGTACAGTGGCTGGTGTATGTGCAGATCTTGGTAGACGCGGGCATAAGGGGGCATACCAGCAGAAGGAAGCCTAACGGACACACTTTCAGAAGTGTTGACTTCGAGCAAACGGCGGAACGCGTCCTCCTCAAGGTCCCACTCTAGAGAGACAGTGTGAATAAGGGCGCGCCGAGGTGCGCCGAACAATCGGCCAATCTGAGCCTTTGTTGATGCTTTAGCTTTTTGCATGAAGGAGAACATTTCTTCGACGCAGTCGCTCTTCGTCGCCAGGATGCTGCCATGAAGACTTTAGCGTTTTCATCTTTTGATCAAGCTGAACAACGAAATAGAAGAAACAGCATTCAATGGAACCACGCACCAGAGTTGCAAAGAGCAATTGCATTTTTGCGTTTGTAGCAAAGAACGTAAGCGACATAAATTCTGGGAGAAGCTCTCCTTTGGAAGAAACGCGGAAGCGTCTTCGCTGTCTGTAGGATAAATAAAGCAGAGCAACGTCAGCCGAGATCGTGGATTTGTTGACAAAGAAAACGGCCACAAAAAGACAAATCGCGTCATGAGAGCAAGGTCAAGCCCCCCCCAAAAAAATACATACTCTTGGATCGGCCTTTCTTTCGTCGCCCTTTCTCAGGACCCAATGATTTTCTATCTACGGCTTGATTTTCTGGATCTGAGACAGGTGCCACAACTGGGGGAGCGAACGTTTCCACCCATATCAACGAGTCGAAGATCTTGCCAGAAGGTCGCTCCCGGAACTGTGAATAGTCCCGAAGAAATGACAAGATATCTCCAACTGTCAGAGCTTCCTTGATCAGATCCGACTCCAACTCATCACACTGATGCTGGCGCCTTAGTTCTCGAGGGAGCTTTCGTCGGAGATCATCACGGTGTTCATCTGATATATACGAGAGAGACGGAGCAGAGGATTTAGCACCATGCTCGTGGCTCGAAGAATCATCGAAACGAGCTTGTGAGGGCCTCGTACGATGGCCATGCGGAAGTTCTTCAAGTTCCATTGACTGACCAGAGGCAACTGCTGTAGAGGAAGCCTTAGACTGCTTTGGGAGGCGCGAGAGTGACGGGAACTTATGGTGATGATGTCCCCGTCCGGCATACTCAGGATTTTGCTTTGTGGAAGCAGTGTGCCCCCGTAGTTCTGACAGTCTCGAAGCTGGGATTGGGCGTATGGGGCTTGCAGTGTCTCTGTGGCTCAATAGAGGGAGCCCTGATGATGATCGGAGAAGGCCAGGAGATGGTGAGTTGCAGCTGGAATTGTCATTCTCGCTGGATTGGGAATATTGTCTATAGGGGTATGAAGGCGACTGGCTGTCGGAATCAAGCGGGCTTCCAGGTTGCCACGACGCAAATTGTGCAAAGCTGGACTCCCGCGACAACGTACGCATTGGATGGGCCGGCGTCGGATCCAATCCGATCATCTCTTCTTCCGACTGTAATTGGCCAGGAGATCGGCTTTGTACCTGCGAAGGCGGTTGACAAGAAGCGTCTATGATACCCAGAGGGTTTTTTGGGTTCATTTTGATGCTTGATTTTGGCTTCTGGTGCTCAAAAATTGCTTCCCGTTATATGGTCCGTAACACTTCTGCCAGTTGTGCCCCAAAAGAGATGGCTTTAGAAAAGCAGATTTGGGTTGTTCAAAAGACTGAAACAAAAGTAGGCACAACTGAGCTAAGCAGAAGAAAGACAGAGGCAGACAAAAATCGTCAAAGGTCTATAAAGCAAAAGAATTGTCATCTGATCCTTCAGTCTCCAGACCCAGCTCCCAGCGGCGTGCCGTCACTGTGATTTTTAGGCGGAAATGAAGAATTCCGGGGATAAACAGAGCGATCTAGTGTACCAAATCGAGACCGCCATTAAATTTCCGGATGCCCTTCTACCGACTCGAATGGTGCCAGATTGATGCCATGATCACTATGATGGAGATTGAACATATGCTGCCAGGTATTTGCTTTCCGGTGCGATTGGCAGTGAAACTTTCGTTATCAATACGTAGTGGGGGTTGACCTTGCGGCACAGGGCACCGCCAATCCGGCTCGCGTACTGGTTAGTTCAGCAACGAAGCGTCCTTTTCCCACTGCGCCCTACCAGTAACATCGCCAAGACTCGTGCTCGGGCTCTAAGCCACCCCGTTCCTGTTTCGTTACAACCCAAGTTTGTTACCGCTACGCAATAGTTTTTGCTGTTTAGAGTCGACAGATTTTGCGGGCAATGTAGTTTCAATTTCAGTTTCGATTACAGTTATGAGTGTATAAACGAACAAGACTCTCTGCTGTTCGAATGTTGTTGCTTACTGTGTTGCCTGAGAAAATGGTGGCAAAATTGGGACCACATTTGCAATTCTGATTGTATCAAGTGATAAGAAAAAGAGAGATCAGATCAAACTATATCTTGATTCTGATATCAACTTCGAAAGGCAGATATTCAGTGATTCAACAAAGTGTGAGAAGAAGAAACTTGGCCAAAGGGGATATTTGCTGCTAGTGCGGACAGGAGCCGCAGTACGCATAAGAAGGAAAAGAGACAAAATAGTGAAAAGGCAAACGATTGCCGAGAGAAGGAAAAAAACAAAATGGAAAATGCAAGATCCATCCATCATTATTCCATCGTGACTCATCATGATTCTTGTCCATGATTTATTTGGAAAGGGCTGGGACAGGGGGGACCCCTTGAGCGTCGTCGTCGTCGTCATCAGCATCATCCTCATCCATTGCATCTAAATCCTCTGGGTGTCTGCAGCAATGCTCCCCCCGGTTAGCTTCCCGGATCCTTGCATTATACTTGTGGTAGTGGTGGTGGCTCAACGTACCCGAGGAGACCCTTAATGTCCTTCATCTCATAATGCTTCTTGCGCAGCTCCTCAAACTTCTTGTGCTTCTCTCGCTCCTCGGCGCTCCATCCGACGTCTTGCTCGCCATGTCCATGGAGGCCGTCATTATCCTTTGAATCGACAATGACCTGTTTCGAGCTGTCGTGCGTCCGAGGCACGGCTTCTTCGGGCTCGCCAAGCTCGAGACTGGGGATGTCGGATTCGCGTGCCTTGGTGCCGTTGACTTGGTCGAGCTCGTCCACGAGAATGTGATCGGTGTCGAGAGCGGGCAACTCTGGCTCCTCTTCCTCAACCTCTTGGTCAGGATCGTAACGTCGGACGTAGGGAGTCTTGGGCTCGTCAATCTTCATGGTCGCTGTCTTCTGTTGCTCGTTGAGGTAGAGATTGGCCTCGTCCCACTTGAGTCGTTGGTCGAGTTCATCCTGCTCGGCATCGCTGAGGCCTGCCGTACTCGACTGTCGACGCGAAAGAGACCTTGGGGCGTTGGAGGATGAGCGACGGCGACCGGCGTTTTGAAGAGTGTTGTGAATGGTGATTTCTTTTTCGGAGAGCTCTCGCTGGGGCTGCGGGCGGGAAGGCTGCTCGGTCGCTTCTGGCGACTGAGGCGAGAGAATGTGGGTCGGCGAGATTTGATCGTTGGGTGAGGAAAAGGATGAATGCTTGAGGATGCCTAGAAAAATAAAATTGAATTAGATTTCTCTCTTGATCTCCGCGGTCGGGGATTCTGTTGCAGCCTGCCATGGATAACTCACCCTTGGGACGCCTAGGAGCTTCGGACCCAGTGAGGGCGGGCGGAGAGTGCAGCGTCATCATGAGGGCGATGGTTGCGTCGCAAACGACTGCGGAGATGGCAGTTGTGGTCGTAGTTGCAGGTAAAGGAGTCTCGGAGGGTTGTTTGTGAATCGATCGTCTGCTTCACAGGCTTTGAGAATATAGAGTCACCACGGATGATTCAGGGTCCTGGTCTTTTATTCTGCAGATAAGGTCAGCGAGCTAGTCAGCGACGCCCATTCCCGTGACGAGGGTTCATCCGTGTTTCAGAGCTGCCTATATCTTGTCTTTAAATCGCCGTCTGTCATTCCTAGCAAGAAGAAAGCTGCCTTTGCCGAGAAACTTGGTCATGTCTCAAAACACCCTTGTAGACATTGGGTGGCTCTCTCTCTCAGTCATGAGCTATTCCAGTTTTTGTGAGGAATGACAGACAGCTCCAGACGCAGGGGAGTGTAGAATGAAGTGGGAAAGATTGCACATGAAATCTGTAATCATTTGAATAAATGACAAAGGGGACCATACCTTTTGTCAGTAATGTTTGTATTGTGTTGGGTTTTCAAGAAACACAAACACGAGGAACGGGGCACAATGGTGGATAAGGTGAGAAGAGGTCACTCGTCGCCAGCTCTTCTTTGGCTGGAGACAGCGAGACAACTTATCAACAACGTCACTGAAGTCCTTGGCGAGGGGCGGGATTGGCGGGGTTCAGTCAGTGGTCAGACACCAATAATAATACCTATTAGGTACAAAGTATATGGTTCATCTTTCAGCCCAAACAGCCCCCTGTCCTCTCGTTTCCCTCTCAACTGGTGTGTACTGTACACCTCATGTACTCGTAACTACTCCTCATCTGCAAAAAGCAATTCAAAAAAAAAAGGGTAGAAATTAAACTAGACGACAGGTGTACGAGTACACCATGGTTTATGGGTAAACGTCGGAGATGTTTCCGGTGGCGAAGGTGTACAGGGCTGATCCGGCAATTAAAATGACTGAGAGGAGAATGACGTTGCAACAGGTGGACCCTGGATCAGCGCGGATAGTTGTTTATTCCAGGAGCCACTTGAAGATGATCCTGATGATGCCACCACTCGGCAGCAGGGTGCACTCAACCAGTAATTTTGGTGGAAAATCAAAAGGGGACGGGCCGAGTGAGAGGATATCAGGCACGAACAAGCAGCCTGTCAATGATAAGGAAGAGAGGGATCAGCAATGATCTTCTGCTCACTATCGTTGTGTGGATGGATATATATGCAACAGTTCACAGACTGCTACCCTTCTAAAGTATATTGTAATTAGCCGCAGTAATATCGCTGTCGACGGGGCTGTGCTCGCCCGCTAATCATTTCCTTCACCTTACTCCGTAAATTATAATTGCACATCCCTAGGGAGAGAAGTATATTTTATTTTCATTTTTTTCTATCTTTAGCCTCGTGTACTCGGTATTGTCTGATATACTGCTGCCCAGCGCCGGATTCACTCGTATCATGACGCAGGGGGAGGGCCGTCGTCTTTGTCCACCGCTTATCCACCATATTTCACTGCCCCACAGGCCGGCAGATCAGGTCCAACATTACCTGATTCTCACTTTATCACTATATGTATTAAACATCTTCTCAGCCTATTCTTCTCAAATCTTACTATATTTCTCACCAGTCATCATCTTTCAGGTACCTTACCTACCCCATATACGGTACCTATCTTATCTACTACCAACCCTGCTATTCCAACTAACCTCACCATGATCACAATTCATACCCAACAACGACGTCAAAGATTCCTTCTTTCATTTCTCTATGAATAGTCAAATACTTCCTATTTGTTAATTCTTACTTTCCTACTCTATTACCTTTAAATAAGGCACATATCGGACTAGCGGCGATGCATAAAATACTGTATACGGATCAGGCGGCTATCGCGGCAAGTCTCTTCTCCCCTGACACTTTCCTTATATTTCACCAGTTACTCTGTACTCTGTACTCCCGTATTCTGTACTCCGTATTCTGTACCGTAGTCCCACTCTGTATACCTACCTTACCTCATCTCATCTCACCTTACCTTACCTTACCTCACCTTAGGTAGATCGTAGACTACGGTATAGGTAGGTATGTATGTAAATACATGAACAACAACACGTGCAGGCTGCCGTGCATGTAAACCTTAATGTGATCAGTCAGATCCCAGCAACCATATTCCCTGAATGCTCCATATATAGTATACTGTATTCCATTTAACTTAGTTATAGCACGCTCTTTATATTATAATATAAGTTAGACTGCCAAAAACTGTACTACGTATATCCCCACAGTCCACCAGTGCCAGTGTGCCACCGCAACTCACAACTCACAACTCACAAACTCACAGTCCAATTTCTGAACAAACAATTGCACGTTTTCAAACGATAGGTCCAAAATGAATCTAAAATGGGAGATAAGGGAAATAAGGGGGATACGGGGGATACGGGGGATAAAGAATAAGAAGATTAACAAGGATAAATAACTGCATGGTTGAGTCAGTGACTCAGCGTATACTATCTGACATAATACATGCATACTTCTACGAGTATCTAGCTCTAATACCAGCGATAAAGTGAGCGTATCTATAAAATGGAAAATAATGTACTACAAAGCATAGTATAGCAGAATGTATGGGAGTATAGTTGACATATGATTCCAAGGCTTGGCGGTCGGCTTAAAGCGATCTACTCGGGAAGAATACATTATGTTGAAAAAAATAAAATAATAATAATAATAACAGTAATAATCATAATAAGAGTCGTAAGAAGAAAAGCAAAAGATAAAATGCATTAAAAACAACAATTTATTATTATATATGCCGAATGAATAAATACATCAGATAGCCTCCGGGTATTAGAATGTGCAGATGAAACGCCACTGCTATGAGTCTGTGACCGATGCACGGTGTAATGTGTTATGCGATGATGATGGGCAGACGGGAAATATGAATGCCGAAATGGTTGGGGAAGGGAAGGGGATTTGGGGGGATGGTGATCGGGATAGGGGTAGTAGGAGGATGGGGAAAGGGCCAAGGAGTAAAAGATGGGAATAAGGACATGATGATAAAGCTGTCAGGGGAAAGGGTACTGCGAGATGAATAAGGGAATAAAGGTGGTTATAATGATACCATGGAGTTTGTTAAAAATAGAAAATTCGTAGCTCAGTCATGCAGTTCCTTGATGTGAGGCAACGATGAAGGCAAGTGAAATATCCTCAAACCGTTGACACATTGCCGCCAACACTTTAAGGGTATAAAAGAAAACTCACATCTAAGGACGGTCGTTAAATTCTTCACGCGCGCGAAGGTACTTGCGTGCCAATTTATCTCCGCCCTGTGATGATAATTCCATCCAGTGAAACGCCACGCACATAGTTTGAGGGTCTGACCGGATAGGATCATCATGCCGGCGATATGTCATCTCCGCTTTGAATGTGTCCTTGGGCATAGTAAGCGGGAGCGTGGTTCGCAGCAAGAGATCAGGATGCGTGAGATAAAAGATGGCAAGTTCCCGCTCGGCCACAGGATCGCCTTCTTTGGCGGTAATGATCCACATCTTGCCCGCATCTTCCATGCTGAACCGAGCCATTTCGTCATCTTCCTCGGTGCGTTTCGTGGAGGAAGAAGAAGAAGATCCACGATTCTTTGTATGGTACCCGACAATATCGTCCGCAATCTCAACCATGGTACGGCACACATCTTGCTTGAGCCCGAGCGCTGCAAGTCCAGCATCCCAGAACGCTTTGCCTCGCTCTGTCTTATCCAGGATTTGTGCAGGAACAAATGATGCGATATACTGCAGATCGCGGAAGAGTGTTTTTGGACATGCATCCGAGTCGCGGAAAAGACTTTGAAGTACATCGACAATCATATCAGTGCTAGGAACACCGACGGCGCTATTGGAGCCGCCACCGCCTCCACTTGCGTACCGGTTTGGCGATGCGACATGGCCTCCAAAGGTAACGTTCTGAGACCGCCGTTCCTCACAATTGGCAATAGCCTCTTCCAGGTTCTTCGCCCGAGGGGTTTGCGAATGGTCCGCGACGGTCGCCTCCCGAGTTTGGAGCTCTTGCACTGAATCGAGTGGAGGAGAGGCGGCAATTGTTGGAAGCAAATCGCGACGACTGGCAAAAGACCGCCCTGATCGAGAGGCAAGAGATGCAACGATGAGGAGCTCTAGCTCATATAGCGCATGCAACTTGGTATATGGATTGGGATGTGTTGAAAATTTGCGTAACAGTTGACGAAATGCAATATTGAACGGAAACTCCAGTAGACCTGCCTTTTTTGCTGCTGCCAGACCCGAAGATCTGGCTGTTGCATCACTTGATGACGTTGAAGCACCCTCTTCAGCAGAGACGGTGCCGTGAGCCGCATGTTCTAGGGTGGCTACTGGTGCAGCGGGCTGGCTTCGTTCGCCGCGACCTAAAGTATCCAGAGGCCCCGAACGATGCTCCGATTTGCGCATTGAGCGCATGCTCTTCTTCTTAGCGAGGGCCTTTCGTCGCTTGCGATCTTCCTCTTCCTTGCGCTGTCGGCACTCTTCGCCGAGATCGCCGGTGAACCAGGCATCTGTCTCGCTGCCCTTGCTCCAAACTAGGTTTCCAAGGTCGCTCAACAGGAGACCTGTCAGGGTCTGCTTGAGGTCAAGCAGAAACCGGTGCTTGTCCAGGTTTACCCGCTCAGAAGTGGCCAACATGGCCGTGTCATTTGTGGAAGACCCCGCGCGCTGCCTGATGTTAGACCCGGTTGTCGCTGCAGAGTGCAATTGCGCTCTGAAAGGAGACCAAAAAGTGTTGGAGGAATCAATGCTGAGAACAGGGCTAGCATTCCCAAAATAGTCTTGCGAGTCCGTAAGATCGATTGGCCCGCTGCCTCTTCCAGTACTCCATCGACCTGAATCAAAGCTTTGTTGCGACGTGTTGCGAGCCGATATCGACCGAAGGTCTCGGGAGCTTGAACGGAGATCCAATCCAGGTAATTTGGAACGACCTGAATCAACGACGTATTCTTCATCTCCAGCAATGCTCAAAGTTCCCACGCCCGTCAGGAAAAGATCGCCCTTCTGACGACCACTGTCAAGGATACGCTGATCGCGCGAAAACAGCTCGCTCGACCAAAGCACCGGGCCGTCCAAGATCCGCTCACCAACGAGTCTATCAACACACTTATCAACCTCGAGGCAGAAGCGATGTATCCTCTCCTCACCCTTGCAAAAGTTTTCGATGCCATACTTTGTAAGCCATTTGAGAGTCATTTCCGCTTGTTCGTCTGACAGCTTGTTCGGTCCGCCTTGGTCAGTTGAGGCTGTCATTAGGTCGAGGATTTGAGCTTCCGTCTTGAAGAGGAAATTGGTTGTAGACGATTTTGCAACGTGACGGAGCTTCGAGGGCGGAGTGGCCTTGGCTGCCGCAGGTTTCGCCGGCTGACCCATTGTTTTTAAGGCCAAAGCAATGTTCTTTGCTTCTTCATAACCTGCCGAATTTCTGACGTCCGTGACGTACCACATCTTATCTCTCAGCTCCTTTAAACCTAGCATCATTTCCTCTATTGCAGCATCATGACGCTCCTGAGATTGTTTCAGCCAGACAAACCAAGCCTCAAATTCCTCAATCGCGCTGGCGGACTTGCCAAGGGAATCTCTTGGTCCTCGCGAGATATAATTCAACAATGCAGCGTAGCCATTCTTCTTGAGGGACGGGACAGGTAATCGTCGGAGTTGCTGGAGGGTCTTCCAATACAAGTGTGCAGCTATGAAGTCTGCCCGGGCCCGGCATTGATTGGTAGCTGCCTCGAGCATGGTAAGGAGCACGGATGGAGACTCGCGGCCACCGTCTCTAGAACTTAAGCTGGCGCTCCGCCCTTGACTAATTGGACGAGAGCGTTCTGGTAGAGCGGGATGGTGGCCAGCAATCATGGCAGAAAGCTGGCTTTGGGCATGATATGGATTCCTCGAAATACGGGCCTCGACTGGGATTGCGCTCTCTTGTCGAGGTGTGCTTGGCTTATGCGCTAGTTTGCCCAGATGAGTCGTGCGGTTACTGAATATTTTGGATTCGCTGTCCGGAGTAAGCTCCTTTGGAATCTCATATTCTTCGACGAGACGAGTGATGGCGTGCTTCAGTTGGTGATAATCCCGTTCCAAATCCCCACGATCACCCGTTCCTTCATCCTCGCTATCACTATCAAAAGAGTCTTCCTCTTCTTCGTCGTCATCCATAGAATCCTTGCGCATTCGAAGATTCAAGACTTTCCCGTCGCCGGAGACAAAAAGAATCGCCCACTTCTCTGCACAAGGATGGCAGACACCAGCAGTAGCTTCCAAGCCAAGAATTTGGGTCATTTCAGAACAAACCAATCGTAACTGCTGCCCATACTCCTCAGTGGATAAAGGACGGTCGAGGCTTCGAGGATCCTCGCGAGCATCTAGGGACGACAGCGAAATCTTCTGCCCGAAAGATTCGAGTAAAGGTTCCCGAGAAGTCACATCACTTGTCACAGAGGAGCTGCTATTACTCAAGATTGAAACAGATTCAGGCCCTCCGAAGGAGTTGGCTGGCGTTGACAGAGGTACTGATATCCCTGAGATAGAGGATGTGGTCGAGTGCAAAGTCTTACGTTGCATTTCCTTTTCTAGGGAGCGGGAAGCTAAACGGCGTTCAGGAAACAGCGTGTTGACCAGAGTCACAATGTCGGATGGACAAATAACGAGATAAGGCTGGATTTCTACGGTTTCGCGGGGAGAAGTAATGGCCTTTGCCGGGTGTAGCATAGGCTTAGCTGAACGTGTAGACTTGGAACCTCGGAATCTCAAAAGAATACTCTCAATGTGAGCCCGGATTTCGGGATGGATGGGAACAGCCTGCTTCCTATGAGGAACGTTAGCATTGCAGGAGACCAAACTCGAGTGTTGTAACATTCGTACCAATTATAAGTCATATCAAGAACTTGCTTTTGGGCGCGAATGGCAATCTCTTTCAAAATTCTTTGGCGCGCGTATTCGCTGATATGATGGCCTGTCATAATTCCATGACTCTTTATAATAGTTAGCATGACATGAGCATTCTATTATTTTGCAGCCGGATGACTCGCCTCTGGGTGAATAACAGCATTCAGAAGATAAATGGAAAAAAACCAGCGGGATACGATGAAGGTTTGGGCGGCACGCTGCTTTTTTGGCTCATCCAGCTTCTTGATAATGGCATTGCCAATTTCTAGTACTCCTTCAGGAATCCCGCCAGCACTAGGTTCATCATCAATAACTTCGAAGAAAGATCGGATCGCCATGTCAAAGAATTCTTCTGCTGCAATCAAGTCCTTGGAGCTTCGTCCTTCAGGCTGAGTCCGAGTTCCATTTTGTTGCTCGTCGGCCTTGTCCAGGAGAAATGCTCCTTCTTGGAGCATCTTCATCAGATAAAGTTCCAGATTGGTTTTTCCAGGCCATTCACGCATGGCAGCCCACGCGTTGAGAACACTGCAAATAAACTGGCCACTACCACTGCGACCGTCTGTTATTAGACGTGCGCAAGTGGTAGCCCATATTTCAGTACGACGCAGATCCTCGGCTGAATCAGGCCCAGAGGAATTTGCAAAGACAGTGTACAAAAGAGCGGAGAGAGGATCGTGACGTTGGAAGGAGAGTAAACGTCCAACCGGGGAGGCAGGATGCCCATTGCCACGATTGCTACTCGACCCGGCTGGTTTTCCACGTGCAGAAATTGGCATTACCGATTCGATAGGGTCCAAGGCTTGATGAAAGGCGGTGAGTGAGGACAGCTCCGAAGAGGAGAGGCTGGCTATACGACCGGCAAGAAAGTCAGGATCGGTTCGGATTTTTGAAAGGAAGCCCGTGATCTCCTCGCGATTACGAGAAGGGAGCTCGTGCATGAATGTAGACAAGGCCCTTGACTTCTCTGCTCGTCTTGCGTTCATAGAACGGCCCGGCTCTATTTCAGGCTCCAAAAGGGCGTAACGGCGAAGGGCATCACAGGAGCTCCGGACATCGTGTATTGCATTGTATAAGGCCGCAAACCCCTTTTTGTCATCCGAGCGGAAATTCTCAATCAAGGACCGATGCGCAAGCTCACCGCCACGCTCAAGACGAGCCGACAGCGCGCTAGACACGAGCCAACGGTGTAGACGCACGCGGGACTGTGCCCGTCGTTGTTCCTGGTAATTTTGTAACTTGACGAGATGTGCAAGCTCGGCGAGAGAAGTCGACGAAGCTGTCACGGCCACGCTGGGCATGCTTTCTTCAGCATACTGGGAGATGTCTTGCAATGGCAGTCGAGGAATCTGGCCTACCGGCGCCGAAGCAGAAGGCACCATCGGAGGTCGCGATGGCAGCGCAGTCATGTTCACGATGTTGTCGCTCATGCTAGCCCCATCATCATCACCTGTCCTGCCATGACGACCGCCCATCTTGGCGGGCTGCGACACCTGGGCCGGCGAGCGGACAGGACTCTGATGGCGAGAAGAAGGATCTTGTAGGGTCTCATGAGAGTCGCGCGGGGACGGAGTCGGACTTCTTGATGAGACCTGGGTAACGGTCGGCGAGACGGCTTCATATCGAAGGAATGGTTAGCGGGCACTCTCTCCAAGTTCTGCCAGCTCACCGCACAGTACGCGATGTGATGCATGCAGGCACGCGCAACGCGATTGGCAGAGAGACTCGGCGAGCATAAGAAACGACGGCCAGTAGGGAACATACGCGGGGAGGAATACGCCGGCCCCGGCGGCGACGAGGAGTGCATCGTGTTCATCTCGCCATTTGGCCAACCCGACCAGATCTCGAGTGAACGGACTCGAGATGCACGGGCAAAGGATTCTTGGCCACAAAACTCCTTCTCGTCGGACACTTTCGAAGCCAGATCAAGATGTCGATCTGCCGATCGGAGAGGGTTTCAAACGCAGCGTGTCAAATTTACCGTAGTAAGATTGACGTTGAACCACAGCGAGCGTTAAATGCTGTCCGCAAAACGATGGTCGGACAGCGCTGCCGCCACTTGCGCTCTAACGTAGTCGGGGCCTGCCGACTTTCTGGAGAGTCTCAAAGATCTGGGGCACGATAATCGTATCGCTGGCGGCGAGTTATGGTACACACCTGCAGCAACAGTAGTGTGTGGACGGTCGAGATTGGACGTTCAGAGAGATGATCGTTGCAGGAGGGGCGAATGCTTTGGTCCAAACTCGAGTTTGGACGAGTGTTTTGGCAGGATGAGAATGGTCTGAAAGGGAATGACTTGCAGATTCAGGTGTCTACCATTGTCAACGAGTAACAGCAACAGCGTGGCTGTCCAAAGCTATCAAAAGCTATCTCCACCGCACCAATACCAATCGATACCGTGACCATCATGGTAAGCCCTGGGGGTGGGTGGCCAGCGAATGAATGTGTCGATCGCGACCAGCCATTTCATCCATTCACGTTGTGACGGGTGGACGACGAGAACAAAGCTGGCTCAGAGCACGGACGAATCAGAAAGTCAAGGGGACATGTTGTCTGCGGAGGAGGGCGGGACGGCGGATCAAAGCGATCAGGGATGCGACCGGGATCCAGTCCTCTTGTCGTCCTTGGGACGGCACGGCCCAGCGAACATGACAGGTCGAAACGCGCAGCGAACCTTAGCCGTAGCAGTTAAACCGAGTCGGGCATCGCATATATCAGCTGGTTAAGGCTCAAGCGGCTCTCCTTTTCTCCTTCGCGTTACCCCGTTCAGCTTGCTTGCATGACTTTAGGCCCCATATCACCAACACCATCTTTTGGTTCTTTTCCCCATTTTCTCGCTCAACGCTGAGGAATTCTGCAACTGGACGAAACACCCTCACCATTGTAATCTCTTGTCACTGGGGATGCCAGATTCCTTTCATGTGTAGCTGTGCAGATTGCCATCTTGTTGATCTCTTACACTTAGGGTTCGCCCAGCTGCGCTGTCATCAGGCCTCACAAAATCGATTCCAGATCAATTTGGTTAAAGGGCTTGTTGGGCATTCGTCAGGTAGTAAACAAGCTTTTTCTCATCACAAATTGCCAGAAGCAGCACCTTCCGGTCTCATCTTGGACTTTTGAGAATCGTTCGCTCGTCGAATCAACCTACTTTGCCTGCACCCCGCTTCGCAAGTGTCAACCGAGACAAGTAAGCTTCTCACTGTAAGGTGCGACATAGCGAAAGAGCTGCACAGTAGCCACGAATAGATTGAGACCTGATGAAGTGGCCGCTTTTGTGGCCCTGTTGACCGCTCAAGCTTTTCATCTAAAAGAGATTGGAACAATATCAGTGGTAATGTGAAAGGCTGATTTGCGGGTCTAGGCCGCGTTTTGGACTTCCATGCCATGGAGCAATTATTGCCGTGATGAGTTGGCCATGCATTGCGTCTCACATTATGATAGGATTGGAGTGCTCTCTCCTCGCCGCATTGGCTTGTCCAACGAAGCGCTGTCGATTTTCTCCCGCAAGCTTGCCGCTTTTTAGCGGAGGGGTACCGCTGAACATAGACCCACTGGTTCTTTAAAAAAATTTCAATCTAATAGCGCAGCAAATATGACTCGACTAATCCCACCAACACATGGTTGGAAACCTAAGGTAAATACCTAAATTCGGGTCAGAATCCACAAATGATGTATTATATTAGCCTCCGTTCTCTCATGCAGATGTTGTGATAGATACTTAGCATATGGATTTGGCAATGTTTGACCAAGAACTCGACCTCAGGTTGTATTTGAGTTGAATGAGAACGTGCCCCAAGAAGATCCGGTGCTCCTACCGTCGATAGGTGTACTTGAACGTAACTCGATCGTGCACATTCTCGAATTGCTCTTCTTCCCTAGCGGGGAATTTGATGATAGGCGGTCAGACTATTGCCTGTCGACGACGAGGACACTGAAGAATAATATCACGAAAATTAACCTTATATATCCACAAAGACTTGTTCCACTGACCGTGATCGTTCCATTAAGGTTCAATAGAATCTACGAGAGTGATAGCAAGACATTCTCTGCCACCTAAATCAACATTCATCTATCACTTTTATCGATCAAAATGAAGAAACCCGATATCAAATTGAAGAGCGCTATGTACCAGTAATGAAATTCAGAAAAATTCCCCTGAAATGATTAATAAATGGATCATTCAGAATCATCACCGTAGAGAAGGCTTATGAGCGTATTCGGACAACGGCAGACATTCCTGTGGCGGCTGCTTCGGCGGAACTAAAAGATCCGATCCGGCAGTCGGCATGCTCTCCACCATCACATTGCTGATGCCTACGAGCACCCTTTCAGTAATATTTTATAGCTATTTTATGCCCCTTTTGATAATACAATGGCGATTTTCCAATCATTATCTTACTCAAACTAATCTCCTCGTCTCTGCACCATGAACCCTCGAAATATTTTGAATGATGGACGACTGGGGCTCTGTCTGGGGCGAGGAACTGCCCAAACCACTCGCGGGTCTTTCAACGGCGCCAAATATAGCAGAATTCAAGAATCGTACTGCTGGAATACACGGATTTGATCCATTAAATGGTAATTCGCCGTGGACAAATGATGATGTCCCATCAGTCAATGGCCCAGACGACAAGCCGAGGAGATCACGTGTCGACATCGATGACCTTGATGCTCACATTCTCTCGGAGCAGCAAACAGTTAAAGAAGAAGAAGATGATGACTATGGAGATTTTGTATGGGGTGAAGAGCAAGGACAAGAGCATGAAGCCGATAGGGAAGCGAACGCAATCTCCTTTTCGAGGTCGTTAACCCCCAAAATATCAAAACCGAGGAGTCTGCTCAACGAAACCTCACAAAATAACGAGAGCTATCCGGAAGAGACCGAAGAAGATTCTTCTGAATTTCCTGAGCCGAAACAAATGGTTGATACAGATGAATTGGTGACAAACTTGCCCGAGGACGTTGTGTTTGAGTCGAAAGAATCTCGAACTCCTCCGAACTCTGGCAATGACACCTACCTTGAGTCTGCATCATCGTCCATAGACGGAGGCGCAGTTGGATCAGTTGACGCTCACTTGTCAGACGTGAGAGGAGCCCAAGATTCTAATCACAATGATTCTATATTTAAGACGGAAGAAGACGATGATTTTGGAGAATTCGAGGATACAGAAGAGCCGCAAATCGCTGGATTCATTGTTGACCTACCAAAAGTAACTTCATTTGGGGACGCACAGCCTCTACAGAATGACGACTTCAAATCGAAGCCGAGATTCTCTGTAGATCTGTCACATATTAACCAGATCTTCCCAGTGACAAGCGATGAGCAAACTCCTCTCAGCGACATTCCGGATGAAACGATCTCGAGTACATCAAATCGCAAAGTCTGGTACCGCATCACGCGTAAAGAGACCATGCGAGAAGAGAATTTTGCTGATGAGAGCAATTACGTTAAAATTAGATGGAATGACTCCAAAGTTCGAAGAGACGTCAACAAGAGAGTAGAGAAATGGATTGGCGAAGACAGGTCACTCAGGGGCTTCGGTTTCGGCTTTGGTTTACACAGCGGAGCAAGAGCGAGGAATATTTTTAAATGGTCGGAGAATTCGAAAGATGTCAGCTCTGGAATGGGAAGATCCAGGTCTCAAACAACCGCATCAGGTCCTGCTCCGCTGCTCCTTGGTTCACGACATCGCCATCACCAATCATTAGCTCCTGGCCATTTCCCTCCTCCTGAGAGCATTAAACCTCCTCAGTCTTTTCCACGGAATCTAGGGTCGTCATCAAGTAATAATACGAACCTTCGTATGGATCAGCAACCCAGATCATCTGATAATATCAACGGGCGCACGGGCGAAATGGCGGCTTCAAAAAGAGACTCTAGCACAACCCCGGATCGCCATTCCCAATCGCCATTCATACCAGAAAACTCTGGTTCTCAAATTCAATCTCCTTTACGAGCACCTGCAAACCATGGTAGAGCTACATCTGTTGGTCTCAGAAAGAGCATGCCTTTCCACTCTAAGCAAGGGCGCACTACTCAAAGTGTGGATCTTTCTGCATTGCAACCATTACGTGCTGCAACAGCTCAAGACCGAGCTCCAAGCCCACTTTTAGAGTCTACTTTGGGCCGCCCGTCGCTAGGAAGATTGCCTCCACCGTCGAGGCCAAGTATACCACATCTTACTTCCCAGAACCTTGTCACGAAGACGCAAGACAGCCCCGTGTACCACTCAGAGATATCCTCGGTTCTGCCAAACGAGCAAATTCGTCACCTAAGAGGCCCTTCAATACAACTGTTAACATCGCTAGAAGACAAATTTCAAGGACTGCCACGAGAGACATCAACCGCTGGTCGGCCATCTTCAGACTTGGCAGAGTTAGTAGAATCGCCGATCACTGCGACGACGGAACAGAGCAACTCTTCTCACATATCACCTCCGAATTCTCCAATGACTTCTCTGCCATCTACGTCATCCCCTGTCAGTTTTGTTGAGACCGGATCCAACGGTAATATGAAACCGGTTCCACACAATCTTGTTCTATCAAGAGGGCCAGACGGCAAATCCAAAAAAGCCCTAAGCCCTATCGGACAGACTGCTGAACATCCAAGATCTTCATTTTCAACAGAAAACAGAGCCACGGAGAAGACAAGAAGGGACGAAGAAGAGGATCGAATAGTACGAAGCATAATTGCAGGTCTCCCGGACTTGTCTTACATGCTCAAGTAAATAGCGCACCATGTACCGGACAGCACATAACGAACGCATTTGAAGGTGTTTTGAGGCATTCAATTTGGTCACTTTGGTCCAGCCTTTTTTATTTTATTTTATTCAAGATGCGGCTGATTCATTCATTATATACATTGTTACAAATATTCCCAATGTACATTATACACCAATCACGCCATGCAGCATAAAAGACCTATCAGCGTCCCTGCTTCCCTAGTCCAATCCACTGCAGCATCCGTGAGTCTATGGTACCACGCACATCCATCTAAGCACCTACAGTCTTCTGGAAGAAGTCTGCGAACTTAGGAAGAGCCTCCGATGCGTCATCGTACAGATCGACATGTGTCTTTCCGTCAACGATGTACAACTCTTTGGGCTCCTTGGCACGCTCAATTGCCAATTCGCTGAAATACTTTGACTCTGCCAAGCTTCCGACGATCATAAGGAGGGGACGAGGCGAGATCAGGTCATTAAACGTATACGCGGAGAAGTTGGCAAGGAGATCAACGCTGCGAGCCAGCATCCTATTAGGAGCGCGGGGATGCTGACCCCTTGGGGTTCGATAGTATTCACTGCCTTCTCTGAAGAGAGTCGGCGTTCCATCAGGAATGGTATTCGGGTCATCCGAAACAAGGGGGCCATGCACTGGTGCTTCTCCCTTTGCTTCTGCCGTTCGGAGCCTGCCCGCCGCCGTGAGAGTACCGACAAGATTCTCCTTCGACACAACGCCAGCAGTGTTTTGCAGTCCTTCGCGGACCAAGGCGCCAAAGTCAACAGCACTCAATGTCGCAACCGCCTTGATACGCTGGTCCGTCTGTGCCGCGAATGGGACATATGCTCCTGATGCGCAAATGCCCAAGGCTCCGATCCGCTCGGGATCCACATCATCCCGAGTTGTCAGGTACGTCACGGCAGATCGTACATCCTCTGCGCGTTGCTGTGGGTTCTCAAGCCCACGTGGCTCTCCCTCGCTTTCGCCCTGGAATGCAGCATCAAAAGCGAGAGTGATGAAGCCTTTCTCCGAGAGAAGTCTTGCATAAAGACCGGCCGTTTGCTCCTTGACGCCGCCACCGGGATGGCTTACGACAATCGCTGCGCGCTTCTGATCAGGCGCGCCCGGGGGAGGAAAGTAAAGGTCGCCGACGACCTTAATTCCATTGCTGGGGAAATTGACCTTGACAGGAGACATGGTTGCTAGGAGGCGATGTTCCGACGAGATAGGCGGTCTATTTCTGAGAGATTTTTGGTCGAACTTCAAAAGAGAAGATTATGGGCAAGTGTATTGCAATTATGGTAGAGAGATGATATTTGCTTGATGATCAGATGGATTCAATTAAAAGGGTTTCTAGCTACTCTTATATCACGCGTCAGGGGCAATTATTCATGTTTTTTTGGACCCTATTGCGGCACGCGGCTTCCAATGAAAAAAGTGTGCTCATTTATCGTATCACCGGTAGCCCCGCAGCAATCCAAGGGTTCAGGAGGGTTCGTCAGCCTCACCTGCTACTACGGGTTGAAGCACCGATCTACGTTACTATGAAAGATCGAAGCTGGAAGGTTTTGGCAGTAATCTAGAAAAGGCTGGATTTACATCCCAAGTAGTTTAGCTCCGGCCGAGCTAACGGTAAACAGAAGTAGCGTTCAAACCTTATGCAAGTCGATGACAGAAATGACGATCTACTTACCATTTTGGGCCTTAGCGACCAAATCTTAAATCCAGATTCGGAGATAAAATTCACGGCTTACTCGAGATTAGATGCGGCCCGGCGGCCGCACCCGCACGTTGTAAATTCACCGCGCGCACGAAACATTTCATTATCACCATTCTCCGTCACTGAAGCACGCCTGCGAGCAAAATACCATCGCAGTGGTTCATTTTGCCAGTTGTCAGCTATCACTGAAGATTTTAATGTATCAGAAGCACATTCTGGTTTAAAACGAGTCTTGTATAAATGGAAAGTTATTGTTTTGTTTTATGTTAATCTTCTAGTTTTTCGCTGTCCGTTTGTTCTTTCTTTCCTTCTTCCAATTGATGTTCTTATAGTTCACTGCAATGTGCAGATACTGTTTGGTCTGTGCATCAGAATCTACACTCGTGGAAAAACACGCAGCTAATTTTTGATACACAGCATATTTTGCACACCTGCCGACTGCACAACATGTCAATGGTGTATACATTCTCTCACTTGAACTCCTCAATGCAAAACTTTACAGAAATACTTAGTCACATTGCATTGTACTGCTGTTCAATCTCCTCAGGGCTCACGTCACAACTCTGATGCCGGTTGAATGCATGAACAGTGACCATGCAACAGAGCAAGAGGTCTACCGTCTCCGGCAATCCAGTCATATCATAAACAGCCAGCTAGTCCCAGGCACCAGCTACTTGACTTCTGCGACTGATTGCTCTCTCAACTATATCTTCTTCGCTCACTCTGAAGTCTGCTGAGAACCCAATGGTATTCACTCTGTTGCTGGCGGCCATGGCCCGTAGCCCAGGGAAACCCACAGTCCTCACCTCTCTGGAGACCGCAGTCTGGAACCATCTCCGACTCTGCTCCAGAATCTCAACATCAACAACACCGGCTTTCATCAGCCATCCATCACCACTACGCTTTTTACGATCTTTCTTCTCTTTGAAACAATCTTAAGCCAGCCTTAGCATTTCTTCCACATATCCTACGAGGCTCGGCATCAAAGTCTCAACTTCATACTATCATACATCGGCTTCTCACAAGTCGAGATCCCACGAGTCTCAAGCCTCAAGTCACAAGTCTCGAGCTCTCATCCAGTCAAGCTCTACTCACGGTCTACCCTCAGCTGCATCTCTCTAGTGCAAATTGCAAATTGCAAATTGCAGCAATGCCCAACCCACCACCTCCTCCGCTCATCTACACTGTCCTCCGCGGCGGACGATACCACCCTCCGCCTCCGCCTCACGCTCCCTTTCCTCCTCTCTCTAACACTGTCGGCCATGCTGGCATCAATGGCGACCAACCCACCTATTCCAGAACCAAAAGCATGCTCAGCCACGCTCTGTCCACCGGCAAATCCGTCATCGAAATCGAAGCCAACCAAGTCGTCTTCTTGCCCTGGGCCTCGCTCAGCGCCGACCGTCTCATCGGGGGCAGCAACTTATTCGGCGAAACTCTCTTCATCATCACGGGTGTCGAGGGCGCCATCGTTGCAATCTTGCCTTCGCCCGTGGACCACGACTTGGCATTCGCGAACCCGGCGTGCTCCTCGGCGCGGATCCGCGAGATGACCGATCAAGTTATTCAGCTTTTCTATCAGCACTTTGACATCGGGTACGAGAACATTGAAGAGGATCGCAAAGTCACTACGGTGGCGGTAGTCGTTCCGAAAATGTATGATTCGTTGTGGGCCCCGGGACAGATGTATTTCCTTGACAGGCTGATTTCGATGATCGGTCTGAGGCCGATGATTTGGGGGTATGATTTGGAGAATCCGAATCGAGGTACTTCACGTCGGCGGAATGGGCACGGTGATGGAGACGACGAAGAGTACGGATATGGTAATCCGGGAAGGTTCACGTTTTTGATACGTGGAAATGCGCCGGAGAATGGAGTCAAGAGCGAGATCTACGTGGAGGACTACCTGGTGGAGCCGATTCCGGGGGTGACTGTCGGACTGTATCTCGAGTTGCCGCTGACTGGGTAGTTGTCGGCCAGGAGGCGCAGTATTTGTCTGTGAGGCTGGTGTATTTAAAGGCCCGGCAGGGAAGCAGGACTTTCAAGGCTTGAGCGGATGAGGGTATGGTTGTCGAAGGCGCTCTGGGACGTTGCGCTTTTCATGTCTCCAAGACTGGTATTATGGATATTACCAGATCATGTTTTTCTTTTCTTCTTTTATAGGTGTGAAAGGATAAGGGTCTCGTCAATGTAACATTCTCCTCTCTGCCTGACATTCGAGCTGGTTATGTGATGTAGAGACCAATGGAAAAAACAAAGTGATACAGAGCAATGAAGGAAATGGTTGTCCACTGATTTGGCTTCAAGGTATGGGAAATGGAACTGCCAATTCTAGTCCAGCCGTATAAGATATAGTTATCCATCCCGCGCACAATTTTCTACTGCTTTATATTTGTAATGCAGTGTTTCATCTTTTCCTATTGCATATCCTGTATAGAAAAGCGTGCGTAATAAACACTGGAAAACGCATCAAAGGCCCAAGAAGAAACAAGTGTGATGAACACTACAAGATTGACCCAATAAAAACCCCGATCGCGGGGTTGAGCAGGCTGCAGAGCACAAAGTCCGATTCAATCATCATCATTATCATCATCGTCATAATTATCATCTCCTTCTTCCCGAATTTCAACATAAGGCTCGTGTTCCTGCTGGGGACCAGAATTGCCTTCTGGCTGAGAGCTTGAGTTTCCACCATTTCCTTCGGGAGCTGTTGAACTGGCACCTTCATCATCGATCGTACTCAAACTATGGACAAGCTCTGGCGTCGAAGTACTTAATAGCTCCGCTATTTTTGCATATCCCAATGCCTTGGCAGCGTCAGAGGCATGAGTACCATTCAAACTCTTGATATCAGGATCTGCGCCGCGTTCAAGCAAATGTCTTACTGCAGCGATATTGCCTAGGCAGGCCGCAAGGTAGAGTGGCGTTGCATGACTGGCGCCCTCAAGACTTGCGTGCATACTGGAAGTTGTCTCGTCAAGCCTATAGTTGATATTGGCTCCCCATGCAAGCAGATAATCTATGAGATGCAAGCAGTCGCTCTCGGTCCGTAAAAAGGTATGGGGTAGTGCGAGTTGCGCAAGTTCTGGGATCCCTTCCACTGACCCATACAGCCCGCGATACATAACATTGTGCAATAAATGGCCCTTGCGGATATCAGCGTAGCCTCTCTCGAAACATACGTGTACCATGCTCGGCACTGCCCAGTGCACAACTGCAGATAATGGCGTGTAGTCGATATCTTCTTGCACTCTGTTGTTTATCGAAGCGCCGCTGTATAAGAGCCACCTGAAAAGCATCTCGTCTCCCAGTGCAAGACTGCAGTCCGGTGTTAATACTTGTTTTT